ACAGGCCACCCAAATGGCCGTGTTTGTCAAAACCGTTTTGGATCCAGAACCTATATTAGTGGGGATTGGGATGTTCACTGGGGGTACGGGATTTTGCATATGGGCGTGTTGTTTTAAGGTTGGACTCTCCAAAATGTGCGAGTTTTCTATTTGTTTGGTTTCTGTCTGTAAAATTCGCCACCGCCAAACAGAAGGTACCCTCAAAAAAACCCACCGATATGAGTCGATAAGTTGATAGGATAGATTCCCCCCAGCTTGAGATAATTGGCACAGGTTCGCCAGTGTCTCCTTCATTCTTTGCTAGCCTCAAGTTTTGCAGGAGGGTATGTTTCAAAATTGGTTTTCTCAGCTGGTTCTCGTTGACCTCCCGCAAAATGCGGCGGTGTCCAAAAAGCTTGAATGCATTCTCCCGGGTGTCGAAAGCACGTCGGCTTGAGTGAATCGCTACAGCTGAAAGCCGGGCAGAGTCTTTGGCAAACGAGGTCGGGGAAAATTAACAAGGCTAGGTCCCCCAGTAGTGCCAACTTTTACCGTTTCTTTTTTTGGGGAGGGTTCCCCTACTAAAACAGACAAATCAAAAAACGGATACCCTTATTCTAGCCTCTCTACTGGGGAACCTAGAAGGGCTTCAATCGGATGAAAGCCACAATCGATGAAAGCACGTCACTTGAAAGAGGAGTCCAAGCTTGTATCACTTCGGGGGCAAGCCCGGTGCATTCACCGGTTCCACGTTGGAAGGCCATCCCAAAGGCTCCATTGACATGTGCCGGAAGATCCTCAGGAGTGAATGTTGTTCAAGGGAGTCATCCCTACGGTTGGTCCCCTTATTCCAACCTCTCAACTGCAGGACCTAGTAAAGGAACCAGGGCCAAAGAGCTTGGAGACAAAACTCGTGAGCAGATGAGTATGGGTCAAAGCTAAACCATTCGGCCGGTTGAACTGTTCTTTCCATTTGCCAGGGTTCAGTTTTGGGGTACCCGGATTTTTCTTCTCCATTTGCGCGGGTTCCATTTGAGGCTTCCCCGGTTTTAACTCACAGGCGAAAGAAAGGGTGGCTTCAGGAACACGGTGCTGGCGTCGGTGCTGGCGGAGCAGACCCTGGACCTGGAGACGAAGCTGCGCCTCGCCATCTGCGCGGAGCGGAAGCTGTCCGCTAGCCGCTGGCGTGGACCCACGGGGGCGTCGGTCAGTCAGGGCGTCGGTCAGTCAGGGCGTCGGGGCGTCGGGGAGTCGAGTCAAGTCGACGCGGGGAGTAGACGAGGCGAGATCTGGAAGTAGGAAGGCAACCTTTGTCGGGGGTATTTCCCCAGATGGCTGAAAGCTAGAGGGGTTCTAACTTCAAAGAGGGGAAAGTGATTTGCGAGATGGACGGCTGGGTGCTGGGGGGCGTGCAGTTGGGGGCGCTGGTGCAGCTGGTGCTTGTCTGGGTTTTGGAGTCATGGGCTTCTTGGGGTGTTTAGGTTACCGGGTCCAAAGCGCGGAAGGGTGTGACCTCGGTGATATCATGATTGGCTTCTGACGTGCATTTCGATGTTGGTTTCACCCTTGTGGTGTCCGCTGATTTCGAGGAGCGTATGGTTGGCGCATCAAAAGAAATCAGCGGCAATGGTTGGGATCATGACCAATGAACATCAAAGGTTCTGGGGTATGTCCCCATTCTTTGGCTTTTACCAGAACACTATCCAAAACACCCAGAGCAACGAGGCTGTTTGTTGAACAGACCGATGGCTGAAAAAACAAGTTGGACGAGGAATCAACCAGGCAGGTGGTTGGAGGGTGCCATCCTTCATCAAGCATCAAGCAAACATAGTCATGCTGGGGAGCACTCATCCAGTGCAGGACCTGGTGGTTTCACATGGCAGAAGTTTTGGTGTGAACTAATATGCGTCGTCAAGAGTGGCTGTTCGAGAGCGAAGAGTGAGAGGATATGCAAGGGGCGACCTGTCAAAGAATTCTTATCGAATTCCAAATCCTGGGCACATGATGTTCAGAGCTGCGTTTTCCTCAGCGTTCCAGCCCAAGTTCTGCCCTGGAGTGATCGGCAGAGGGCTGGGAGCATAGGTCTCCTTCTTGTTTTGCTCGAAAAATCGAGGGTGATTCCTGGTTTACCTGGTGGCTTTTTTCTCATCTACCCGGGAAACCCATCTATTTCCCCGAAAAGGGCCCCTATGGTTTTTCAGTTGATGTTTTTCCAGGATACTTTGAGTCCCTGGTGAACGGCTTCGAGTATCTGCCGCATCTTTGGAACGACCAGCAGCGCGCACTGCTGCGCGGCACGGACGCCGAGCAGACGGCCCGGCTTTCGGCTCTCGGCTCTCGGCTTTCGGCTTTGGATCGACACACCGGTTGCCAGGGCAAACACCGCGGACTCGGGAGTCCGGAGCGGTTGCATTTGTCATGGAGGAACTGTGACACACTTCAACTTCCATTTGCTGAAGATGTTTTCTTATTTTCCCCTGTTGGTTTCAAAGGGAATCTATGACCAGTGGACATATTTTACGTTTTTTTTTTTTTTGTTTTTTTTTTCAGGGGTCTTAACCAAACGGAAGTCAAGGGGCTTGAGGACGGGTCTGACCTTAGATCAGCATTTGGCGCGATCGCGGCGCATCTCGTCGCCGCGTGGCCAATCTCGTCAAGGCAGCCCAGCCTCAAAGAGTCCTTTTCATCCAGCAGGGTCTGTCTGTTTTCTTTCGGGACCCTCCCCCCCAAAAAAAAAGAAGAACAAAGACAAACAAAACAACCCTGGGGCAAAGTCTTGTTCCTCTTGGTTTCCCTTCGATGAGGTTCTCAAAAGAGACATCGCCAGGCGTCCCGGACGAGGCAACGCTCCAATTTCGCCATCGCAGCTCGCAGGTCGAGGAGACCCGCCGCGAGCTCGCCGCGGAGTTCCGGCAGCTGCGCCCACTCTTGCGGAGAGCGGCGGCGCTCGCGGAGGATCGGGGCTCGAGTTGCGGCGGATGTTTTCTCAGAACGCAGGGCTTCTGCCCGGCACGGGGCTGATTTAGTCAATCGCAGACCTGGCCATGCGAGTTCTTAGCAAATCAGGGACTTTCCCGTGTGGAACCCAGAGTCAAAACAGTCGCGGGTGCAGTTTGCTGCGACTGTGCAGGTTCTGTGCTTGTTTTCTCTGGTACCCTCCCACTGACTATCTTGCACAGACCCTGTAGAAAGACGACTTTCCTCTTGAAAATGGGGTTTGTGCACTTCCATGTTAGTTGGCGGGAGGGTAAGAGCCTTGATTGCTATGAGCCAGGGAGATACCCTCCGGAGGGTCCCTTTACAGGAAAACAGTCTTGGTGCCATGTTCTGTGTTTGTTTCTTCTTCCCCAGAATTAGCTCCCCTTTTTGTTTTTTTGTTTGCTTTTTTAGCGTCCCTTGGTTTTCATATGTATACATAATATATATATATATATGTATCTTTTTGTTTGCTGGTTCTAGTTCCAGCCTTGTCTGGGAGGTTTTGGGTCGTGAGGTGGACATCACCCTGGAAGACTACCTCCAGGCGGCCTCCCTGGCCAGCTCGCGCGCCGCCCGGCTGGGGACGGGGGGACGGGGGGGGGGGTGGAGCACTCGCAGCTTTTCGCATGCCGGTGCTGAGGCATTCACGGTGGACGACTTCCACCTGGAGGTCGGAGGGGAAGGGGGGAAGAAGACTTGTGACTTATAACTATAGGTGTCCCTTTGATCGATTAGTTTGGTTAAACATAGACGGGTTCCACTGGTTTGGGTGGGGTGTACTCTATTTGCCAGGGAAACCCATCATTTTTTCACAGCGAAACCCAAACCTTTGCTTCTGACCCAGCGAACCCCAAAAACTGTCTTGTGCTTGGGCTAAGTCCTGGAGCTTGCATGTACCAAGCCCTCAAGCAGGAGATGAGCTTGGGCTAGCCATTTTTTGTCAAGCTGCGGTTGCGAACGCGACCGATTTCTTTGCATGATCATTTATGTGCCCCAGATGGCCGAACAGAATGCAGCAAACATCATCACAAGTTTGCTTCATGCTTTGCTTTCCGTGATGATTGGCGGCGCTAATGTTAGCTTTGAACACGCACATCCAGATTCCATACCAGCAGGGGAGCCACCCGTCAGCAAGCGAACCTCCGGAATCAGGTGGGACCCCCCCCCGCCGGTTAGCACACAGCTGCTATCATAGGCGTCCCTTTGATCGGTTAGTTTGGTTACACACAGATGGGTTTTCATGGGGTTTATGTCATCTAGTTACCAGGGGACCCCATCTTGTGTGTGGATGGACGAACTCCTGCACCGTTCAGACACCCAACGGAATGCCTCGATTCCCCTGTAAAATATAGCAACAAACTCTGGAATCAACCATGGTTTCCTTTCGTGGTGCCGAGTGGACTTCGTCCAGAGAATGTCTCAGGCGTTGGTTCCGCTGGCGGATGCCTTCAATCACCGCTGCCAGAGGGTCCCAGCCGGCGAGAAGGTCAAGGAGATCCAGCCAGGCACCGGCACCGGCGTGGATGAAACACGAGACCATGTTCCTTTCTAAAGGGACCCTGAACGTCAGGTTCCATGTTAATTGGTGGGAGGGTATCATCCCCGGGATTTCACTACCTGGCAGAATTGATGGTGCAGGATTTTGTGTCCACTCGTCTTGTCTGGAGAGGGGATGTTCGGAAGAAGCCGCTGAAAAGGAACTGACATACACCCTGCTCGAAATTTGATGGCGGGCCAAAACTTTCGGATGGACTTTTCTCCACGCCAGGCATCGGTTGCTTTAGTTTGTCAACTGCTATTCAGAAGGTTTCATCCATCACTGGTGCAGGATGTTTGCCTGATTGTTGCAAGTTCGGAACCAGACATAATCTGTGATTTCCATGGCCTTTGGTTTCGCTGCGATGTTTGTGGACATGAAGCCTATTAAACGGATGGCAGGCTGTTTTTGAGCCATGTGCTGGCTGCACCTTCCACAATTCACGTTGTAGCATGCCTCTTGAGATGGGCATGGCATTGGAGCAACGTGCAAGGCACTTGCACCGTGAGCACTCCGGACGAGGGCAGCGGAAGCTCGGCGAGAGGTGAGTGGCGATGCTTTGGCTTCGGGTTGGGGGCTGGACGTGAAGTCCCTGGAAAAAGTGATTGCACTACCAAAGTGCCAAAGGCCTCTAACGAACAATATTGGTCTTGACTCCTGGCATCGTGAGAACTGTATATATCTACAATGGTATACAGTATACATAGATGTTTGTTTACATGTACGTTTGGAATGATGCTTCGTCAATGTTCCGCCTCAAAAGCAAGGATAAAGGAAGGTTTTGTCAGAAGCAACCTCGTATATTGGCACGAACCCTGTGCCAGCATGTTCTGTATGTTTTCCAAGATCTGGACCGCTTGCTGATGCAATATCCAGTCCGGCTGAACTTGATATTGATTTCTCTTTACCATTCTGACTGTTGCCACAGCCTGCAATTGGGACGGTCAGGGTTTGCAGAACCCACCCAATGTTTGAGAACACAGCCGAAAGCCAATGTTGGGGTGGTCGAAAAGCAGCTATGTTGATTCATGATATGGGGGGGGAATCCGAGGAATCCTCTGAATGGGAGCCCCATGGAAGCCCCTGATCCCGCCATCGGGGAAAGTTGCCTGCGGGACTAAGACAGGGCGCCCTTCAGCCTCTGGCGCGGCAAAGTGCCTGGCATGAGACTCGGCGTTGGGTGTCCAGCAGTCAGTGGCCATGGGTTGCAGAAGCCTATGGGGATCCCATGGGGTGGAGGAACATCCATTTTCCAGCCATTTTGATGTTCACAAACAGGGTTTGACCCACAGCCAATGGGTGGAATGCCAAGCAAACGCGTGGAAGGCTGTCCACAGTGTTCACCCCCATGAAGAAGCAAAGCTGGGGCCTTGAGGTAGAGGAGAGTTGTGTCTTTTTATAGCAGCGCCGGGAAATTCTCGGCTAGGAGGATTGGTTCCATACCAGGGTTCTGGCATCACTCGGGGTTTCTCCCCCCAATGGTGTGATACTTTTGGGAATCCCCTCGTTTTCTGGGGGGTTAGTCTTTGCTGTATCACAGAAGTGGTCATTCCCCACAGCCTGTATGGTTTCAGAAGTGTGGCACGGTGGTCGCCGATGGCTCTCAGTTTCTGCCAACTGAGCCATACTCAAAACCCGTGTTGGCAATTGGAGGGCAGGGGCATGCCCCTTGCCATGGGTGCGGATCTCGCCTTTGCAATCCTTGAAACATGGGAGTCTGGGCTTGGACCATATTTTACTACTCGGTTTTGAGTATGACTCTAGGCCAACTGCTTTCGGAATCGAATCCGAGGCAGATAGCGCTGGCCGAGAGTGTGGGCAAGGTGCGGGCACTGAGATGTTCTGGGGAATGTGGGAATCAACCTGGGGATTTTCTGAAACCACAAGGGATGGTTTATCCGGGTCATTGCCTCATTCTCTGCCGATCACCAGCCAGTGACCAGGAGGGAGGCCACACATTTCGAGGCTCAACAAAAAGACACGCACGCACTGTCAGCAGTGGCCCAGTGGTGCCCTTCTGCTTTTTCTTTGGGGAAAACGGTGCCCCTTGAAATTCCGCCAACCCAAAAAGGGCTGCCCCTGCAGCGTCTGCGTCAACCAACGCCTCGGCCCCGGACTCCCAGCTCCAGGGAGCCAGAGGCACTGGCCCCGCGGGCAAGCTCATGGCTTACGTGCTGACGGCCGCTTGTCTCGAAGGCGGTGAAACACCGAGATGGCGTTTTTGTCCATGGGCCAAGATCAGGGGATCGACGGATCGGATCCGAAAGCCAAGACGGGGCGGCTTTCCGTTTGGCTTAAGCTTTGCAGACCTGAAAAAAAGGGGGGTACCCCTGAAATCGCACACTCAAGTCGTGGAAAACGATACCGAGGACATTCCAGCTGATCGGGAGATCTTCAACACATACGGGGAGTTTTCCAATGACAAGCTGTTGCAAGACTATGGCTTCGTCCTGGAGCACAATGCCTTTAACACGGTCACTCTGGCGCGTGCGGCCTTGGTGCGGGTCTCAGGATTCTATGGTGTTGGGAGGGCAGTGGATGTGTTATTTCCAATCAACTTCCTCGTGCGCGCTGCTGTACTTAATTTGTTCCAACGTTTCGACCGCGAAAAGTCTGCCAAACCGCCATCCGGGTTTCAAGATAGGCCAACTTTGAACAGCCGTTGGTTTCCTTTTGGTTTCCGTGTCCAACCAACCAACAGGGTTTCTCTTTGCTTAGTGAATCAACAGAAAGGGGACCCTCAGATCGAATGTTAACAAAGCAAAGGTGGTTCACAGACACTCCCTGAGGGGATTTTTCAGCAAGGGGACCAAAAGGGGCCCCCTGAAGACCAGACACTCCGAGCGAATCGGAGCGAATCGGGTCGAGGAGTCTGCGTCCCGGGCGGCTCAGCTGCGCTTCGCGCGGGCTCACTGCAAGCAGCTGGGGCTGCTGCAAGGCGCCTTGCATGTGTGTGTGTGTGTGTGTGTCTGGTTAAATCACCAGCGGACCACAGGTTTTGGTGTATGTTGAGGGTACCTTTTCCAGGTGGGTCAAAATCAAACCCAGTAGGGAATGTGGGAATCAAGCCAGGGATCCCCTTAACAGAAACCACAAGGAATGGCTCCTGTGTCTTTTTGAGGGTACCCTTTCCAGGTGGGTATGGGTCAAAGTTAAACCACCAGGGGACCACAGGTTTTGGTCCATGTGTGTGTACTGTGGATGGACGAAATCCACTTCGTCCCCAAAGAAACCCAAGAATGATTCGATTCCCAGTAAAATACCAAGAAGCCAATGGTTTGCAGCATGGTTTCTTAGGTGCGAAATGGATTTGGTCCACAGTCTTGTGGGTAGCCTTTCCAGGTTGGTTCAAAGGGCCCAAGGGAAGCCAGCCGGTTGCGATATGAGCCCCAGATGGATGGATCCTGCCAACTTGCCAGCTGGTCCGCTCCGTGGGTTTTCTCCATCCACAGTGTGGCCATGATCTTTTTGGAGGCTTTGTCTCCAAGCATTTCTGAGGGTGTTCCACACTAAAGCTCGTGGCACATATTCGTGGGCAAAATAAAGCGGCCGACGAAGGATAATTGTTGTTTCTTGAGCAACAGGCAGAGACTGCGGGGAAGGCCTTTCTGATTTGAAAGATAAGGCACGCAGAAACTAGGAGAAGGATGCTCCTCCCTACCCCTGCTTGTTCCCAGTCAGTCCTTGTTATAGTTCACGAGCTTCTTGGAATGATTTGGAGACAGCATGGCATGATGCCCTCAAAAGGAGAAGCAGATGAAGAGGAGGAGGAAGAGGAGGAGGAAGAGGAAGACGTGGATGAGATGGATGCAGAAGATGGTAGCCGAGGCTGCTTGTCTTGCGCGTTAAGAATTTGGATTGTGCTTTCTACCTGGCAGTAGAATAACTCGGTCAAAGACCTTTTGGGATTGGGGATGGCGTTGACAAGGGCTTGTTGCTAAACATTTAGTAAGCCGCTGTTCTTGTTGCCTGTGAAGGTCCCAGGCTTGATGGTCAATCAACTTTTCGCTAAACATTTGGTAAGCCACTGTGCTGGTCTGTGAGCAACGTCCCAGGCTTCATCTCCTTCTTTGAACTGCCAGCCAGCGGCCGACTTCCTCGCCAACTTCGAGTGCTTTTGGCCGTGTCTTGGCCATGGCCCTTGGGGTGGACCGGTGGAGGTTCGCTCACCTGCCAAAGGGTTACCCAACCAGAGGCAGAGCAAACTCGCAGTTCGGGTCAGCATGTGGCTGGTCAAGAATTGGGTAACCCCAACACAGGTTGCCCGATCGGCAAACGGACACCAGGACTGACACGAGCAGAAGATAGGGTAGCCCCAAAGTGGGTTGCCCCATCGGGTAAATGGGATACAAGGGACATTTCAACCTCTCCAATTCCTGGTTGAAATTGGACCGGCAACCAAGCAGCGATATAAGGGACATTTCAACCTCCAATTCGGACCCACACCCAACCAAGCAGCCGGAAGGGTCCCTGGAGCTAAATGCCCCAAGTGGAACCCTGGTGCTGCGTCCTTTTGAGGTGCTGGCAAGTCCCAGGAAGGAGCTGCGGACGAGGTGCGACACCAGGGACTCGGAGCAAAATCGGGCGAAAGGACCTGGTGGACGGGACGCCCTTGAAAGAAGATCTACTGACCCCCTTTAGGGAATTTAGACCACCATGATTTTTCCTTTTTGTTTTGTTTTGTTTTCTTCCTTTTTTTTTCTTCTTTTTTTTTGGTAAGGATTACCTGTTAGAGGAACCGTGACCATGATGCACACAAGGAGTCTTGACCTTGACACCACATTTAGACCTCCAGAGACGAGATGCAGCTGAATGTTGATTTCTCATGGGCTACCGCTCTTGTTCTGCATCAAGGGAAAGGTTGTCACGGTTGCTTACAGCCGGACATGCTTTAGACATCATACTGATTGTTCCACAGGGCATTGAGAAGTGACGTTGACACCGAAACCAAAAGGCGACGTTATGAGAATGCTGCATTTACCGCTTCTTTTTTTGGCATCTCGGGGAACTCCACAAACAACATATATATTTTTCTCCCGGAAGTCCCAGAACCCCACCCCCCACCCCCACCTCACCCCCCCCACCCCACCCCCCACCCCCCACCCCACCCCCCACCCCACACCCCGCCACCCCACGCCCCCAGACACTCGCCAGGCCGAAGCCGGACGTCCGGGGCGCCTGGCGCCCGCTGCTGCGGCGCGCGCTGCGCCGGCGCTGGGCGGAGTACCCGGAGACCTGCGAGGCTTCGGGTTCCATGGAGCTTGGGGGGGGAAGGGAGGGGAGGGAGGGGAGGGATGGGAGGCATTATTTATGGCTTACTTGGGCTCAAGGGGAGACTTTGATGGTTTAAAACAGTGGGGCCTGAAACAAACCCCGGGGGCTAGGGCAGGGTAAGGGCGTAAGAGCTTATTTGGGCTCCCGCCCCCTCCACTAACTCCACAACCCCAGCCCCCATGACATAGGCAGGGAATGAGAAGTTCAGCTTCCGAATTGGTGGCGTGGATTGGTTTGGGATTTTAGCTGTGCGCCAAACCATAGGCGGGGATTGAGTTGGAATGAGACCTAGAAACTATCCGTCCGATGTGGTTTCCTTTGAGGGAATTCCTAGATTTATTCCCAACTTCTGTTTGGCTTGCAATGTTTAGCCCTTTTATGGTTTGTTGTATCCATCTTTTGCTGTTTGTTGTTTCTTTGGCTTTGTGTTTGGCTTTTTGCCGTGGTGTTGTTCATTTGGGTGCGTGAGGTGCAACTGTTGTCATTTGCTGGTTGCAGGAGCTTCGCCTGATTTGTTTGAGAATTCATGTCGGCGCAATCGTGGGAATCCCAAACAAAATGGCAAGGATCCCAAGCTGCAATTGTCAGGATTCCTCGGTGAGGCCAAGATTGCACGCGTGTTTCCACAAATTTGTTTGCAGGCTAAGAAGCGGCCAAGATCAGGTTCCCGTTGCTTGGAAGTCTGGATTGGTGGTTTTGGATTTGAACCCCCGGTTCTTGCAGGCAGGCGCAACAGAAGGGGTCAGGCCCAACCAAAGCATCATCTTGCAAAGGGTAAAATAGGAACACCCTCCATTTGGATGTGGGTCAAAAATAGGTACCCAAAATGGAACCCCAGCAAGTGGAAACAAAGACCAAAACCTGCGATCCCCTGGTGATTTAATTTTGACCCATACCCATTTCACCACCAAACCACCAGGCTCCAACTAGGAGGAAGCCGCGAAGACGCCTTCGGATAGGGCTTTCGCTTCGAGGCTGCTGTGGACCGCGAGCGCTGGCGCCAGATGCCAGCCGGGCTGGAGAGGGATGCCCTGGGTTTACGCGCCTCGGGCGCGTATGATACGGAGGGCTTGGAGATGGGTGAAACTCAAACCAGGCGGCCATGTTTCTGCGGGCGTGTGGTATGGGGGAGGAATTGAGTGTGGGTCAATATCAATCCACCAGGTCTTGGCCATGTTTCTGCCGTCCATTTTGGGTACCTATTTTTTGACCCACGGCCAGTTCTGCCGGATTGCTCGGTGTTTTGGGCCCCCACTTTGAGAGTGTTCTGTCGTGATGGATGTGCAGTCGCAAAGCGATACATGGGGTGTGAGAACGCCCGTGAACTCAGGTTCCCCTTATTTGGTGGTTTAAATTGGTGGTTTGGAGATTTGGACTTTTTTGGGCTTTGTAGATGTTGAATGGGAAGCCACCCCCTAACCTCCAAACCACCAATCCAAACCACCAGTTAGAAGGAAGCTGATGAACTGGTGGATCTGGTCGAACACTCCGAGGCATCAGCGAGAAAGAGATCCTGGCTTCTTGGCTGAGATCAACAGGTGCCTGACACGTTTGCCTCAAGGCGTCCGGTTGCAGCCAATTCGGCATACGCTTGTTGCAACTTGTATGTGGGGGTTGATCAAACGGTCCTTTACATGGGATGACCATTGGGGGAAACTACTACGAAGATGATATTCCCCACTAAATGGGAAAGGTTACCCATGGTCATTTGGGGGCCAGGAATATTGGCAGCCCCCATGTGTGTGTGTGTGTGTGTGTGTGTGTGTCTGTTGCTGCCACGTTTTCGCTCAGGAGCATTTTCTGCAGCTGGCGCGACCTTTGAGCCGAAAACGCGGGGTCCTGCAAGCATGGAAAGCGGCCAAAAAGCGCGGATGCCTTCGAACACTGGCTGGTGTCACTGTTGCAGCCACTCCATTCTGAGCACATTCCATCCCATGTCAGGTGGTTCTTGAGCCAGACATGCAAGAAGATAGCTCCTTAGCAGCAAGGAGGAAGTGAGAGGAAAGGACCAAGATGGCTTTGTGACTTGAATAAGAGCTGTCTGCAAATCGTTCGCCTTGGCCGGACGTTTAGGCACAAACAAACTTGAAAGAGCAGGGAGCCATGTTTGTCCTTGGCTTCCCATCTCAAGCGAGTGAGCCCCCCAGAGAGCATCCTTGTGTTGCCGCTTGGAAGCCTCAGGTCGAAATCCAAGACGGAGACTTGCTTGCATATTTCAAGCTGGCCTGAATCTGTGTGCGTCTGACGGCATGTGTGTTCAAACCCTGTTTGAGAAAGGAATATGATTGTGCCGCGCACAGGAGTGTTGTCATGCTGCTCTAATGTTTTCTGACAAATGTCAAATTCAAGTGCGTGCATGTGAGATGGGGGGGTTCCAGACACCGGTGCAACAATTGCTGTCAGTGGTGCCACACCAAGGCAAAGTGGTTCACTATGACGTGCCACTGACCTGTTTGGCTGTGAGCCTTTTGCTTGGCTGCGGAGGAAAGCTGATTGAACAAATTTAATTGCCTCATGTTTGGGCACCGGCGAAGCCTAGCCCATAGCGGCATGTGCAACATTTGCTGGAAGCTATCAGGTGTCTCAAAATTAGGGACCTCTCCGGGAGCTTGGTTGGGTATGGGTGAAAATTAAACCACCAGGACTTGGACTGCAGGTGCTAGTAGTTGTTTCCATTTCTCAAAAAAACCTCATTTTGGGGCTTGGACCACCACTCTAGGGGTTGATTCCCCATTCTTTTCAGCCCTCGTTCTTTTCAAAAACCAGATCCATTTCCCCAGGGTTCTGGTTTCCTAGAAAGATCCGGATCCCTGGAAAGCATGGTTGGAAGTTCCCCCTAGAGCCACACCAGGAATTGGGCCGGTCTTAGTTGTTTCCATTTCCCGGGGGCCGGACCACCACATCCAGCTTCTCTGGTTGCCTTTTCTGGCGACTTGGGGCCCACATGCCTGAACTTGGACTCCATTTTTCCAGCGAAAAGGAGGGGGGCAGGGGGGGAGGGGGGCAAAACTGCCAGTTTACTTGCTGGTGCGACGGGTAGGGTACGGAAGCCCCACCAACCAGTTGGATGGTTTATCTTGGGGTCATTCCATTTCTCAGGGCCCCGAGAGGCATCTCTCGCACCAGCCAAAACGAAATGGTCTTCCAACCCGCTCTTTGCATGGTATGTGCCAGGGCGACTTCCGCTTCTACATGGACTCCAACGCGGAGATGAGGAAGAAGATCGAGTCGCCTGCGGCCCTGGATCGAGACAGTGGAGGGTTCAGAAACCTCAGGAATGAGTTGTGTGCTTCCCCGAAAGGTTTACGAAAACCTCTGAAATGGGGACACTGCCTGTTTCTCATGCAGTGAGGTTGCGAACCCGGGGTCGGCATTAGAGAGGCTGAACAGTTGGAAGCAGAAGCCATTTCTGGCTGGGTACTGGCCTTTGCGAAGAGAGAAAAGACTTCACCCCACCCTGAGCTCTTTGAATCAAAGAGGTAGCTTGAGCAAGTGCCACGGTTTCATGCTTCGTGGCTGGTTCCATCCCAGCCAGTCGTGCTCAAAACCTCGAATCTCAGGCACTACACAGGCATCGACGGCCTCATTGACTCTGTGCCCGCCTCCCGGGACGAGCGCAAGAAACTGGAGCCCGGGCGGGTTGTCGGCGAAGGAAGAGATCTGGGTGAATTATAACGACCTCACACGACCGAATTCTCCCCAAATGGTGGTTTATCTGGGGAATGGCCCCCCAACCACCTTATTTCAGGTTGGTGAAATACTATAATTCACCCAGAAGAGATTGCGCAGGGAGAAACTGTCGGGTACCCTTTTTGCTGTTGCAATGGCTGCGCGGTCCAATTGGGCTCGCTTTGAACAACTGAGCCAGAATCAACACTGGGCGCGTAAAGGCGAGTAAGGGACAGTCGCGGCCATAAATAGGTGCAGCCATTTTCAGTCGGTTGCATTTTTTGTGGGTAGACCATGTTGATACGGCTGTGGCTCAACAAAATGTGAATACAGAATGGCACCTTGGTAAGTGGAACCAAAAACTAAAACCTGCGTAACCCCGCATTTTTTTGATTTGGAGCCACACCCATATCATGTTTTGGTTGTGACTCGGCTCGCGAAGCTGTTCGCAGGAGAGGAAGGGCCTCAGGAAGAACCGCGGGAAGCGCGCGGCGGAGGACACATGGCACTCCGCGACTGACGTGCGGATTGTGTAGCGGTTTGTCCCGGTGGCCACGTGCCCGGCGGTGGTTTGGGAGGGTAGTGATCCATCCTGATCCATTCCACTCCGGGAGGAGGTTGCCTCATTTGATGGCAACCTCCCAGATCATTTCTCTGAGCATGACGAACATTGCTTGTCAATTTGGAGAGGACATGGGACCGCTTCTCGGGCTTTCCCTCCTTGGAAACAATGGTTATGGAGTTAGTTTGTCCTTTCTAGCATCCAAGGAATCCTTGCATCATGCTTTCTTTCAAACGAAGGTGGCGGGGCGTTCCCCGCAATTCCCCACAGCTCAGAAAGAATGGACGGCGAAACTGCAGGAAGGATTCCATAAGCCCATAGTTGACAAGGTGTTTGTTTCTTGCGTTTACTGGGCTTTCTTTGCCCAAATCCCTGCAAAACCAATGGAATCAAGAGGAATCTCCTGGGAGAAACATCGATGTCGGGTGTTCATTTTTACGGACATTGGGACACCCCCACATCCTCCCAAATCCAGGGAAGACACCAAATCTTCAACCATTTGAATATTTTGGGCGAGCTCACTTGGGGGTAGAGCGAGCCCGCCACGATGTAGGTCCTTTCGAGGATCCAAGTCTTTTCAGGCTTTGAATTGTCAAATCTGCATCCTGATTCCTTATGCCAACTGTTCGTGGTTTGCACGACAGATGTTGGGGAAAGATGAGAACAAAAATATATTGTCTCCGCTCATATCTCTGGGTGAATTACAACGACCTCACACGACCGAATTCACCCCAAATGGTGGGTTTATGTGGGGAATAGGCCCCCGTTTTCACCTTAAATCAGGCTGGTGAAATCTTATAAGTCTCCGCTCATATCTGAGTCCGGTGTCAGGAGCGCCAGCAGCTCATCAGCGGCAACTTCCTTTCAAGCCGCGAGTGGAGGCTCCAACGGGTAGAAGCCTAGGCGACGATTCCATGCCGTGGTTTGTGACTCATGACTCGCGCTTGGTTTCTTTTCCTTGCTTTCCCCTCCAAAGGATCAAAGAAGAGGACGCCTGTTTGAGAATCACCCATTTTCACCCTTGTTCTGTGCGGTTTAAGAAGAGCCTTTCAATATCAGGTTTCCATTGTGACTCCAGGAAGACAAGGTCAACTTTGCTGGCAGTTCTCCCCTTTGGCGTAAGCCGCGGTTGCTTGGCGCACACAGGACGGCGAAGGCTATGGCAAACCAATCACAGAACTCACTTCGTGGCTTTTTTCGAAAATCATTTGCAGAAAAAGATAACTCCATCTAAGCAGTGGTGTGCATTATTTTTGGACTTGGCGAATACAAGCTAGCCCAGCATGAGGGAGACTCAAGCGTGAGTGCTGTTCATAGTCCGGGCAACACCGCGCCAGGTGACAAAAAAGCGCGGTGGACATTTTGGTAAGACAGCTCGTTTCAATTTCGCCTGCCAGTTGCTTGAGGCCCTGGCCGGAAGAATTTTCGGACTCGACCCATCTATCCATTTTTCCAGCCTCGAGCTTGGCCTAGCGATGTCGGTGGTGTAGGTTGTAGCCATAGGTGTCCTTTTTGGTGGTTTTTGTGGAAAAATAGATGGCGATTCCTGGTTTACCTGGTGGTTTCATCATCTACCAGGGCCATCTATTTGCCCTAAAAGGCCAACTATGGTTGTAGCCCCTTGAGCAACCTATGCCTTCGCTTACTCGGCGAAGGCAGAATTTTCCCAGCGCCAAGCTCGGTGGTTGCATTTGGAGACGTCGATTCGCCCCTTTTCCGCGAGGCTCCAAAGCCAAGAGTTCCTGTTTCGCCACGGGACAGCTTTGCGGGAACTTCCGTAGGGCGGGTAAAGAAGTGGTGCAGCTTTCATTTGGAGGGGCCCGGAATGTGTCATGTTGTTGGAGACCTAGCTGCTTAACCAGAGACACTGCAATACGCTGGGTGAGGGTGACTTAAATTCTCATGGGCTGTCCTCTCAGTGAGGCGCACTCTGACTTGTCGCATCTCCAACGAATCAATGACGTTTCAGTGTCTCAAAGAGACAGAGGCGGTCGGACTGCGATTCTGACCCGACTTCCAGCGTCGGGGTCAAGTGTAGTTGCCTGTTTGCCGAGCTACTGATATTTTCAGAGCTGATATGGGAAGTGTCCACTGGCTGCAGGGTGAACAGGCATTTTTTCACAGAGACCTGGTCATGATTTGATGGTTTCAGCAGGAAAAGCTGCACACCCAGGCCGTCCCAGACTTCAAAAGGTGCCCCCCCTGAACCTTTGGCAGCCAAGAGACCAATCCAATCCAAGCAACATCAAGCAACTGAGTTGCTTGGGGAAGGTAGCTTCGGGTCTGCCAAAAAGCCGTCAGAGCTGCACGGAACAGCCTGTGATTGCAACGGGGCCGAGCTGAGCCGTTTCAGCATCCAAAGCACAAGAGCAGAAAGCCTTATAGGGTAAATCAGACGGGGGTCGCTTCGAGCATATCGCAGGATCAGGTCGTGTGTGTTCATGTTTGTGTAGCCAAAGCCAAGAGCGAGTCAGCTACGTCAAGCCTACGATCGAACCTTCAGCCCGCCCCGGCCAATGCATGGCTGAAAAGACGGAGACTCGCGAACGGCTCACCTTGGAGGCGGCCGAAGCATTGTTCCTTGCGGATATGTCGCCAGCTTGTGCTCGGAACGCCAAACGCCCTGAGGCTATGTCATGGACACAAATCCATCCCCATCCAGACCTGCCCCCCGCCCCCCCCCCCCCCCGCGGTACTTAGTTTCCTACTTTTTGGCTGGTGGGGGGGTGGGGTGCCTTTCTCTTGGTCCAAGCGATTGGTTTCGCGTCGGCCGGGCGAACTCGCCTCGCGAGGACTTCGACTCCCATGAGGCGAGACGCGTTTTCGCGTCGCGACGCGCAGAGCCGATTTCTGGGGAAAGACGCGAAAGGGGCTTTGTATCACTTCCGTGTTAGTTGGTGGGAGGGGAAATGAAAAAATCACCCCCCCCCCCCTCCAATGTCTGATGCTTTTTCCCTTTGCCAAGAAAAAGGGTGTCAAGCCAAGAAATAAAGCACCCTCAAGGAAAAAGGATGCCCGGACTTCGCTCGCGCTCTTTATGGCCCAGGGAGCGGTTTTGCCTTCGTTCGCCACTCGCGTTTCCAGGCCGCCTTCGACCCAGTGGCATGGCTGAACTCCAGGCGCGTCTCTCGTTTTTTGGCGGCGGCTTTCCAAAAAGGCGGCTCTCCAGTGGCATCCCGAAAGGTCCTCCCGTTTTTTTGTGAAGGACGTGGGTTCCATGTTCCGGCGCGTTTCCAGATGCGTTTCCAGGTTTCTCCAAAAGGTGCTTTTAAGCACCAGGTGGGTTAAAAAAACCCAGCGCGTTTCCTGGAAACCCCAGGTTTCTTTTTCTCAAAAAGGCTCCCAGGGAGGGCCTTTGAGGGAGGTGCCTCGCCCTGTCACCGGGCGAGGCTCTCCAAGAGCAATGTGCCCTTCGAGAAGCTGGATCAGCACTTGCCGGGGCCTCGGCGTCAGAGCGGTGCCCATGGACTGAAATGGCTGTGGGCGGGGCAAACATGGTGGACCCCAAAATGAGGTAACCCCTGGTGAGTCGAAAAGGACGAAAATTCCTGCCTTCGCCGGGCGGTTTTATTTTGACCCGTACCCAAATGGACCTCAAGCTCGAGCGGTTGGGATTGACCGTAACGCAAGAAGTGGAGGTTGCTCCCCTGAACCTGGAATGCAGCAGGGTCCAAGAAGATCATCCGCTTTGACAAGGCCAACCCTCTTAGCGTCATCCCGCGAGATCGGAGCCGTGAAAAGTGAGAAGCTTTGCGTAGCTTGGCCCATGCCCATGTACCCCCGCAGGCAAACCGTTGGTTTCTGTTGGGTTCCACCTGAAACCTACACGAGAACGATTCTTCGGAGCCGATCCGTGCATCTCCCGAGGGCCTCCCTGAGCATGAGCTGTGCTGGTCTCAGCATTGCGATCAGCGGACTAATGGAGATCCAGTCGCCAAGGTCAACATGAATCTTGAAAGGATGAATAAGCCCCTAGCTGATTCATAGGGGGTGTCCCTTTTAGTGGGGATTCATCACTTTTGGAGGGAATACCCCCCTAATAATAGGGTGGGTTTATACATCCAGGGTCAACATTCGGCCTTCAGATCCAACCCGTCTGGGATGTGTCCCATCCAGTTTCCTCACTCCTCTCATCTCGCCCAGGCTCTTTGTGTATTGAACCTTGTCCTGGGGGGGGGTTCCCCTACTCAAATAGACCATCCAGCAAAAAGTGAGTTACCCGTTTTTGGAGGGGGGTTCCCCTACTCAAATAGACTACGTAGCAAAAAGTGGGTACCCTAGGTCCCCCAGTAGTGCCCTTGTACTTCTTCCTTTTTACATTCCCCTACTCAAATAGACCTTCCAGCAAAAAGTGAGTTACCCGTTTTTGGAGGGGGGTTCCCCTACTCAAATAGACTACGTAGCAAAAAGTGGGTACCCTAGGTCCCCCAGTAGTGCCCTTGTACTTCTTCTTTTGAGGGGGGGGGTTCCCCTACTCAAATAGACCTTCCAGCAAAAAGTGAGTTACCCGTTTTTGGAGGAGGGTTCCCCTACTCAAATAGACCTTCCAGCAAAAAGTGAGTTACCCGTTTTTGGAGGGGGGTTCGCCTACTCAAATAGACTACGTAGCAAAAAGTGGGTACCCTAGGTGCCCCAGTAGTGCCCTTGTACTTCTTACTTAAATAGACCTTTGTTAGGGGGGGGGGGCCCGCCTTCCAGCAAAAAGTGAGTTACCCGTTTTTGGAGGGCAAAAAGTGAGTTACCCGTTTTTGGAGGAGGGTTCCCCTACTCAAATAGACTTCCAGCAAAAAGTGAGTTACCCGTTTTTGGAGGAGGGTTCCCCTACTCAAATAGACCTTCCAGCAAAAAGTGAGTTACCCGTTTTTGGAGGGGGTTCCCCTACTCAAATAGACCTTCCAGCAAAAAGTGAGTTACCCGTTTTTGGAGGGGGGTTCCCCTACTCAAATAGACTACGTAGCAAAAAGTGGGTACCCTAGGTCCCCCAGTAGTGCCCTTGTACTTCTTCTTTTGAGGGGGGAAGTTCCCCTACTCAAATAGACCTTCCAGCAAAAAGTGAGTTACCCGTTTTTGGAGGGGGGTTCGCCTACTCAAATAGACTACGTAGCAAAAAGTGGGTACCCTAGGTCCCCCAGTAGTGCCCTTGTACTTCTTCTTTTGAGGGGGGGGGTTCCCCTACTCAAATAGACCTTCCAGCAAAAAGTGAGTTACCCGTTTTTGGAGGAGGGTTCCCCTACTAAAATAGACCTTCCAGCAAAAAGTGAGTTACCCGTTTTTGGAGGAGGGTTCCCCTACTAAAATAGACCTTCCAGCAAAAAGTGAGTTACCCGTTTTTGGAGGAGGGTTCCCCTACTAAAATAGACCTTCCAGCAAAAAGTGAGTTACCCGTTTTTGGAGGAGGGTTCCCCTACTAAAATAGACCTTCCAGCAAAAAGTGAGTTACCCGTTTTTGGAGGAGGGTTCCCCTACTCAAATAGACCTTCCAGCAAAAAGTGAGTTACCCGTTTTTGGAGGAGGGTTCCCCTACTCAAATAGACCTTCCAGCAAAAAGTGAGTTACCCGTTTTTGGAGGAGGGTTCCCCTACTAAAATAGACCTTCCAGCAAAAAGTGAGTTACCCGTTTTGGAGGAGGGTTCCCCTACTAAAATAGACCTTCCAGCAAAAAGTGAGTTACCCGTTTTTGGAGGAAACCTTCCAGCAAAAAGTGAGTTACCCGTTTTTGGTAGGGTTCTACAATAGACCTTCCAGCAAAAAGTGAGTTACCCGTTTTTGGAGGAGGGTTCCCCTACTAAAATAGACCTTCCAGCAAAAAGTGAGTTACCCGTTTTTGGAGGAGGGTTCCCCTACTAAAATAGACCTTCCAGCAAAAAGTGAGTTACCCGTTTTTGGAGGAGGGTTCCCCTACTCAAATAGACCTTCCAGCAAAAAGTGAGTTACCCGTTTTTGGAGGAGGGTTCCCCTACTCAAATAGACCTTCCAGCAAAAAGTGAGTTACCCGTTTTTGGAGGAGGGTTCCCCTACTCAAATAGACCTTCCAGCAAAAAGTGAGTTACCCGTTTTTGGAGGAGGGTTCCCCTACTAAAATAGACCTTCCAGCAAAAAGTGAGTTACCCGTTTTTGGAGGAGGGCGGCGAACCGGAGGACCTAGTTACATCCTGCCTTCCAGGTCAGCTCCTCTGCCAGGACACCTCTGAGTCCATCGAGTTGGCAAGCAACCAGCTGGCGCGGGGGAGTTCGAACGGGCCGTGAGGGTGACGGAGCCTAGGGACTTTTAAACACCCTCTGAATGAATAACCTTGATTTCCTTGAAGCACTATCCAAAAAAAGATTCAATTCCATTTGGGACACCATCTAAAAGGGCTTTTTGATGTGGCCGTGAGGATCCCAGAGTCACGAGTGCTGAAGGCTCAGCCCTCTGGCTTGAGCTTCGGGTTTCTTGGTCTTTTTATACGAGTTGATTTGTCGCATCAGGTTCTATTTGTATGGGCTCGTCCATGATACAACTCTGATCGCTCTACAATATGGTTTCCGCTGGCTCGCCCTTGACCAGGAGCGCTTTCCAGAAAGTCAACATTGGGCAGACTTGTTCCCTCTTGTGGACTGGTACCGGCGTATTGTTTCCAACCAACATGAAGCTCGCAATGTTTGGGACGACTCTGTTCTACACAATTTGTGGAAGTGGACTTTCAAATTTCAGAGCAAACAAAAAACAGTTTTTCTACTTCTCCATCTACCAGAGTTCCATATTGGGCCCCTACTTTCGAGCCGCGGCCATGACACCAAAATGTGTCACGCCCGCCGGAAACTGGGAGCGAGCCATGGGCCTTTCGGCAGGTCTCGCAGCTGAAGCCTTCGGCCAGGGATTTGGAGCGCATGCGTCAGGAGGCAGGGCAGGGCGAGGAGCGCCGGAAGAAATGAGCGCCGGAAGCCTTTTCCCCCCCCCCCGGTGGTATTTTCGTTTGGGTTTGGCTACCCTTTTTGGGCTCTTGGCTTATATGTGTCTGAGGCTCTTTTTTTTGGGATTGGTTGTGGTTGTTTGTTTCCCTTCCGGCAGGTCCGTGCCAGCTGAAGTCTACGCGATGCGATCAACTTGACGCGCAGTCATATATGAGCAATATTGACCATGGTGCTGGTATCAGCTTTGGTGGTCCCCTACCGGGTTTTGAAGGTTGAGGCGTATCGTTGATGTTGGGTTTTGGATGCGTTTGGACCGCGTTGAATTCCCTGTCAGTTTGGGCATCGTGACCACTGAGAAGAAAGCCTCTTGGTGTTCTCATTAAGTGAGCCAGCCAATATGTGTGTTGCAGTTGGACCTTTTGTAGTCCTGTGGACACACTGTTAGCTATTCAAAAGGACATCGCTACTAAGCCGCTACTAGATCAGTGGAGCCTGTGCGTGCAAACCGTAAAGGTGTCCGCTCTTGTAGTGCCTTACGTGGTTTTTGGCGAGACTCCTTTGCCGGGCCTTGGTTAGGACTCAAGACAAAGTGAGTGGCTTAAGGATAGGCTTCAGGACCCAAGACAAATTTGGTCAAAACCCCGGGTAGATTGCGACAGAATGTCACCAGCCCTACATGATGCAGATATGCGTCATAGCATTCCTGCTGAAGACCCTTGATTCCACTTTGGCACGAGGCTGCATGTTTCGGCACCAAGGGTTGTTTTTTCCTGTAGTGTAGAAGCTGGGCGAAAGGAGTTGACAGAAGCGAACATCCTCGCCGAAAGAGAGATCAGTCTTACGATCGTGCCTTTGTTTTCATGGAGAGAGTCCAGTTGGAATCAGGTTCATACAGCGGGCTCCCAGCTTGTCCGATGTGGGTACGCAGCTTGATCTCAGCTGCACGCCTTCGAGGATCACTCTTAAAACTAGGTTGCTGGAGCAAACCCATAATTCTTCATATCCACGTCCAATGGAGATTCTTCATATCCACGTCCAATGGAGATGTTTCTAAAATTCGGGACCCTTTTGTAGTTGGATCCCTCCACCACCTTCGTTTCACCTTGGCGGCCGGAGAAAAAAAAAGGAAAAAAAACGCCGGTCCTTTTGAAGCCGCAGGCATCCAAGGGCTATGGTCGCCTCGGGGACGTGCTGGAAGGAATGAAGGACCGTGCGCCGAGAAGCCGCGCTGCGGGCGCTCATGAATTCTTCCATTTGCTCTGGAGCCGGTGCCTGAATACACGCGAAACCTATGTTTTTCCCGCGGCTGTCTGGGGACTGTTGGGCTTTTCAGCGCAGTTGTGGCTTTCCGCAGCTTTCCGGGGGATCGCTGGGTTTCTTCCGAGCTCCGGGCTCCGTGCTCCGGACCAGGATGCCGACCAGCGGAAGCGCTCCGGTTTGCGGGGCCTGGCGGAGATCGACGCCGTGAAGCCGGGAGACCCGGTGGATCTGTGGGCTGAGGGCTGGCGCTTGGAGGTTGGTCAAAAGGTCCGTGAGATATGGCCATGGGTCATAAGTCATAACCTATGCCGATCCCATTTTGGGGCGGATGAACACACATGTACCACCTACTTTGATGTTCACCAGCGGTATAGGGATTTGAACCACAGCCATATGGGATGACCATTGAGGTGGGGAGATGGGTATTGGAGATGAGATGGTACGGCTGCGCGAGAGATGGGGCCCTGAGAAATGACCCTGAGACAAACCATGCCTCAAGGGTAGTTTCCTTTAAGGGTACTGGGTTCATTGCCGCATTCCCTACTGAGCACCAGCAAACTAAGGGGGGTTGGGTTGTGTTAGTCTCCCGTCCACCATTTGCAAAAAACAAAAAACATGAGGCGTGTCCTTTTCCGAGGCTACCCTTGGTTTGTTTGTCTCCAAAAAGGGGGCTGATCAAAAGGTCCGTGAGATATGGGATGACCTTTGCTTGGACAGCGCCAAAAGAGAGATACATGGGAAAAGTTGCCCATAGTCGTTTGGGGGCCGAAGGGAATATTGATCAACCCCCACTTGGAATCCGATGAGACGCTGTCTCATCATTTCACCGCTTACAGCGCTAAATCATGGCAGAGAATGGGTGACCTGGGTGAGGGTACTTTTCCTTTTTGATATGTTTCCAGCGTCGCACGCCGGGTTGGGCGGTTTTCAAAACATGGGCATGGTACCCTGCCACCAACTAACATGGAACCTGACGTTCAGGGGGTCCTGGTTTGGACCATTTTCCTTACAGGGACCGCGTCCCTGTCAGGTTCCATATGAATTGGTGGGAGGCTACCTCTTTCCGATGGATCCCCCAATAGGCGTCGCAGTCCCGGAGCGCAGGACACGAGTCGAGACTGCCTGCAGCGCCTTACGCGAGGCGGGCGATGGTTGGGCGATTGACATGGGGCCATGGGGGCCCAAAAAGACGCCAGGACGGTCTTCCATGTTGTCTTCCCCTTAAAGCCACGAAAAGGGTACCAACTTCAAACAACACGAGCCGCCCCATTTGCTTTGAATGCGGACCCTGCCAAGTGAGTATGAAGCAAGCGAGTAAGCAAGTCCCGGTGGACTTGGTCGGGTCAAGAACATCCCCTCAAATTCAAACCGACCGTTTTTGCCGACCAAACCTAAGAGAATTTCGTTGCACAGGAGCTGACATTGGTGTCCTTCTTCAGGGGGACCCCTCCTGAATGGGCGGGTTTTCCTTTTCCCTTTAAAACCCACCAAGAGAAGGGACACCCCGAGCCTCAAAAGAACGACAGACCCAAGAAGCTCCAACTGTTCCAACATGTCATGTTGGCTCCTCTTGGCGTCCTTTTCGCTTAGTTCGGGCAATGAAGTCGATGGGTTCCAGTGGTCTCTTGAGCTTTCTTTAATGGGGAACACACGGTTGTGTCTCTTTTTGGGGTACCCCATTTTGTTGTTGGTTTTGAGGGACTCCACAAGGAAAGCCGGAATCCATTTTGGGGCACCCCTTCTAGCCCCCGCAATTTTGAGCGGTCCAGTCCGCCCTCGAGCCGTCGGCTCGAGGTGGGCTCCTGGGACCGAAAGGTCAAGGACTGCGAGTCCCTGGCGTCGGGCCCCAGTCGCCGAGCCTTCGGAGAGGTCGGGATGTTTTTCACTGCACCATGGACAAGCTACTCGTGGCTCGGTTGTTTTTTGGGGCCCGAGGGTCGTCGTTTTTGGGGGCCCAAGGGAATAATTATTGATCAACCCCGATATGGGCATGGGTCCAAATTAAGCATTTGACGATCCAGATTTGGTTTCTGCTTTAGCCCAACAAAAGGCGAACGGGCAGCTGTTGAGCTTTTCGTGGTTTTGTTCCGCTGGTTTCGGCTGTACCCCAAAAGGCGCAGGGGGGAGCTGGCCTTTTGATTTTTCTTTTTTTTGGTGTGCTGTACCTAGGCGAAAAGGCAATTGGCCTTTTGAGGTTTCTTGTTTCTGCTTTGCCTAGAGCGTACAACAAGCTGGGTCTCTTATGCAGCTCGTTCATAAACGCGGACCAATTTGGGTTTGTCTGAACAGACGCAATGGAGTTTTAAATGGGTCAAAATAAAACCACCAGGGGACCGCAGGTTTTAGTCCTTCTTTCCATTTACCAGGGGTCCATTTGGGGGTTACCCTATTTTTGACAGCCGCAGCCATATAAAACCACGATGCAGGTGTTCAGACTGGAAGTGAGAAGTCACGTCCGTGAGGACGTCAATCAGCTGTTGTCGGCCTTTGGTCGATCCTAACGTCCCAGTGCCACCCGTTGGCCGGACTATGAGGCACCGTCCTTTTGGGCAACGGGTGCGTTTTGTTCTGGCTACGATCTTTGGGGTTGGTCCAGGCGTTGGCTTCAAAAAACAGCAACCGGAAAGGGTCGTTATCCATTGGAGCCCACAGACGGCGACAAACGAGCTGCCACCAATGTAACTGGGTAGCCGGCTCTTGTGCGCAGAATTTGGTGATGCACCAGTAGCCCACGTTCGGTGCCGAATTGGGCAAAGGGGAAGAGCATCTTGCAACTTTCGGCTCGTTGGAAGGGACGGCTGTGAATGACCGCATCGCGTATCCTATGTGTGTTTCCCGGAGCCCGAGGTTCACGCTGGCAATCTGCCGGAGGCACTTGGACAGCTAGTGGGACTGAAAGGCCGGATGGTGAGAGCGAGCAGAGGCGACTCAAGTTGAGCTTTGAGAGCCCGAGCAAATCCGAACCAGGCGTGCTAGATGCCTTCCGGCCCCAGCCTCGGTTGCAAACATGATTCTGCGGCTCGACGGCTTGAATCTGTACCAAGGATGCTGCCAGAGTTTGCCCGCAAGTCCGAGCAACTGACAAAGCTGCAGGACGGATGTGATGCAGGGCCGCAATGGGCACAGGGACAACTGGGTCCGGACAGCCTTTCGTTGCATAGGTCAGTACCACGACGAAGCACTTCCGCAAACATGTGTGCTACGGGCGTTTTTCTCTAAATTCGACACTCCAGGTGCTTCGCCTATTTTGCTGCAGACCCAGATCATCTCAGATCCGATCGACTCTCAAAAGATCATGCATGGCCGTGCTCGATGCCTCGGAAGTGGCGTGCCCCATTTGGAAGCAAGTGGTAGATCAGCTTGAGAGAAATGGCGTTGTTTGTTTCGGAGAATGCTGTATCCGGCACTCGTCCTCGGTGTAGACGGTTTTGTTCCATACACAATTGTTCGCCTGGTTGTAGAGGTCGCTTTTCTCCGCGTACACCGCATGTTCCGATTGCGTGTGTCTCACGTGTACTACATTGTCCCATTTTCCTCAAATACTACATACCACCAGTCTCAAAGGTATGTTACATCTCCCCATCGTAGATGCCCTATTCCCCATACTATTTATCGCAGTTTCCCATCTTATCATGGCATCGAGCATAGTCGCACACCCATCTCCCCCTCCCCAACCCACACCCACACCCGCACCCGTACCGAAACCCACACACACACACACACACACACATGTTCCCCTTCCCTCCCCCGCAAACCAGTACCCCCAAATTGCAAAGAGTAGAAAGTGTGATATATATATATATACATATATATATATACATGTATTTAGAAAATCCATCTTTCCCTGGGCATTCAAAATGCTAGTACAATTGGGGTGCTAAACCAACTGCCCAAGTTTTCGTTTGGGCGTTCTCCATTGTGTCGGTTGTCCCGTGTTTTCTCCAGTTTTTCCATTTGTCCAGTTGCTCCAGTTTCCCAAGCCACCGGTGTTTCTTCCGCTCCCCAACTCGAAGTTTCCCCCCCCCCCAATTTTGCCAGGCGTTTGTCCAGTTTCCCCATGTTCCCGGTGTCTGCCACATGTTGCTCTCCAGTTCCCCAGTTTTTTGCAGGTTGCTTCCAGGTTTTTCTCCAGTCTTCTCCGGTTTTTTTTCCAGTTTCCCAGTTGTGTTGCAGTTTTTTCTCCGGTTTTCTCCGGGTTTTCTCCAGTTTCCCCCGTGTTCTCCCTCCGAATTCGCTCGGCCAGGAGCAGCTGCTCTCGGCGGCCCGGCGCCGCGCCCGCGCCGCCGTGGAGCGCAGCAGCGCGGAGGAGCTCCGGGCCTGCCGCGAGGCGCGGGGTCCGCGTACGCGCCGGGCGAGGCCTCGGGTGCCCGTTTTTGGGGCGTTGGTTTCAGCGTGTGTTGTTGTTGTTGTTTTTTTTTTTTTTTTTTTTTTTTCCGGCGGTGCTGGTTTCGGTGTTGGGGGGAGATTTTGGCGCGTTTTCGCGGCGATTTTTGTTTGTGACCATGAAAAGGATCCATTTCCCACAGCCCTGAGTTGCAATCGCAGCAGAGGAAGCACAGGAATCGCACCGCATAGGCATCGTCCTTCTTGGTGGTCTTGGTGGAGAAATCCAGGGCGATTCCTGGCTGACCTGGTGGTTTAATCATCTGCCGGGGCCATTTGTTTGCCCCAAAAGGACACCTGTGAGGGTGACGCGTAGGGTGCCCGATTTTGCGTTTGCAGCGATTTTTGTTTTTGGGGGGGTGCTCCACAATGGCCCAAGAGCCGATTTCACTCGGCACGTTGTTAGTTTTTCTTTTTACAAATCAAAGAGAACCCGTACCCTTTTGGGCGGGAGTTCCCCTAAGATAGGACACACCCATCTGGAAGATTTTGAGACCAAAAATGAGCCCAAGCAGTTTGGAAATGGCTCTCAGGGTTGCCAGTTTGAAACCAAGATTGCAACAACCTCCTTTGGGTTTCTGAACTTGCTTGCTTGATAGGCGGGGAGTCAGTAATGGAAAGACCTCTAGAAACCATCGCCCATGGTTTGCTTGAAGGAAATCCCCAGGTTCATTCCCAACACCCGGGAGGTCATTCCCTGCGCACCAGCAAGTTAAGGGGATACGAAAAAAGAAAGTGTGCCTTTTGTTAAGGCTCGGTACCCCTTTGGGGTTGGTTTAAAAGGAAGCCAAAGGAAAACCAAAATCCATTCGGGGGGTCTAAAAAAGTTGCTAAAACCGAGCCGAATTTGATAAAACCCGTCAAGCTGATGGTCATCCAGGGAATGAGTCGGAACCCCGAAGAGATCAAGTTTAGTTCGCGAGAACGGTTTCCAAGCCCTCTTGATTCCCTGAGGCAAGTAAAGGATGGCTGTAAGGCGAGGTAAATATTCAAGAAAGGCAAATCGTAGAGGAGAACAATTTGCAAGGTTAATGCAAATTATGTTGTTCAGGAAACAAAACATAAACGGGAATGAAGGGTGATCAGGGAAATGGAGTCACAAGCAAAATCCGCGTGCATGAAGTTTTGAGTAGGGGGCTCAACGGGAGCCAAATCCAAGCTTAAATAGGTGCCCAGCATTGATTATTACTCTCAAAGGGGTGAGCAAGGACGAAACACCAATGGTAGCAAAGATGGTTTTTGGACAATCGCGGGCAAGTGCCAACTGTCCGAAGATCGGGGACATTCCTAAGCTTAAAGGTGCAAGTTACTGCGTACTTACACGGCAACATGTTGGAACATGCGGTGTCAATCGGATTTTCTGTGAGGTTTTCTTTGTATGAGGAGATATAGTTGAATGAAAATCGGTTGATCAGGAAATTTCTACTGAAGCTGTAAGACTCTTGAATGCTCCAACTTGAGTCAACCAATGCTTGAGTATCAAAAAACGATTTGCTGGTCCAAATCCACCATGCGATCTTCGGTCCAAACTCCGCATCTCGTTTTAGCCCGGCTGACCTGGCCTCCCTGTTTATCAGGGATTGGGATACGGACCCTTACCATCTGCTCAAGTGGAGCGTACGCGTGTGGCTGGTTCGAGCTCATGCCCTTCAAAAAGAAACCGCGCCGGGATTTTAATCCCTTCTCCCTAATGCACAACGTTCCCCGAATTACGAAAACCGACTTGATCCCAAATCCGGGGGACACACTTAGCATTCGGGCCGTTTTAGCATACGGGGAAGGGATTAAGCCTCTTGAACAAACACTGAGCAAGGCGAAAGCCACGAAATCCGCAAAAAGTCGCCTTGAGAATCTTCCCTATTTCAGACAAGGCACGGCCTGAGAATGAGCCCTGGGTGAAACTTTTCACATTAGAGATTATGCTGACTTTGTTCGTTTGAACCTGTTTGGGGGGGGACAGCTATGCCATGCTATGCCAATGAGCAGTTTCAAGAGACGACTGGACATGTCCGTTGTTTGCCAGCAGGTGTTCGCAGGACTGCAACGGCAAGATGAAGCAGGTAGGTTGCCCAGCTTGCTTATGGCTGGGAGAGGATTGTTCTGGGAGTTGCGTGCTGCAACTACGGTACTCCAAAACAATGCATTCTTTTTGTTTCATGGGCAAGTCAATCAAGGTCGGCTGGCTAAGGCCTTCCTTTGGGTTGACCATCAGTTTTTTTTACCTTTTGGACAGTGACTGTCTTAGCTGCTCCGACAATGTCACTATTAGCTGGGGTCATTGGGACGGACCTGGCTTTGTGTGCGGGAACCAAACGGGAACCCTGTGCAGCCTCCATTGCCAACGGCGTCTTCTTGGACCTCTGCGAGCGAGCCTGGCAGAGCCAGGCCGGTCTGGGGCTCACAGGGTTTCTTTTTTTCACTGGAGCCTGGAATTCCTGGGAGCTTGGTTTCAATCATCGCCTTTGGGTTGCCAAGTTTGATGAGTGTCTTTTGGTGGGGTGATATTTCACGGAGAGATATAGGGGTGCTGAACTAAATGATGTCCTAGTCAGCCAACTTGTTTGCATCGCCTGACATTGGAACACAGCCCACCTCCCAACTGGAAGCCAACTTCTGACTAGCAGGGTTTGCATCACGTGACCCTGCATGAACGTCCAAAACGCATTACGAGCGCGACAAATGTGTAGCGAAAATTCCGAACAGGCTGATTTAGGTAGTGGACATGTTCGTGTATCTTCTGAATCGCGTCTATCATGGAATTGAGCGGCATCGGAACAAGCTTAGGACATACTAGGTGCAAGTGTGGAAGGCTGAACTCCATCACAGTGCGCTGTAAGCACGGAGAACAAGAATCTTTGCGGCTTCGGCGCGCACCTTTCCTGAGGTTCCTGCCTGCTAGGATGTTTCGCGGGCCGCCTACAGGAACTCCGAAATATGCTGACCCACGCTCTTCAGCACCACTACTCCTCAGAGAGCGCCTAGAGTCCTTGTCAAGCAAAGCAATTTCTGGTTCGGTCAGGGAGGACTTTGGTCCATAGCAACAAGACCTGATCTAGGTGATTTCTCCTTCCGAAAAAGTGTCCTCTTTCTAAGCGGTGTTCTGCTACCCCCAAACCACTACTGCCATGGGAGAAAAACGGAAAATTGCATGTACTGCGTAACACATGTACATGTACATTTAAGCCATATTTTATCCATAGTGGTTAGACTATGTATTGTACTGGGGTAACATACCTAACATAGATCAGCTACCCCACCAATTAACGTGGAACCTGACGCTCGGGACCCGATCCCTTTAGAAGGACATGGTCCAAACCAGGACCGGAAGCGTCGAACGCTTCCATGTGAAAAGGGTGGGCGGGTATAGTGGGATGGTTTTTGGGATTCCAAACCTGGTTTTGGAGGTGTTTGGGGTGAGGGAAGGAATCCCTTGGTAACCCTTTGGTTTGCATGGGATTTCGATTTCCAGCCTTTCTAAACGGGCCAGCTCCAAACCAGATTTGGGAGTACCTATAGTACCTCCAACCACTCACCTCCAAGCCCATAGGAGTTGGTTTGCGCTTGGAGTTGGTTTCAGGCAGCGAATGCTTTTGGGCCGATTCCGCCAGGGCCCGGGCGCTGCTGCGGGCCAGGTGACGCTCGGCGCCAGAGCCGTCTTCGACGCCTTGGCGCAGGCGCTTCGGGCTTCGGGCTTCGGGGCAGGCGGGGCGGCAAGCGCCCCGAAAAGGAGACGGTACAGAAACGCGGTGGGTGCGTGCGTGCGTGTGTGTGTGCGTGTGTGTGTGTGTGTGTTTTGTAGGGGACCGGGTCAAAGCCCAAATTGGGTGGTTTGAGAGGTCAAAGCCCAAATTGGGTGGTTCCAAAGTTTGAAGCCCCAAGTGGTTTTCGGGGACCAGCTTAAGCCGCGATCCAAACCCGGGAAGATGGAGGTTGTGTAATGCATCGCATCTAGACTCCAGACAGTAGCGGCGGTTGTCCGTTTGTTGTTTTGCGTGTGTCTGTATTGTTTACATGCTTTTGGGCAGCCTTTTTTTACAACCAACTATGCATGACTAAAAAGGTGGGCCTTTCGGGACCACGGGTGCAGGAGCGTCATGCATATGGCCAGGCAGGTAAAATGGACCCCTAAAATGGCTTTGGTGGTCCTTTTGGTAATTTTGTTTTAAAACCACCATTTTAAAGGGTACAACCACCATTAAAGGGGCCATTAAAGGGGAGCCACCATTGTTTAAAACAACCATGTTTTTGAAACCTCTAAATCAAGGGGTACAGAGCCTCAAACACATAAAATGACAGACCCGAGTATCGCGAGGCATCGAAACATCCCAATCCAACTCAGCCCTAGCCAGCGTTTTGTCTTTTTTTTCTGCGTGTGAAATAGCTGTGTGGTCAAAAGTAGGGCTTGCCCACAATACTACCCACTCCCTTTGGAGTCCGTGGCTTTAAATGTCCAGCCTATGGCTTCGAGGGAAAAACACACAGTCACAAGCTCGGGTAGGCATCGAGTGTTCGGCTGACAATGTGGCTGTGGCTCAAAATGTTTAACAGGGGGGTTCATTGCGCCGGTTTTGGTCCATGTGTCCACTTACCAGGCGTCCATTTTGGGGTTACCCGGGTTTTTTGCGCCACGGCCATGTGGTTTCTTCTTCGGCCGGCTGCAAACTGCAAGGAGCTGGGTGAAACCGAGCCAGGCGTTGGAAGAGCGCTGGCCGCTGTTGCAGGCAACGAAGCCGTCCCTCGGTTTCAGGGTGGTACTCGGGGTTCCAACCACTTCTGTACAAGGGAATCCTTTTATATGGATACAAGGGAATCCTCCCCTTTGGGGGGTTGGTCTGTGGAAGCCCTTTTTGTCGTATCACAGTGGTCATTTCCCACAGCCCTCGGTTTCGCAAGCCAGGCCTTGGAAGCGCCGGACAGCGAGGAGGCGGCCCGCGGATTCCTCGTGAAACGAGCGGAGTTTCAGACTGTCTCGATTGGGAAAACCCTTGAGAATGGTTGCACATATATCCCCCTTGTAAATGACCAGAGGATCCCAAAATAGAATTCATGGCCATGGCAAGCTTAAGGCTTCTGCAGCTTCTGCTTCGCTTGGCGTTGCCTCCATGCGTACTGGTCGTGTCGGCAGGAGCCGCCTCCAGTGACGGTCACCGCTGTGAAGGCGTGCTAAGAGCGGTTCGGGCTGTGGCCAGTGCCAGGGACCGCTGCGAAAAGTGATCTTGTCGTGCAAATGTATACGACGAAAACACACATATACATTGACGAACATGCACACATGGGCATCACGATTTTGTACATGAGAAAGAATGATATCCTTCCTCCTTGGCTTGATGCCAGGGCCAGTTAACGTGTTAGATTGTGGCCCCGTGATGCCGCAAAAAAGTCACCCCCTGAAGTAGGTTCAACAAAAGGTTGCAATCCATCCCTGAATTTCTGACTGGTGTGAAAAAAGCGGCCCACCACTTTCGCAGTTTCTGACTTGATCAAGAATAGGGTATCCTCTCACCAATTAACATGGAACCTGACAGGGGGGTCCCTTGGAAAAGGAGAATGGTCTTGCAGGACCCCCTACTAACAGAGTCCCCCAAAAAAAGGACCAAAAGGGAAAATACAGGTGAAGTCCGCAAAAGGCACCTCTCCAGAGCGTTTCGGAAAAACAGGTGAAATCCACAAGAAGCACCTCTCCAAACCGTTTTCTAGATATGGCTGTGGCTCCAAAATATGTACCCGCATGGCACATTGGCAAGTGGAACAAAGGGCCAAAACCTGTTTAGCCCTAGCTCTTAAATTTTGATCCACAGCCTTCAATTTTTCGGACATGAGGCGGTGCTCACCTCTCTGAGTACCAAGCTCGTGGAGGTCATCGGCGATGGTCGCACCGGAGCGCAGGCGTTGTGGGGGGTTTCGCGCGGCGCGAGTGCGCGAAGGACGAGTTCGCCCCCCATACTTTTAGACATTTTAGCATGTGTGTTTGTTTTAATAATTGGCTGTATAAATCAATTTCACCCTGGCACAAAATTGCTCAGGTTGTCCCCTTGCCGACCGTTTGAGCTTTTGGTTTTGGTCATTTTTGTTGGTCATGGTTCCAAAAGGTTCGCCTTTTACCCAGAAGGTGGGGTCCAACGTTGGGGGATGCGTATGCACACCAGAGTTCCCTATTCGAGCTCGTAGCCAGTGCTTGATTCGGGAACCTGCCCTGAATTTCAGTGGGGCCCGGCGTGCCTTTCAAGGTCCGAGTCTTTGACCTACCATTTGGGTGTGGCTCAACATCAAACAGGAGGGGCTTTTTGCGCAGGTTTTGATCCATATGTCCACTTACCAGGGCAACCCATTTTGGTACCGGTTTTTTGAGCCACAGCCATGCTTCAGAATAGTTGTTGTTTTCTCTTCTGGTAAGGGGAATCTAGCACTGGACATATTTGGATGTTTTGCAGGGAACCAAGAAGAGTTCTTGTGGTGGATCAAAGTCAGCTGAATTCTGAGGGCGGCACACATGGCCATTTGTTCTTGGAGTAGCATGTAATTAGCACGTACTGTTCTCGGCTTTTTCGGCAGCTGGGGCAATTGAGAACATGAGCAATCAATTCCATACGGCTTTGGCTGTTTCTTGGCTCCAGAGCCTTGCGCCCATCTTACCCTGATTCATCTTATTTTACAAAGCCGCATGTGCATGATGTGGCACTTGATGCAAGTTGCGCTGTTCGTAGTTGTGCAGTCGGACCAGACCGAGCAGACATGCGAGGGCCCCCAGGCAAGCAGCGCAGTGCTGCTTCAGGCGTCCACCAACCGCACGCAGCTAGCATCTGAGCAGCAAGTCGCATCCCGCATCCAGCATGACTTGGAGGACATCCAGGCCTCCCTGCTGGAGAGATCCCACGAAGGTGTACATGAGGTCGTTGAGCAGGAGTTGGAAGATGCAGTCCAGGGCAAGAACAGCCGGCGTCGTCGTAGCCGTCGCCGAACCACCACCACCACCACCACGGTGGACTGTGGCTCCAGCGTTGAGTATGTCTCTATTGCCTGGCAAGTGGCTTCGGGCTACTGCCTGGAGGGCTCGAACAGCGGCGGAGCCACCTACTTGGACACGAGCTCCTGCTCCTCCATCACCAACGGCCGAGACAAGTTCTCCTTTGTGGACCAGGGCGACGGTTACTGCAAGCTGCAGTCAGAGTACGCCACCCGACGCCGCAGCGCCAAGGGCAAGTCTGTGACCTGCGCCACCAACTCGAAAGCCGTGGTTTTCTGCGCTGCCCAGGGCTCCCAGAGCTACACCAAGTTCAAGCTGGAAGATCTGGGAAGCAATCGGTTTTCAATGTACTGGTACGACAGCTCCGGAAACTCCGCCATTGCCAAGCGGAATCCTTACGGAATTCGGATTCAGGACTACTCCAGTTCCGATGAGCCGAAGTTCAAGGTCTACAAAAATGCGGTCTACAGCAGCACTTGCTTACTTACAAAGAACGATCTTGGCCTCACCTGCTGGAAATGAGTTGCTGCTGAATTGCTGAGCGTGTTTTAGCCTCACCTCCGGCTGTGGGATCTGGTAAGGGATCCGTGTTGCAAACCTCACCAGCTGCGTGGGAGCTGGAATGTGCTGGCGTGCTTGCAAAAGTCCTTCCTTGCGCTTTCAGAGACGATAATTCTTTTGTGCCCAGCTATAAGCGATGCTGTTCCTCTTCACGGATTGATACAGCTTCTCCGAAACGGGAGGTGCCTATCCTCGGATGTTTAAAGGACGCCCGTTGACATCCAAAACTGCGACACACACACACACAAACGATTCTAAGCAGCGGTTTAACCCGACGTCACATTTGAAAACTGTGTACTCTGTAATCATGATTCATCTAAATAATTCCATTCCAAAGTAAAGTAGGGAAGGTCGTGTTGGTTTTACAGGGAATGAATATTCGTTTCTTCCCCTGTTGGTAAGGGGAATCTATCCCTGGACTGATTTGGACTTGCAGACTTGAGCAACAAGGGGCGAAGCCCAAGGTGAGAACAGTCCACTGAGCCACGAGGTGGATGAGGACACCGCCAACACGCGGGCGTCCATGGCGGCCGGGAGCCATGGAGAAGCCATGGAGACAATGCAACAAAACACAAACATCTAGGGGTGCCCTCCCCATTCTTTCCAGGCATCCTTCTTTCTTAAAAAACAACACCCGAAATGTCTGGGGAAACAGCCGGTTTTTGAAAAGAGCGATGGTTGAAAAGAGTGGGGAATCAACCCCTAGAAAAACACAAACAAGGTCGTTTCCTTGTGGTGCCCTTTCTGACCCCTTTTTTGGTTGGGAGGGTTCCCCTACTAGAATACACGTCCTGAAAAAATAATGGTTGCCAACTTATTCTAACCTCTCTACTGGAGGACCTACTCGTAGCAAACAAGGCCATTCCCTTGTGGTCAATCCCCAGACTCCGAAGGATCCCAGAAACTTGGGCGAGGGAAGATGCCAAACAGGGCCGAAGATATTTTCTACGGCCGTCCCTGCAAAACAGCACGCGCTATGCCAAGAAGCCCATGCCCAAAACCTCTTAGTATGCTTCATCCAGCATCGCGGCCGAGGTCGCAATCGGACCACGTTTTCTTTCCTGAAATTTCTCACTATGCTTTGCCTGCGTTTTTCATCCTTTCCATTCGGACCGCACATATTCCTCAAAGACAGCGAAGCTGAATTCGTTCCACTACCGCGGAGGTTCTTCTGTAAGTCCCCGGGAGGCAGTATCAATATAGGTCGGCCTTTCCGGACAGGATCATGTGATAGGTTTGTCAACCCTTTGGACCATGGTCACCGTCAACCCATGGGCTGGAGTTGACAAAAAAACTATAGACCCTAAAGTGAGAGAGATGGCGATGGTGGTCATCGTATGAGCAGCTGCCAGTATTTTCCGTCATCTGCTGTTGGGACACGGAGGAGCACACAAAAACTGACACATCAAAAGCACGTGGGATCCACTCACGGAATGCCTAAGTACATCAGGGCACGGAACATTAATTACAAGGGCGATGGGCATCGCACTCTTTCATTCTCGGGAGTTTCCTCCCGCTTGATCTGGCAGCAGAAAGGGTATACGTCATAGCCAAGCGCGTATGTCATTTTAAGCGTTTCAAGACCAGGTAAGCTAGGTGCTGCCAAGAGCGCGCGAACGAGGCCCTACACTCCAGCAAGACCAAGGCTAGTTCACCATGAGTTTGCACTTGAGTTTAAGCAAGATAAGCGGCTGGCGACATCTGAGAGTTCAAGAGTTTTGGGCGATGAAAGCGATGAGCGTTCCATGCGAGGTGGGGCTTTTGGGCGTCTACGTCAGCGATGAGCGTTCCATGCGAGGTGGGGCTTTTGGGCGTCTACGTCGATGGCTTCGACCGCTTGGCGCAGTGCGCCGCCCTGCTGGGCCGCTGGGCCGAGGCGCCTCTCGTCGGCCGCGCGCGCGCGCGCCGGTCGCGCCGGTCGCGTCGGTCGCGAGCCTCGAAGCCTCGAAGGTGGCTGGGCACGAGGTGCTGCCCTGGCCACTTCTGCGTGCGGGGCCTCAGTCTGTCAGTTGCGGGTTTGAAGGTCCGGGAGAATCCGGAGACCAAAGTGTCTCGGATGGGAGCCCTTGAAACGAGTTTCCAACTCCCAACTCCAACTCGCATTTTTTAAGTTGCTTTGGAAAATGGAACATGTTTGTTGCTCCACTTCGGTTCTCTTCGGTTTTCTTCGGTTTTTTGGACACGTCGCGTCGGGTGTTTTTGCAGGTGAGGTGGTGCGCTTCGTGCTGCTGCGGCCCATGGAGGACGACTCCAACGCGCTGGCGCCGCCGCAGAAGCAGCGGCCCTCCGAGGCGCGCCATGCGGCGCCTCAAGACGTGGTGGGCCCCAGCCATTCGGTTCCCTAGGGTGGTTTTAGAGGTGTTCAGTTGGTTTGGTGGTTGGGTTTGCCATGGAAACCGCTAAAAGTTTTCGACTTGTTCAGATGAGGACTTTTGGATCAAGGGAAAACTTATTAAAACCCTTTGGTTTGGATGAGCCCGTGGAATTGGTTGTGGTTCCTTTTGGATGCACGCATGATACGTCGGTCCGAACCCGTTTTGGTCCATTGTGTTTTAGTGGCGATCGGAGCCAATTCCTTGAACTCCGAGTCCTGTTTGAGTTGGGGATCTCACGTCGCCCCGAAACGACAGAAATTTTTTGAGACCCCTTGCTCGGGTCAGGGTGGTTCCCGGCACTGACATGTGTCATTGACCTTTTGCGCCTCTTACTTGAATTGGTGAGCCGTGGCCATGGAACGGGGAATGGCACGCATTTGCGTGCTTTCAAAGCTGTGCTCCAGTGCAGAATGGTGCGGGTGGATGTTGATCATATTCTGATCACGCTCAACCTGGGATTGGGGGGAGGTGATGACTCGTGAAGACCGAAACAATATGCGTGTCCGAAATCTCGCGACACGGCTTAGGACGGTCCGAGCTCAAGTGGTTTATGTTGGAAGAGCACTCTACAATGCTCCGTGGATTGAAAGTTGCCCTACCGACTGCTGGGGATGCCTGCCACAGCCACCATTGGCCGGGAGTGCAGAAGACACTGCTTGCGATAGATGGCCACGCAGTCCATGGCAGCCAGTTTGCGCAGTGCTTTAGTGGCTCAGGGGATAGGCTGCAGCGAGGCGTTGGCAACGCAGCTTGGGCACGCGCTTTTTTTTAAGGCTGAGCTGTGGCCACTCCAACTCAGGCCGCAAAAAGCTTGGCGGACCCGAAGCAGAGTTGGGTACAGCCTTGACAAACCGTGAGCACGGGAAGTCGCATCAACTGCTTGTCATCAGCCTGCCAGCGGGGGAAGGTGTCAGGGTAAGTCGCATCAACTTGCGTTGACAGTGGGGAGACAGTTCATGTGTGAAAAACGAACTCAGGTTTTTCGTGGGTGGGGAGCTGCTGTTGCGTGCCGAATGCAGACATTTTGTTGTCAATTTGTGTTTGACAGAGAGGCTTATGGAAGAAGACAAGTGTCGTGGGGGGAAGGTGCTCACTCGAGCTTCCGACCTTGCTTAGCTTCCGAACTTTGCGATGGGGTTTCAGTAACAGATAGGCTCCGTGGTCTCTGCGAGGGCGCTGCAAGGGTTCCGTGAGGGTTCCGTGGCTGCGCAGGGCAGTTCCGAGGAGGGTTCCGCGAGGATGGGCTGGTTTGGCAGAGCTAGGTGATCTCGTCTAGATCTCGTCCGGGTCTTGTTCAACAATCGCAAGTTTAGCTTTCAGAAGATCGCCATTTGATCATGAGCGTTCCATGGGGATTATGTGTTGAAAACCCTCGCAAAGATGTGCGACGAAGTGCTTTCCTTGGTTCACAATCGCATAGGCAACGCGCATTTTGAGGTGGCTAAAACATCATTGACTAAAACATTTGACGCAAATCGCGACGTTACAGTGGCCGAAAAAGTTGAGGTGACTTTCCGGGGCTGTTGATGTGCAGCGTTCCATGGGGGCAAGAATCCCGGCCAGAAGTTGAGGCAAATTTCTGTTACAGCAGTAGCATCGGAGCCGGGCCTTCGACTGTTGGGGCCAACGTGCCCTGGGCACACAGCGAGGCTGGCCCTGGACTTTCTGATGGCATTGACTTGGGGTATTTGGGGAAGAAGGGAGGCCGTGTGGAAGCCTTCCACGTCTTTGCCCAACTGGTTAATTACGGTTTGTCCAACGTTCCAGATGTTTGCCCATGGATTTAATGGGTGTTTTTCCATGTGTTTGCGCAACGTTCTCCGTGTGTGCCCATTGATTTGTGGAGGCTCTGCCTGTTTTTGGTGTGTAGGATGGGAGCAACTTGCACGGCTGAGGAAGGAGCCCATCTTGCGCTTGCATGGGCACCAATGTATGGCTTTGTGTGTGTGTGTGTGTGTGTGTGGTTGTGTGTTTGTCCGTCTGATTGCGTGTGTTTGCATGTGTGCTTCTTTGTTTATTTTATTGTTTTTGTGTTTGTGCTTGGTTGTTTGTATTTGTGTTTTTGTTTTTGATTTGGTTTGTGTGTGTCTGTGTTTGTTTGTTTGTTTACAAGTTTGTTTGTTTGTTTGTTTGTTTGTTTGAATACCTTTTGACATCTTGGGCGGTGTTTGTGCAGTGGCCGGCTCATTGACGCAGCATGTGAGAGTGTGCGTGGGCAACGTCATGCCCGTGGACCGCTTCGCGCGAATGAGCAGCGGGAGATTTATTTTCACCCTGCTTTCAACGCTGAATGCCTGCACTTCCTTGCTCCATGGAAGCATATTCTCAGGCAATTCTGAATTGGTGGTTTGGATTTGGATTTGAACCCGTGGTTCTTGTCGAGGGTAGAAGGGAAACCACCCAACCACCCGCCTCCAAACCAATTAGAGGGACCCCGAGAAGGGTCGGTTCCTATTGGACACCCTTGAAGCAACCTAAAGGGAGTCCAATGTGGGATGAAAGGTTCTTTCCCCGCTTCCGTGATACTTGGGAATCTCCCCCCTTTACGTGGGTTGTTCGTCTTTGGTTCGCCCTTCTTGTATTTCAGATTTGTGGCTTCCATTTCAACCACAGCCCTCTCTGGTACCCACAGCAGGCAGTGCTCGCCGCAGACTCCAACGCGACAAGGCCCAGCGGCGGAAAAAACACAAATTGGAAGGGCCGGAAAAGGAGGTTTTTGTGTGGAGAAGAGTCATTTCCACCAGACGTGCGCCCCCCGGTTTCAAGCACCCCGCATGAGCTGCTTTGTTTTCTCGAGGTCAGACTCGACTCCATTTCTCAGGGTTCCAAAAGGCATGGCCGGCTTCACTCCGCCTCGCAGCAGCAAGAGCATCATGTCCACAAGACGTGCCCCCCCTCCCCCCCTGGTTTCAACCCACTCCGCCTGAAGCCGCGTTTCTCAGGCTGCTGCAGATGCCCAGCACCTGGTCCCGGCGCCTTGAGAGCCAGGGCGCTTCGCAGCTGGCCGTTCCCTGGCCCGGCACCCCGGGCGCCGCCGTTGCGCCGTTCTATTGTTTTTTTCAGCACAGGTCCTGGCGACTTTTCTCCCAAAGCCGTGCCCCCCTTCAGCTCTGGCGCTCAGGCGGGGCTTTTGAGGGTCAGACATGTCACTCGGAAAGTTCAAAGATCAAATTTGATTTGGAGGTCGAAGCTTGCTGTTGCTCTCATTTGGACACCCAAAAGCAGATCAAAGATTGCATGGACATTGAGACAGAGGCCCTGGGATTCGTAGCACGGGAAGCATCACATGGTGGGCAGAGGTTTCAAACAATCGGTCGCATGTGCGTTTTGAGAGTACCTTTTGGGGGGTTGTTTAAAAGCAAAGCCAAGGGGAAACCAAGAATTTGGAAACACCCCAAGTTTGACACGTCACATACCAATTTGCGTTGAACATGGGCGGAGCCAGGTTTTTGTTGTTGCTTGGAAGTTGTAAGATGAAATGGCTGTGGCTCAAAAAACCGGTACCAAAATGGGTTGCCCTGGTAAGTGGATCCATGGACCAAAACCTGCGGTTTGCCGTCCGATCGTTTAATTTTGAGCCACACCCAAATGTTCGTTCCTGGAGGGATGGTTTCTCCCGGATGGCTTAGCATGTGGCCGGACCTTGAGCCGACCAATGGCTTGAGGGCTTCATGTGCATAGTCGTGCAGCCGTGCTTATTGAATCTGTGGGGGTTGATCTGAAGGTCCGTGATACACAGGATGACCATTGGTTGGAAAGCCACCAAAAAAGATGAAATGTCCCACATGGGAAAAGTGACCCAAAAGGATTTGACTGAGCATGTTGATGCTTATGTGCATTGGACGACTACGGCCCGTGAGTGAGGTGATTGCTTCCCTCAGGCGGTTGCTTCTCGCTTCAGCTTCAGACGTCCGAGGCTGGCGGCGGTGGACGAAGCCAATGCGGCCTACTGGCCCCGAGCTTGGCTGGTGAATCGAAAGCTTTCGAAAGCCGAAAAGCAGTCCGAGCACTCCCCATGGAGGTCCCACACCCCAGGATTCCAACTCCCTGAATAGTGGGGGCTGAATAGTGGATTGGGGGGGGGGGTTGTACCATCCTCATGGAGGTCGCACACCCTGCAATTCACTGCCTGAATAGTGGGGGCTGAATGGTGGAATTCGGGGGTCCCCAAGCAAAGATAGGGGTTGGGTGTTCCCAAAACTTGTGATGACCAGTAAAGCCGGCGAAGCCGGTTGGCGGAAGTTTCAAAAATCAAGAACTATAGCTTGGAGCACTCTTTTTTCCCCCTGCCCTCTCTCGCTCTCCCTGTCCCTGTCCCTTTCTCTTTCTCATTATCATTCTTTATCTTTATCTTTCTCTTCTTCTTCCTCTTTCTCATTTTTGTGTGTGTCATTCTCTCTCTCTCTCTCTCTATGTCTCTCTCTCTCTCTCTCTGTCTCTCTCTATGTCTCTCTCTCTCTCTATCTCTCTCTCTCTCTCTCTCTCTCTCTCGCTCTTTCTGTCTTTTTTTCTTGACGCGACATGATTCCGCAAAAAGTGTGTGCGCGCGTCCATGCCAATGGCCCGCTGCTTTCTGGCATGCGTTGCGTCTTTGTTCATCTGATCGTTGCACAGAGCTACCTTTAGCTCCAAGAACGCAACATGTGGGCTGTGTGAGTCAGACATAAGGCGTCAGTGGGACCGCCTCATTGACACTTTCGACAACACGTTGAAAGCAAGGAGTCAGGAGGCCGGCGCAATGCGTGAAGCTGCCGAATGGCTGGTTAAATATGTTTTGGATCAAAACGAGGAGTTGACCGGGAGCTGCTTATTCTAGATGAGTTTGCATCTGGGCCTTCGGGCAATTGATGCCAGCCGCTCGCCCGCGCAGGCATCAGCAGCTGGCAATACCACAGGCGGGGGAGTCGGGAAGTTTTACACTTGGGCAATTCAGTCCGGGCATCTAACAACAGGACTCCGCGACACCTGGGTATGGGTCAAAATGTAACCACCAGCAAACAGCATGTTTTAGTCCAGGGTTCCATCTTGGGTACTTGTTTTTGAACCTTGCCTGGTATACTCAGCAGGTGTCTGTGTGATGTGCCTTGCCCCCGAGACATTGCTTCACGATGGATGTCTTGTTCTGGTTGAAATCTGTTGACACCCGATGGACTTTGGTTCTCAACCTTTCCACTTCCCAAATCAAATCGTTTTTGAGGGCACCCCCTTTGTTTGTGGGCTTGGGAACCATTTTGGGGTCCTCCAAAAAGAGGAACCGGTGTTTTTTATTTTACTAGCCCCGGCTCGGGGTTTAGCCCCGGCCAGGAGACTGGTTGGTTGGTTGGTTGGTTGGTTGGTTGGTTGGTTCGTTGGTTCGTTGGTTGGTTGGTCAGCTGGGCGGCCGCATCCCCAGCATCACCGGCCTCGCTCGGACTAGGGCTGCCTGTTGGCTTTGATTTGTTGGCAATTCAGAGTTACTGCGGGCTGGTTTCGGGCGATTGTTGGGTGGTTGGGCTTTCTGAGGTCTTATATAAGGAGGGCGGGTCTTGGGTTTGTTTGGGGGTTCATTTAGGCTTTGTAAAGGGCTGATATCGGATGCTGTTGGGAGGGTTTAAGATTGACTTTGAGTCGGTGTTGGTTGGCTTGGAGCTGATTTGCGCAAGTTGCGCGGCCCGGTTTTTGCAGTAGCTTTTGAGCTGCTTCAGGGCGTTGTTATGCAATTTTTGGGCTGATTTGGGATTGGTTCTGGGGCGTTGCCCCACCACCCAAACCAGCCCAAAACTTGCGCAACCACATCCCTAAAGCAGCCCAAAGGCTACTGCAAAAACTGGGCCGCGCAAAGTCAACCTTAAACCCTCCCAGCAGCATCCGATATCAGCCCTTTACAAAGCCTAAATGGACCCCCCAAACAAACCCAAGACTCGCCCTCCTTATATAAGACCTCAGAAAGCCCAACAACCCAACAATCGCCCGAAACCAGCCCGGAGCAACTCTGAATTGCCAACAATTCAAGGCCAACAGGCAGCGCTAGTCCGAGCGAGGCCGGTGATGCTGGGTAGCAACTAGGAAAAAACACCGCCTGTTGCCCTCAACCTAACCTGAGAGCGAAGCAAAGGTTCCCCGCCAACCTCTTCAGAGCCACATGGGGGAGGCCTTGTGCTGAGCCGGGGTTAGTAAAAAGCCGGGGCTAGTAAAAAAAAACCTCAACCACAAAAAGACACCCAATCTACTCGTATGGGAAGCTTCCCCATTCTTTCCAGGGATCCTTCTTTTCAGGAAGCCATCAAAAACCCAGGGGAAACAGCTGGTGGTTGAAAAGAACGATAGTTGAAAAGAATGGTTGGAATTAGACCGTAGAATACCTGGATCTTTTTAAGTCCGATTTTGCTGCCTTTTCGTGGGAAACAGCTTTTGCAGGGAAGGTCATCATATTTTTGCCTGGGCGCAATTTTCCTGAGTTTTGTTTTTGGGATGTGTGCAACACTCTGGCGGAAGCGTTTTTCCCCGATACAAAAGCGTTTTTTTGGCGATACAAAGGCGTTTTTTGCCGAACCCTGTTCGAGGCGGGTGTCCCAAAGGCGCTTTTTGAAGGAAACGGCGGTTTTTGATGGAAGCGACTAAAATTTGTGTAGTTACGGCAAAAAGCGGAAACTCTCCACTCCGAGTTTTCTAGGTATGGGTGTCCCCCGAAAACGACGACGACGCCCAACCCAAAAGGAGTCTCAATTTCTTGCCACGGCGCGTCAGGTTTCGACCCCTCCTTCCTGCAAGAGGTGATGCAGCTGCACCAAGTCCTCCACGACGACCTGCCGGCCAAGTTCGCGTCCTTCCAGGAGAGCGATTTGCGTCTGCGGAAGTGGAGGGACCTCACGCGAGCGTGCTCAAAAACACGGTTTAGTTAAGGTTGCAGTAAGGGACAACGAGCCAAAACCCACAAAACCAGGGGGAAGTGAAGGTTTGTTGCAAGTAGGCACACTCATGCTAGTTGTTCGTCAGCACCTTGAGTCTTAAACTTTCGCATGACTTTCCGTTCAGGCAGATACCATGCAGCAAGTGGGCCGCCTGCGATCTTCTCAAAGCGAGTGCGGCACTTTAGCCGGCCTTCGGTTCGTGCTGGCAAATTGCAAATGAGCAGAAGGCTATGTCAGGTTTCAATGGATGGCAATCCTTTATTGAGTGAGGAAGGAACCAATCAGGGGATGAAGAAGTATGCCGTGCCATCGGAGCTCGAACACCTTCGAAATGCTAGGTCTGCCTTTAGCACCGTCCTCAAAGAGAAGATGAAGGCAGACCGTTTCGACTGGCGCACAAGCTCAGCCCTAGATGTGTTTCTTGCCAGCGTCCGATCTTTGCTGAATGGCTGGTAGACTGACAAGCTTACATGGTGCCCAGGGCACAAATGTTGTTGTTTTTTTTTGGGGGGGGGACACAGAATGGTGGTTTTCCTTTTGGTGTCCCTTTAAAGCCACCCAAAAAGGGGGTTCCTCAAAACAGACACACCACCTGAGTCATGGGATCGGCGCCACATACCGCCACGCAGGACCCCAGGTGGTGCGCGTTGCTGGGCATTCCTTCGGAGGCCTCGCTGAGGTCCGCAGCAGGCCGGGGGTGCCTTTTTGAGGGGACCCCGCAAAATGGTGGTTTTGTTCCTTTTGCTTCCCCTTTAGAAGTCACGAAAACAAGGAGTAGCCTCAAAAAAGGCAGAAAGGCAAACGCGGAAAAGAAGCGACTCTAAGGTTTTTCCCCAGATGAATCAACCCCAGTTTATATAAATCGGGGGGGGTGTTCCCCTCCAAAAGTGGTCTGAATCCCCAGCCCAAAAGCACCCCTGTCAATCAGCTGGGGCTTCTGCGGGTGCAGACTTCATCGAGGGCTCCGCCGGTACGTCTGGGGTGCAGAGCTTAGATCGGAACAGAAGTCAGCGGTGTCCGCGTTGCTTAAAACGAAGGTCGGAGGGTGCAAAAGCCGGCGGCTGTGCCAGAAACCTCTCTCACTCACTCACTCACTCACTCACTCACTCTCTCTCTCTCTCTCTCACTCACTCACTCACTCATTCACTCACTCTCTCTCTCTCTCTTTGCCGTTGCGTCCAACCGCGTCGATGTCTGAAACATGGCACTCTTGGTGGTTCAAAGGAGTTTCTGCCAGAAACATGTCAAGGGAGTGGACTTTGGACGCCACTTTTCCTTTGTGGAATTGAATTCAACCAAGACGCTATGGCTGAGCACGCACGGATGAGTGGACACAAACACATGTAGCCTCCCACCCGCCGTTGTGGAACCTGACTAAAGGAGAAGTCTTCGCTCCCCCACTTTCTGTTGATTTTCTTTCTCTAAAACGACCCAATTCCGGTGGTGCCGGAATGGGTGGTTTTGTTCTTGGCTTCTCTTTTAGCGGCACCAACAACTTGAACCCGGCAGCGCCACAAAAAAACACGGCGCGCGGCCCAGGTGCTCCCAGCAGCTGCAGCTGCCTTGGCCAGGGCGGAAGCCAAGGCAAAGCGAGAGATGGGGCCTGGGTTTGCTTTTGGAGGAATCCAACGAACCAACCAACCAACCAACCAAAGTCTCTTGGAGTCAAGCCTGAAGTCGAAAGGCTGCAGTTCGGCTGGTTTCGTTTGGAGTCTGCAGATGAGTTCTATGGGCAAAAGAGAAAATTGATTCCTCGGCCATGAGCCGGGACTTAGAGAACATGGTTCAAGGATACCTAATGAACCACGACCAAGACATGCGGATTGCAACAAAATGCTGCGCCAGTTGGAAGCCCGAAAAAAAGGCGGGGGCTGGAACCACCAAATCCAACCTTGGATTTGTTCTTCCAGAATATGTGCCATGTTCAAAAGACCCCTTATGTTGGGGTTGGTAGGGATAGTTGTCAACGTCTCAGGGATGTTAAACAACCACGGTAAGGATTCGATGGTCACCCACATAGGGAGTTTGGGTGTGGCTCCTATTTGTTGCTGTCAAACCCTTGGGGGGGGGCTGTTTTAAATGGAATGTAAAGGAAGAGTGAAGCCCATTTGGTGGGTTTGGTTCGAATGTTGATTAAGAACCTTTCGGTGCACGCATTCATGGCCAGCTGATGCAACTCTGGCAATGATTCGGTTCGAACCTTATGTGAGCAGTTCTCAAAGCGAGCCGTCTGAAGGTCGAGTTCAGGTGCACTGCCGTTCAGGGTTACTTCTTTTCTCCCAGCAGCCAGGTCCGGGGAGTGGTCACAAGATGCTGCGCCGAGCCAGTGTCGAAGATCTTGCGGGCCTATCCAGAGATGCAGGCGGGGCAGTGGGTAAGATATGAGATGAAGACCACTTAGAATGGTTTGTTGGGGAAAAGTCCCAACATGACCCAATCCAAACGTTCCGCAGGCTGCCTTTACCATCGATTGTAGGGTGAGGGGGGCTTTAAGTGGATCTCACGTGGAGGTTGCAAGTTCTGCGCCTCCAAGGAATGTAGCATGGGAAAACCTTGGTCAAGGGGTGTCATGGTCGAGGAATGTGGTTGTAGGTCAAAACCTAAGGTGCCTTTTTGGGGATGGTTACCACTCCACTGTTGTCTTTGTAGAAGGCTTTCTGGGTGTTCACCGGGGTACCGGGGTTTTGACCCATGTCAACCCTTTGCGGATCCAATAAAGTGGCCATGACCCCAACATCTGATGCCCCCTCGAGGAGTGGACGCGGCCTGACTCCGATGAGGCCTGCATTTGATCTGGGGATCCCCAAAAACGTGAAGTGGGTCTATCGTTTTATTTGAGTTGAAGGGAAACTCATGGCCAAGAGGAAAACCACTTCTTCTGCTTCTCTTTGGGGGGTCCAAAAGACACCCAAGTGCGAGTCAAGGCTTGAAATGCGAAAAATGGGCCAAGCACTTGAGATGATGGTGTAAAATCTGTGGGGGCAACCAATTGATAGCATCCACCATACTGGATGGACAGTGTGAACTCAGGTAAGACTCGGTTTTGAGCTGGAAGTTAGTCTTAGAGGGAGATATCCAATGAGCAGCCCTGCCGGAGGAGCTTGTGATTCTCGCAATGGTTTTCTTCTGGTTTCCTTTGGTTCTCCGTGGCGAGGTCCATTTCGCAAATGGAATGGCAACTCATGCGGCTGTGGATCAAAACCAATGGTATAATTTTGGGGTAGGTGCACCACCCATTTTAGGACCTATTTTAGTGGGGATTGCGATGTGCACTGGGGGTACGATTTGGATTTTGACCCATGGCCATGTGAGTTCATGTCGTGCGATGCGCGCAGGCCGCGCATGGGCCTCTTCAGTGCATCACACTGGTGCTGCACTTGGCGAAATCATGGTCCCGCGGGTCCTTTTGGGCAGTGTTGGCCAGGTCCAAGGGATGCCATGGAAAGTTGTTTGGCTGCGAAGAGCGGTGCAGTTGGGAAAGGATTAGATGCAAACAGCAAACCAAGGCTTTGCTTCAATAAGCGTGGTCTTTACTTGGTCATCAAGTGTGCTATCGCTGTGAATAGAGCAGTCAAGGTGCTCGCGTGTCAATGATTGTGAAGGTCCTCCCTGCTAAAAAAAAGGCGCCCCAAAATACGGGCTAGATGATCCGAACTGGTACATGCCGTAGGCCTTGAGTCCATTTTTATATCAAGAAGTGTTTTGGGCATGACTTTTGAGGGACCCTGGTTGGATGGTTGTAGATGGAAGCCAAATGGGAGAACACACCTTTTGTGCTGCCCCAAAAACAGAGAGAGAGAGAGAGCAAAACACCACAAACATACATTTGTCGGTTTCTTCTTTTTTTAAAGAACAAAAACAAAACAAGAACATGGTTCACGTGTTTTCCCATGGCAAGCGGAGGTGCCAGAGCACCTCTTTTCCTTGATGCCACAGCTGGAGAAGTCCCAGGCCAGAGCCGCATTCGCGAGAGGATGTTGCTGTGGATGGACGAAATCCACTTCGCGCCACCTAAAGAAACCTAAAATTGTTTTTTTCCCCCGTAAATACCAAGCAATGGTTTGTCATGGGTTCTTAGGTGCAGGATTTTGTCCATCCACAGTAGGGATGTGGTTCCAAAGTTGGTTTCAACAACTCGAGAGGGTTTCGGCTTGCCGATGTTTGGGATTTTGTTGTTGTTTTTGTTTGGGGGGGCCGGAGGGGGGTTGGGATAGAAATCGCGCAAATCGGACTCGCAGAAGGGGTTATCTTCCGCAACCATGCTGGTCTAGTTCATTTGCCTAGGAAAGGCTTGGGAGGGGTTGGAGACTCGAGTTTTCCTGCAAGGACGGGGGCTGCCACTTGAGCATGCTGGAATTTCAGAGTCCTTTCAATCAGTGGCTCAGTTTCTCTTCTTGGTTGGTCGGTCGGTCGGCCGGTCCGTCGGTCGGTCGGTTGGTTGGTTGGTTGGTTTGTGTTTGTTCATTTGCTTGCTTGCTTGCTTGCTTGCTTGCTGGCTGGCTGGCTGGCTTGCTTGCTTGCTTGCTTGCTTGCTTGCTTGTGTGATTGTTGCTTGTTTGTTCGTTCGTTTGTTTGTTTCTTTGTTTGCTTGACCGTTTTGTTTGTTTGTGGCTGGTTGGTTGGTTGGTTGGTTGGTTGGTTGGTTGGTTGGTTGGTTGGTTGGTTGGTTGGTTGGTTGGTTAGTTGGTTGGTTGAATGGGTGGGTGGGTGGGTGGGTGGGTGGGTGGTTGTTTTGTGGGCTTGAGTGTTTGCTTTTGGTGCTTGCTTTGCCTGCCTGCCTGCCCGCTCGCCTGTTTGCTTGCTGTTTCAATAGTTTGGTTGGTGGGTTGGTTGACTGTTTGTTTTGTGTGCTCGTGTGTTTGTTTTTGTTGCTTGGTTGGCTGGCTGGCTGGCGGGCGGGCGGGCTGGCTGCCTTGCTGGCTGGCTGGCTGGCTGGCTGGCTGGCTGGCTGGCTTGTTGGTTGGTTGGTTGGTTGGTTGGTTGGTTGGTTGGTTGGTTGGTTGGTTGGTTGGTTGGTTGGTTGGTTGGTTGGTTGGTTGGTTGGTTGGCTTTTTGTGTGTTTGTTAGTTTGTTATGTTTTCTGTTTGTTGTTTGTTTGTTTGTGCGTTTGTGTGTTTCATTGTTTGTGAGTTTGGTTGTTTGCTTGCTTGCTTGCTTGCTTGCTTGCTTGCTTGCTTGCTTGCTTGCTTGCTTGCTTGCTTGCATGCTTGTGTGATTGTTGTTTGTTCGTTCGTTCGTTTTTTCGTTCGTTTGTTCATTTGTTTGTTTGTTTGTTTGTGTGTGTGTGTTTGTTTCTTTGTTGCTCTTGCTGTTTTTTGTTTCCGCCTGGCTTGCCACCTTGCTGCTTGTTTCTTTGCTTGTTTGGCTTTCTTTCTTTCGGTCTTCCGATTTCAGTATATTTGTCTTCCTTTCGCTCTTTCTTTAGTCCTTTCTTGCTTTAGTTATGTTCCTTTTTGCTTTCTAGCCTTGCTTATTTCTCTGTTTGTTTGTTAGTTTGTTTCTTTGTGTCTTTCGTTGTGTTTTTCTTTGTGTTTGTTTTTGTTTGTTGATGTTCTTGTGTGTTTTCTAATTATTTGTGTTTGCTTGCCTGCTTGTTTGCTTGTGTGTTTGCTTGTTTCTTTGATTGTCTCTCTCTCTCTCTCTGTTTGTCTCTTTGTTTGTCTTGCTTGCTTGTTTTGCTTGTTTGCTAGTGTTTGTCTTGTTTGGTTTTTAGGGCAACCGCATAATCATGGTGTTCAGCCAATCGCTCTACGTCTTGGTCTCGGAGGAGAGCTCGCTGCAGTGGCTGCCGGCGATCCTCGAGGCGTCGGTGGATGTGGTGGTGGAGAAGGCCGAAGGGGCCAAAGGGGCCGAAGGGGCCGGGCACGAAGTTCACGAAGCGGAAGTTAAAGGGTGGGTTTCCGCGGGACACGACGCACGCGGGGCGAAATGAGGTGCTGCACATCAAGCAGTTGAGCGCGGCGGGGGCACAACAGCTCTCCGTGGACTTGGAGTACCTCCGAAAGGTGCGCTTTTCGCTTGATGAGAAGCGCGTTAACGTTTGTGATCCTGGACAAGGGTGCAAAGACAAATCGGGCCCAAGGATTTGATATTGCGGGCTTGGAGCGGTTTTGCAAGACATAGATCAGCATGGGCCATCTCTTCTCATTCCGGAAGAGGCCAAAAAGGCAAAAAGGGCGCCGCACTTCGCATGATCGCTGTTTCGACTCGACCTTCGGCGATATCTGTCCAAGAGCCGTCGGTGCCGTTTGAAAGGTGCCAGATGCCCTGGGCAGCACTGGAGGCCGGAGCGGAGGGGTCCCATGTCGAGAGGCCTTCAATCGCAAAGCGTGGAACATTGGGGCACATCGGTGTCCTTTTTAGGTTAGTTTGATGAAAAATAGATGGGTTGCACTGGTTTAGGTGGGGGTTCTTCCATTTACCGGGGAAACCCATCTATTTTTCCAAAAGGCCACCTATGGGAATGGGGGGTGTTTCTTTTCTACATAACCCCTCCCAACCACAAAAAAAGAGTCAAACAACAACAATCGCATTTTGCAACAAAGTCGAATTGGAGGCTTCTCAAGCCTTCCCCCCAGAAAGAAAAGAGAGGCGGTTTTCCTCTTGCTTTCCCTTTAAAACCCGGCAACAACAACAGTACCTTCAAAAAGAGGCACCAAACAACGAGCAAATATAAGTACTTCAAACGAACATCACCCAAAAAGCGCGAACACATACCTCCAAAATAAATTCAAAAAAAAACAACACAAAAAAGGGTACCTGTAAAAAAAGCGGTCGCCTTCAAAAGAAGTTCACCCAAAATAAGTTCACCCCAAATAAAAACGGGGGTGCCTTGAAAAAAAGGCCGGTCGCCCAGTCAAAACCTCTCTCCCCATGGGCTTCATGTTGGTTCATCGAAAGGCACCGAGGCGGCCGCCACGCGCCTGCGGGAACTGCTGGAGGCGGAGAGGGCGTCCCTTTTGCTTTCCCTTTTTTCTTCGTTGTTGTTCCCCCTCATTTTTGTTTGTCGTTTTGTTGTTTCCTTTTTCGTTTTTTGTTTCCTTGTTCCCCCCCCCCCTTTTTTTCCGTGTCCTTCTTCTTCTTTTTTCTGAGAGTGTTTCGAGGTGCGTCGTTATTTTTGAGGTGTTTGAGGTGTGTTTCGAGTTTTTTTGGTTTAAGGGGATTCCTGGACAGATGTTCCTTGGTTTTTTTTGGCCGGCAGGCGAGACTTAATGGAACCTACCACGGGTCAGGAAACCCTTAGTTGGTGGTTTGGATTGGTGGTTTGGATTTGAACCCCTGGCTTTGGTAGAGGGTACATGCGGCTTTGGTAGAGGGACATGGGAAACCCCTCCTTAACCACCAAACCACCAATCAAACCGCCAATCAAACCACGAATCAGAGGCAAGCTGAACAGGGTCCCTCTGTTCCATGTTAGTGGATTGGAGCGTACCAGCATTATTTTCACTACAAAATGTGGCTTTCTGGTACCCGTTTTTCCCCGTAATCCCTATTCGAAATATATAAAAAGCCCCAAACATTGTGCCGCTCTGTGTCCCAGAACCGGCGGCGGAACGATCCATGCAGCGGTGGCTTCCAATGGCTCTCCGCGCGCAGACCGTGGAATTCCTGGCGGCCCAGCAGCGACGGAAGAAGGAGCATGGAGCTAAGCGCAGCCTTCGAAGCAGCTGGGTGCCACCTTGAAATGGGTCAAAACAACCCTTGTGAATCCACCAGAGATATATGAATCAACTAAGATTCCATTACCTGCTTGTGGTGCATATTGCTTCATTATGAGGCTATTGCCACCAAAGTCGATTTAAAGATTGGCCGCCAAACCCTCCGCGGTTTTGGCCTTGGATCGGATTCAGCCCCATCATACTCCCTCTTTCCACACAATCATGGACGTGGATGATCGGGGGCTTCCCCACAACGGAGAGTAGTCTTGCAAATTTCGCCTGTCAGCTTCCATGATTGTTGGAAGGAGGGCAAGTGGCAGGGGGGGGGTATAATAATTCTGAGATGGGTTCCATGCCCCAGGGTAAGCTGGGATATATATATATATATATATTATATATATATATACATATATTATATATATATATACATATATATATATATATCCCTTATATGTTGGCCATACAGTGGCGGTATATCCCATGACCAGGGGGTGGTGGCTCGGGGGTTCTGCATGTCACTGCATGTTGACTCAAGCCGTTGAGGTGCGCTGCCCAGGGCACAGCCTTCGTGGAGGACCGGAAAAAATCGCCGCCCAAAACAACGATGTGTCAAAAACCGGGTGGTGGTTGATCACTCGGGGTTTATCCAACCACTGTGATACTTTTGGGAATCTCCCCCTTTATGGGGGTTAGTCTTTGGGAAGCCCTTCTTGTCGTATCACATTTCCCACAACCCTGGTCAAAAACAAAAGGGGGCTCGCCTCTGACTGGTTTCCATTTGGCTCCTCGGGGAAGAAACAGCCGCCGAAAATTGGTATCCTCAACAAAAACACCCAAACAAAAGTCATGGGTGTTCAATTCGAACAAAACATTGACTAGGGGATGAAATCATGGACGTTGCCATTTCTGATGAAATGATGTTGCCAACTCTGATGATTTCATCGATCTTGCCAAGTCCGATGCAATCATCGACGTTGCCAAGGCTGATGAAATCATCGGCGCTGCGCACGCTGACGAACTCGTCAACGTTGCCAATTCTGAGGAAATCATGGACGGACGTTGCCAACTCTGATGAAATCGTCATCGCCGACGTTGCCAACTTTGACGCTGCGGAAGCTGGGGACGTAAAACCCAAAAAAACTCGCAAGCCGATAACTCGCAGCAGGGCTGTCAACTTCGATGAAATCAATAGCGTTGTCAAGTTTGATGGAATCATCAGCGTTGTCAACTGCGAAATCGTCAGCGTTGTCAACTTCGATGCAAGCTTGAACGTTGCCAACCTTGTTGATGTCATCAGCGTTGTCAACCTCCATGGACTCATCAAAATTGTCAACCTCCATGAACTCATCAACGTTGCCAACCTCGATGGTTTCATCGAGGTTGGCAACGTCGATGGGTTTTGGGGGGGCGCTTCACCCCCGGACCCCCTGCCCACTCCCAACCCAAGGCGGCAGATGTAAAGAGGGGGCCGGCCGGCAGGAGAACAAGCATGGGTAAATATGGATTTGTGTATTGACAGTTTGAGGTGTAATTATGCGAAAAACTGACAGACCCATTGGCGTGCATATGATTTTGTATATGTGAGAATCTGACATGTTTTGCTTGAGACAAAGCCACGAGTTCCAGTCTAAACATGGTTGTTGTTGGGAAACATTTTTGCATTGTTGCTTATTGTGGTTTAGTGGGAAATCCAACCACTGAACTGCAGAAATTTGAATGTTTGCTCCCCTTCCAACGTCAACCAAGTAAAGAGCTGCCAATTTTTGGGGAGAAACGGAGGAGAGCCGCGCCATTGCGCGCTGGGCAGAGCGGCCTTTGCGTGCGGCCGGGGTGCGCAAGTGGCGTGCGCCAGGGAGACATTTTCGTCGGTGGCCAGGATTGCCGGCTCTCCGCTTGAAAGGGTTGACCGTCCTAAATCGGTTTTAGAAACTGGGGCACAGAAGTTTGCCCATTGGGTGCTGGCGAAGTATCACATTCATGCCTCAAGGCCTGCCATGTTGAGTGGAGGTTTACTTTATGGCAAGACTTGATGAGTTGGTTCCTGGAATGAAGCGAGTGCAACTCCAAGCTCTCTTTTCCATCCTCATGTTAAGATATCCAGTCTATGTTGTATTTAGGAAAAGAAACTAGGGGACTCTATGAGTCACAATAATAATAATAATAAAATAATAATAACACACACCAAAAAGAACGGGTAAGTGGAGGGTAGTAAGGGACCCAGCCATAAATGGGTGCGGATATCCGCCTTGGTAATTACTTACATGGTTCTTTCCTTTGCTTACGACCATTGTCTTACCGGGTTTTGATTGTGACTCATATCTCTTTTCCTAGTTAGTGGGAAATATCATCGGTTTAGTGGTTTTCCATCAAATGGTCGTCCCATGTCCATGTATCACGGACCTTTTCATCAACGCCAATATGTTTCGCACAGGGTCGAAGCCGAACTCCCGTGTTTCCTCGCGACGCCTCCTAAGGCCATGGGCCTGTGAGCGCAAAAATCATAAACGCGGCGGCGGTCGGTCGGTCGGGGTGGGGGGGGGGGAGGTGGATGGGAGTGGGATGCAGCGGACGCCCTGAGCTGCTTGGGTTCCTTTTCGTTTTTCGTTAGAACAACCGCTACCAGAAAAAAAACAAACAAAAGCAGCCCTAAAAGAGGTATCACAAGACAACCTACAATGGGCAAGCCCTGCGTAGCGGGCGATCATTGAAGGATGCTTCAAGCCGGCCATGGGAATTGAGTTGATCTTCGAAGCGGGGCTTTTCCTGTGCCACGTCGCAAGTGCGCTAAAGGAAGATTTGGTCCTTAGGTGACATCTCCTTGATGCAAGGGTTGCCCTTGAACGATTGCGATCGTTTTCAGTGGGATGCATGCCTGGCCTCCAAGCAGACCATAGCAGACCACTGCACAAAAATACACTGTTCACCGTTGTTTGCGAAGACTGTTGCTTTGGTGCATTGTGCTTGGATGTTAGGACTTTATTTTTTTGCCAATCAACGGGCTTCAATTAAACCGCTAAAAGTTGATTTTTTAGCAGGGGAGCAGAAAGCAACCGGGTTGTGCTTCGCTTACAGGGCTCGAGCTGCCGGTGTTTTATGGAGGAGCCAGTGTCAGCCACCTGTTCCAAGCAGTTCGCCCAGGCGGAAAAAATGATTTGGAAGCGACCGAACGCCCCGGTGAACTGAACTGGCGTGAGCCGAGCCATGGCTGGAGACGCTGCAGGTCAGCTTGCACAAGGCGGGAAGGCGACAGCTCTTGGGATGCTGCCAAGGAGCTGAGCGGGCGAGAATTCTCTACTCGCTTTGCTCCAGAAGTTGGAACCCACTTGAACCCAAGGATCCAGTCACTGATGTGATTTGTAATCCTCCGCCTCGCTTGAGGTGGTGTTTGCTTCACATTTGTTTGCCGTTTGCAAAATCACCTCTACCACTCCGTCAGGACTTCTGACGGTGGAAGGGAAGATGGTGGTCAGTGGGACCCCCCCCCCAAAAAAAAGGGGCCGGTTTCCCGGTTTCCAGAAACAAAAATTGGAGGCCTTGATTTAAAGGCCCTCCAAAAAAACTGTCATTTTTTGTTTTTTTTTTGGGGGGGGGGCACCCTCAGAAAACCAGGCGAGCTGCCCATCGATGTAGCCGTGGAGCTCGAGCGAGCCCGCAGGCCAGCGAGTGAAGCTGAGAAAAGCCTGGGTTTTGTTTCGGACTTTGGTCACTTTTTGGATTTGGACCATTTTAGTGGAAAGTAACAAGTTCCTGAACTTGTTTTGGCCAATTTACTCAGGAAGTGAACATTTGTGCATTGTATCTTGGCGGTTCCCTCTTAGTGTTTAACACTTTATACCCAAATTCGGTCTGGGACTGGACATGATGTAACCAACATTCAAAATACGGCAGCAGGTCGAGGTGAAGATATACGTTCAACATTCAGTGTTACCTGACTGGTATACGCTGTGGACAAATTCTGGGGATGGCTGATTCACCATATCTGGGGTTTTATCCCGCTGCATAGCATCACATTCCCGGCAACACCCCCGGAAGGGCTCGTGATATGTTTTTTCCAGGCTCAGCGACCGCTTCTCCCGTCAAGCCCACGATGATGGGGAACTTGCACGAGAGCAGCGCGCACGGCGCCTGAGCACCGAGTTTCTGCGCCTCGGCGCGATGCCAAGCGCGAGACGGGAGCACGCCGGTTGGAGCGAAGGGATCGCCTGCAAATGACATGGGAACCCAAAAAGGCGGTTTCCTTCCCCCAAAGGAGACTCCTTGAAACAGTGGCAGGTTTTGTTGTTGGGTTCCATGTTAGCAAGTGAATCCGGAGAGTGCATCTGGTGTGTTGAGGCGGGAACGCACCAAGCTACCGGCGGCTGAGGAGTACCAGTTTCGGCAGCCTGCTGGGCAAGGCCAACGAAGGAATTGCTCGGCTGGAGGAGACGTTGGAGCACCACAGGCCAGTGGATTGTGTCGCTTGTCGCTCGTGTGTCACACCTCCTGTTCCTCTTTTCGTTCGCCTCATCTTCTCGTCCTAATAATTTGATAAGGAGCTCGCTTTTGCTGTGATCATCTCTGTTTGCTCTACATCTCCTTCGCAATATTTGTTGTTTGGGATTGCTCCTGGCCTTAATTGGGAGCATTAGTTTGCCCCAATTTGCTAGGGGAAACCCCTCAAACAAGAGAAACAAGCACCTTGCATTTTTGGTCGACTCTTAGTTTGCCCCAATCCGGGGGCACCTTCATTTTGGTTGACTATCAGTTTGCCTCCATCTCCCGGCTAGAAATGGCCGTCTTCTGAATCCACTTCTTGGCTTACGCGTGCACTGGGACCTTGGAACCAGGAGCCACAATTTGGAGTTCACCAGCGCCTGGTTGTAATCTCCAATACAAGGGGGACCTCCATTCTGTCACAGGAGGGTGGTTCACGTTCACTGGCGCGTGGTTGTGTGTGTGTGCGCGTTGCAACGCTAAAGAGGTGCCGGGAAGGGGCTGATGGTGATAGCAACAAGCACTAGTGAAGCCAATTTTACAAAGAGTCGCCATAGACCAGGAACATCCAGGAAGGACGTCTGCTGTCTGTTGCAAACTCGGCCTTGAGAGGATCCCCGTCTAAAGTGTACCCTCCCAACATGGAGGTGCGCAGGTTTCCCTTCCAAAGCGGGAGTCATATGGAATTTGATAAACAGACCGTAGCGTAGGCATGTGGTTTACCTCATCTTGTTAAATACTACCCTCGTAGGCTTGGGGATGGGATGGTCATCGGGTCAGGATTAAGAGAGCCATGGCCATGAGTGATCATGGCATCCTTTGAGTTTGTCTCAGCTGTAAGTTGGAGGCTTATTAAGTATTGTCATGACGTTTAAGAGTCGGAAGCACCTCACAAGTTTTCGGTAGACATTTGTTACCCCACCAAATTTAGAAGTCCACCATTTCGGGTCCCTTTTTTTATCACTCATAATGTTGACCCCTTATTAATCAACCCCAGTGTATCAATCTGGGGGGTGTTCCCCTCCAAAAGTGGTCTGATTCCCCGCATTTCACCCAGAAATGGACACCCCCTATTAATAAGCTGCTTGGTTTATGAATCTGGGGTCAACATTATTTATGCAGTCAACCCCCAAAATCGGGGAACCCCCAAAAAAAAAACGCTACCCCCCCCCCAACTAGACCACGGTTGGCCCGAAAGCATAACATCGCAAGCGAGGTCGGCCCAACGCTGCAGGATGCGTTCTTTTTCCCTCCACGAAGCATTTGTGAAGCAAGCGCGAGACAGCACCAGGCAAGGTGCTCTGCGCAAACTGGTCGGTGCAAGTTGGTCTGCGCAAGTTGCTCTACGCAAGTTGCACTGTGCAAGTTGCTCTGCGCAAGTTGCTCCGCGCAAGTTGCTCCGGCAAGTTGGTCCCTGCAAGTGGCTCCCTGCAAGTTGCTCTGTGCAAATTGCGCTCCCTGCAAGTTGCTCTGCGCAAGCTGCTCTGCGCAAGTTGCTCTGCGCAAGCTGCTCTGCGTAAGTTGCTCTGCGCAAGTTGCTCTAGGCAAGGCGCTCTGCGCAAACTGGTCGGTGCAAGTTGGCGCAAGTTGCTCTGCGCAAGTTGCTTTGAAATGCAAGTTGCATCTTGCGACGCCCGCCCGCGGACCAGGGAGGAATCGAACCCGCGACCCGCCGGTTCCGGGAGCAGGCGCGCGAACCACGAGACAACTCCCGAGGACCAGTTCGAACAACAAAAGACACAAAAATCTTCGAGTTTGCACCTCGACCACGCCGATTCCCGCAGAGGGTTGCGCGAGCACCGCAGAAATCGCAAAAAACCTCAAGTTTTTGCACCTCGACCACGCCGATCCCCGCAGAGGGTTGCGCGGGCACCGCAGAAATCGCAAAAAAAATGGGTTTTTGCACCTCGACCACGCCGATCCCCGCAGAGGGTCGCGCGGGAACTATAGAAATCGCAACAAACCATGGGTTTTTGCACCTCGACCACGACGATCCCCGCAGAGGGTCGCGCGAGCACCGCAGAAATCGCAAAAAAAAACATGGGCTTTTGCACCTCGACCACGCCGATTTTCGCAGAGGGTCGCGCGGGAACTTTAGAAATCGCAACAAACCATGGGTTTTGGCACCTCGACCACGCCGATCCCCGCAGAGGGTCGCGCGAGCACCGCAGAAATCGCAAAAAATGGGTTTTTGCACCTTGACCACGCCGATCCCCGCAGAGGGTCGGTTTTCGTGTAGTGTCGTCGGCGCTACCCCGCCGCCCTAAGAAGAGATTTTAACTCCTCGCAAGTCAATTGCGCTTGACTCCTTGCACTTGCAACTTGCACTTGACTCCATGCACTTGCAACTTGCACTTGACTCCTTGCACTTGCAACTTGCACTTGACTCCTTGCACTTGCAACTTGCACTTGACTCCATGCACTTGCAACTTGCACCTGACTCCTTGCACTTGCAACTTGCACTTGACTCCTTGCACTTGCAACTTGCACTTGACTCCATGCGCAGCTCGCAATGACTCTCATGACTCCTTGCAATGACTCCTTGCAATGACTCCTTGCAAGGACTCTTTGCAATGACTCCTTGCAATGACTCCTTGCAATGAATCTTTGCAATGACTCCTTGCAATGACTCCTTGCAATAACTCCTAGCAATGACTCCTAGCAATGACTCCTTGCAATAACTCCTAGCAATGACTCCTTGCAATGACTCCTTGCAATGACTCCTTGCAATGACTCCTTGCAATGACTCCTTGCAATGACTCCTTGCATTGACTTTCATGGTGATGATTCCTTGCAATGACACCTTGTAATGACTCTCATGAGAACAACTCAAGTGAACCCAGCGGAAGAACCCCTTTCGGGAAAAAAAAGACAAAAGAAAAAGAACGAATGAAACCTAAAACCGCCTTGAAGGAGACGCCGAATCTGCGAAGAGAAAACCCCAAGCCTCGCTACCTCAAAACGGGTCCCGGACCCCGCAAGGCGCGACCAGCTCCAAGCCCTGGCGGCGCAAGAGCCCCTCATGGAGGCCTCGAAGCATCGGGCAGCCCACCCCCCTTGTGAGTGCCAGGGCTGTCCGAATTGTCTGGTTTCAACGAGCCAGTTTCCCCTTTAAAGGGAACCTAAAGTGTCCGAATTGTCTGGTTTTAACGCGCCAGTTTCCGAGCCTAAAGTGACATTCGATCTTTTTGTTGGGGGTTGGAAGCCAGTAAGTTGATCAACTTTTGATTTGGGGAACTCCAGTGACCCTTGCTTTAAAAGAGAGATCAAGCTGACGTTTGTTTCATGGCGGGGTTGTTGTCCGGTGACGGTGTGAAAAGAAGGAAACCCAAACGACATCAACGGATTTGCATTGGGTTTCGAAGCACTCAGAAACCCCTCATGCGATCGGTGACCGGTTCGCCCAGCACTATTTGGAAAAAGTAGGCCTATTTCAGAGACGAGAAGACATACAGTGGATGGACGAAATTCAGAAACTTTGGGAAGCCATTGCTTGTTGGAATGTGCAGGGGAATCAAGGGTTTCTTAAGTGGTGCATGATTTCGTCCATCCACAAGCAGAGGAATAATTATTTTGCTTAAGAGACACTGAACCAAACTTAATTATGTGCCACATGTTCAGAAGCGGACAAAATAGATGACCTTACCCAACAAATCTCCCTGCGGCTACAGTTGATGCTGCAAGTCCCAGAATGACTGGCATTTTAGTACGCGTCATGCTGGCCAGGACCCGCAGTGTTCTTGTAGGCAGTGAATATCTTGTGGCAGGCGTGTTTGCAAGGCGCCGCGGACGCACTTGAGCGGGTGTGCTTATTGCTCGGGTGTGCTAGCAATTGGCCAGCGTGCGTGCAGTGTTGCGCGGACGCGCTTGAGCGAGTCTTCTTACTATTTGGCAGGCATGTGTTCAGCGCTATGCGGACGCATTTGAGCGGGTGTGATTCTCATTTTGCAGATTGTTTTCTGTCTGTGTGCGTTTGCGTGTTTGCGTGGGTGGGTGGTGTGTGTGTGTTTTTTTTTTTTTTTTGTTTTTTTTTTTTTTTTTTTTTCGTGTGTGTGGCGTGCGTGTGTGCGCGTGCGTGGGTGCTTGTGCAGCGCCGAGAGGGTGCACGGGAACGGAATCTGAACCGAAGCACATTGCGCGTTGCAGTCGGGCTGAGCGTAGCCATTGCACGAACCCCGCCCAAGACCCGACCCGCGTTTTACTCTAGCTGGCCTGCTAGGGAAAAACAAAGCAACACGCGGCAACCTGAACGCTCCACAAGCCGGATTGCATAAAAGGAACCATTCACGTAAGTTTAATCTTTGGATGTCCCTTGTGTCCAAAACTGCTCCGTTGCACTGCAAACCTACAAAGAGTTCAAAACCGGTAGCGATGCTGGCAAAATATACCTTGTTGGGTAGCAAAAAGGCTAGACTTCTGAGCTGAACAAGAACGAAAACGATGGACTTTTTCAGGGAACTGGCTCTTTGCACGCCTTTCCTTACATCTGCTCACACCGCTGAAAACGTGTTATCTCTCTAACGTTTGATGTGCGAGCTGGAGCTGCCAAAGCGTACATCGTTTACCACATTTGTACTACCATGGATGCGAGGCGCGACACTGAAAATACAGAAAACAGTAAAGCAACATAATTATGAGTTGCAACATGAGGGTCATCTAAAACAACGCGGTTTTCATTCAACCTCATGGTTTCTTGGCATATTCTCCGTTTGACATATATATATATGTCTATAGAAGTCACGGCTAGCCTATGTTCTCATGCTTTGGGGTTTCCGAATTTTCCATGGGGCAGACTATCCGACAGAACTTTGTCGAAGGCGTCGGGCCAGCCTGGCCCGGGCCCTGCGACGCCTCTGGAGAAAGCGTTGCAGAAGACGCTCGAGGCGACGTTCCGCGTTCCGGTTGTTTGAGCTGTTCGTTTATCGTCGTGCGGATTCGGATGGACGAGTCGAGAGAAATCGCAGCACCTTGAAACTATGGGAAACCATTGCTTTGGTGGAATTTACCGGGGAATCGTTTTCCAGGGGTTTCTTGGGTGGTGCAGAAGATCGCCCACAGTAGGTGAATAGGGGCCCGGGTCCCATCAATTCACCGGATCGATTTCTTGTTCGAGAAACCCCGACCTCAGGCGTTGCAGGTTTTTGTTAGTTTTGGTGGACAGAAGAGTGGAGAGGAGAAGGAAGTGGATTTTAGGAGGGCTGGTTTTTGGGTGCTTCCAAGGGTTTGTTGTTTCCACAGGGGCCCTTTTCACTGTTGGAAAGGATGTCTCGGTGAAGTCGATCTTGGACATCCGCACCTGTGGTGCTGGCGTCGTGCTCGCAGAGGCCGGGAGTCAGAGCGAGCTGAGTTTCACTTTGGACACTTGCACTCAGGGAAACCAACTAGCCGGGATGAACCAAACGGGGGATTCCCCCGTTTGATGCACCTTAAGCTTCCTCCGTATCCCCGTTGTTCGTGTGTCCAATGCACAGTTCAGAGTCAAGAGCGCATGAACCAGATGTTCAAAGACCCGATTGCTCGCAGCTCCAACGGATTCCTGAGAGCCAGAGGCAACCGCGACTGCCGCCTTATGCGCTGTGGCGAACATCGATGACACGGTGCCCCTGAGCATTCACAGCCTCGACCCAGATCGGCTAGGAGCTTATGGCAAGACCTAGTGCCCCAAATCCAAACCCCGGTCAGGCGTTTCAGTAGAGGATTCCCAGAGCAAGGATCATGATGGGCCAGAGGAACCTGTCATTTTAGTTTGTTTTGAGCGCTGCTCATCTTAGACGGAGTTCAGGTGCTTCTTGTCTCTATCCTTTTGACAGAGTTGATGCACGGAAAAGAAGGTTCCGCGATTCACGCGCATCAAACCTCGGCAGAGACTCGGTGCCTTAGTTGCCCGAGGCCGTGGGAGAATGCGCTGCAGATGCTTGCAAAGCCCGGCCACGTCATCAACACGCTGCGCCGCTTTCCTCAGGCGGGAGAGATATCAGCTGTGCCTTGCTTGAGCTGCGTAACGTTGACGCCAAGAATCAGCCTCAGTTTATTTTATACTTTTGGATGCTCCCCTCCAGTATTGGATCCCCACGAAAACCAAGGACACCCCATATGAATAAACCAGGGTGGATTAAAATGGGCTCAAGGTATGGCTTTTGCCCATGCGATTGCCCTGGCCCAGGCAGTGGCTTCCAAAAAAGTGCCAGAGGACTTCCTTTTGACCATCCGCGTGACGGCCTGTTCCTTTTGGCTATCGTGAGTCGAGTAGGGCAAAGCCTCGGAAAGCGCCCCAAAAAAGAACCAGAGCTTCTGGATAGTAGCTGCGGGTATGGAAGCAACGTCGATGGTGAGTTGGTTGAAAAGGTTGCTTGGGCCAATGTCAAGATCTTTGAGCTTTTGCACAACTCACCACTCGATCGTCCGGCAACATGTATTTGCTTCGATTTTCCAAATCTGATAGGGCTCAACCGAAGGCCCGCAGCTCTCCAGCCATACCGGAAGGGTTCTGTTCCCGTAGGTTCGGTCAAGACCTCCACGGTCCATTTGGGAGCGACATGCGGGGACCCTAAACTTCCACCATACACCAGGCAAACCGGACGCGAATCTTCCATGTCCCTTTCAGTACACCCAATAACATGCCCGCGGGGGCGGGCCCTTTGTTGCAACATGTTCAATGAAGAGTTACAACCCTTTCAGTCAAAACGGCTGTTTTCTGCACCCAGACCACCCTCTCCAGTTGAGACGGCGTGCATGTCAAAACTGTTTGTTTCTTGTGCGACCCATTCGGTGCTTTCCCTGCGTGCAGTTGGAAAATGGTTGAATATTCCCACCCTTACCCAATGTGGAGATATCCATTGGGGCCCACTCAAGCACAATTCAAGCATGGAGGGCTTGGAAGGAAAGCCAAAGCAGAAGTCCAATGCCTGTATACATCCTGTATACATCCATGTCTCAGTTTTGAGGTTACCCTTTAAGCCAACCTACCTGGAAAAGCCGTTTTTTTGAGACAATCTCACTCAGCCACTGGGCGCACTTTATACATTTGTTTCCCTTGGTGGCTCTCCCTTTTAATTGAGTGGTGGCCCAGAAAGTGTGCACTTGTTTTCTGGCTGGTCACTCAAATGAAGGGAGAGTGCACACTTCGAGGTTTTTGGCTGACCAGTCACTGGCCTCAGTTTGAGCCAATCCCCGGCTGACCTAAGTCGCTCTGAGTCAAAGGTCGCCCTTCGCCGCGAGTTTTGAGGCTCCCCTTCAAGCCAACCTCCTGGAAAAGCCGTTTTTTTGAGACAATCTCACCCAGCCAACCTACCTGGAAAAACCGACCGGAGCTTGGGACGCGTTTGCCGCTGACCTCGCAGCTTTGGTGAGGAGAACATGGTGGCGGCGCGGCACTACTTGTCCATGGCCGGCACCGGCCACCTCCCGGCGCTTCCGGGGGCTTGTTGCGGGGCTTGCGGGGGTTGGGCTTCGGTTCCGGGTGACTGTGAAGGCACAGGTTCCAGGTGACCCCGAAGGCAAAATTCAAAGGGCTGCCGAATGATACGGGCAAACCAGGGAAGGGCGATGTGCGCTGCAAAATTTGGAATCAACATGTGGAGCACCAGCCAAATGCTGTGAACTTAAAGAAGGAACCTGTCTGGAATTATGATGTCCACCAGAGGGTCCGATCACACTATGTTCCAATGTCCTTTGATGGGGAAACTGAAACAATCTGGCAGTTGTTCATAGACCCATTCCAGTTCCGGCCCCCGTCAACAGTCCGTCAACCATCAACCCTTCTAGGAAAGACTGGTATCAGGCATCAAAAGTTTGGCCCATGATACAGATTGCGCCGACCTGGAAAGAGATGCGCTCTATCCCCACCCCCCTGGAAATCCGTTTGCTTTTGGAACTCAAATTGAATTGGGGCCCGAAAGCGTCTCCGGGCACCGCTGTCGCAGGCGGTTTCGGGGCTGCAGCGCTGGATCACGGCTGCCATCGAGCTGTGGGAGGTGTCACCCACGCCCATTGTTCCCATTGTGCATAAGATCTGATTTCCAAAAACACTCAGCTTGTGCATAAGACCTGCTGTGGCTTTCAGACACCCAGAGGCATCTCTTTGTTGGGATTGGTGCGCGTGACTCACAGGCTCCTCCAGTGCCCAAAGCGCGAGTAGCGCCTCGTCTGCACCAGGGGGATCCTGGGGGTTGAGCAAAGGGTCCGTGATACATGGGATGACCATTGGTTGAAGCACCACCAAACAGTTGTTTTTTATCTTTTTCCCACTAAATGGTCAAGACTGGGGGCCGAAGGGAATATTGATCCTAGAAAGAGTGACCCACGGTGTGGCCTGAGCCACCCCCTGGCTGAGGAAGTGAATTTCAAGGCGCGGGATTTCAAGCCCCTGCGCTCCGGCGAGGCCGGATCGGCCCCCTCGGGCCGCAGATTTTTTTCGGATCATAGCTTGCTGGCCGGGGAATGACATCGAGTGCCGGGAGTTGGGCACTTTGTTCTTCTTTTTCCCGGGGATTCCAACTTCAAGGACACTATAGAGGGGTGTTCGTTGTGGGTCAGGGGTCATTCCAAGCCTGCAGATTCCTTAAAGGACACCGCCAGTTGCACGGTTTGTCTCGTCATTTCTTCCGTCTCCCGCCGGCCAGGTGCGGCGTCCCATCGCGGGTCCGGGGCTCAAGGCCACCCTTCGACGGTGCGTTTCCTTTACGCCGAGAGTCCGAGGCCAAAAGCTCAGCCCACGAGTCACCGCGCGGGACTCGAAGACTCGAGATGGGCTCGAGGTTTCAGGTACTCAGGGTCCAGGTGTGAAGCTCAAGAATTGGCTGGCGGCCTTTTTGGGTGAGCTTGAGTGGAAATAGATGGGTCCCAAGGGTTTACAGGGGTTTTAGTCAATTTGCCAGGGATTCCCATCTATTTTACCAATAGGACACCTACTCTCACAAATTGGTTGACCATGTGTTGTTTGACGTGGGAGTTTGATGTGAGGGGAGTTGTGGAGCCGATTTTGACCACAGGTGCAGCAGAAGGTCACAGGCACGACGAGCTTGCGCGGGCGTGCAACCATGGAATTGAGAAATTGTGACACTGCAAATGCTCTAATTTTGGCACTTTGCGATTTTGCGGCCACGGAGATAATATGTGCAATTGTGTTGTTTGCCAACCTTTGCTAAGATGTTGCGGACATTGAGATGAGAAGCAACATGGGGAGAGGCTGGCCCAATGTTGTCCGAGAGGGGCCTAGATACATGTTGCGAGCTAGAAAGGCATCTTGATCTGATATACTATAGGTGCCCCAGAAGTGCCCTTTTACACCCTTTTTAGGGGGAGGGCAAGCCCCTACTAAAATAGACAAAACCGAAAAAAAAAGTTGGTAATTACCCTTATTCTAACCTCTCAAATCTGGAGGACCTAGTATAGGTAAAGGGGGCATGACGCCTGTCATTTCCCGGGCCATCGGAAGCCACCTGACTCTGTCCGCAGGCCGGCCGCTGCGGCCAGTCCAGCCAGCGACGCAAACGCAGGCTTACGTGTGAGTCCGGAGTGAGAGGAAACAAAGGGGACCACCCCCCGGTATGATGGACACTTGGGGTCTATATGCAACCACCTTAATGTAGTAAATTGGTTTCTTTACTATTCGGGTTCTTGGCTGCAAGAGACACTCTAAGTGTACATGGCACGGACCCCCCCGCCCCCAGAGGTTTTCCATAGCGGGAGGGAGCCTCGCAGGCACGAGATTCTCGCGGGGCGCAGAATGGCTCAGGTGGGCCTTTTGCGTGGACTTTGGTGTCAATGCACCGGGGGGTTTTAGTCTTGGTTCCATTTACTAGGGTTCCGAAATGGATACCCATTTTTGACCCACAGCCATCTGATAAGTCTGTGCAGTCTAATGTTAACCCCGGAATAAGCAGAACCCCTGGTTGATTTTGATCGGGGGGTGTCCCCTTTTAGTGGGGATTCAGACCACTTTTGGAGGGAACACCCCCCAGATAAAGGGACGGATTTATGAAAATCCTGGGTCAACATTATGCTTTGGTTCGAGAGGATGGCCACGAAAAGAACCAAATTTCGCTGCTAGCCCTTGAGTGTAAGAGGACACAAGCAAGCGATATTGCCTGTATAAGGAGATGTTGCACAGGTGCCAGGATGTGTTGAACGCGGATGTGGTGGTAGAACAGGACAACCAACTCTTAACGCTTTCGGGGCCAAAGTGCAGATGGCTCTAACCGCGCGCAGCAACTTTGGGGTGTTTGGCTCAGGGGGCATGGTTGCCGCTTTTCCATGGATTGATGTGAACCAGAACCAAACACAGCGGCACTGAAAATCCATATCGTGGGTGGTACTAAGCTCGATGTTGATCGCTCACCTGCATTTAATTGACATGAATTGCTGAACCCGGATGCGTTGAGTAAATTAGTATACTTCGTCAAGCACCAAAGATTTTAGCCAAGCATGTGCAGTAGCTGACCATGAGAACTCTGTCTTGCAAGGTGTAGTCAGACGGGCAGGCGACTCTAATGAAAAAGGCTTACAACTGATGCAAGTTTGAACATTCTTGGAATGAAGTGTCTAACCTATCCCCCTTATGAATAAACTCACAACAAGCTTCAATTGCATTTTAGATTCCTTTGATTCATTAGGCTCTCTGTTCTGTTTGCCAGGCGACAGCGCAGCCCGTACGAGATCAGCCCCTCGGGCCAAGAGCCAAGACCAGCGGCGGCAAACCTCGCCGCGGCAGCCCTCTCCGCGGCAGGCCTCGCCGCGCCCTGCCGAGCGCCGTCAGTCGCCACGGCCACGCCCTGACCGACCAGAGCGGCCGGCAGAGCGGCCAGCAGAGCAGCCGGCAGAGCGGCCGGCAGAGCGGGCGGAGCGAGTGCGGACTGAACGGGAGCGATCACAGCGGCCGGAGCAAGACCGGGCCCGGCTGGAGCGAACCACTGAGCGGCCGCAGACGCGGCAAGTGGAGCGACCACGCCCGGAGAGAACTGAGCGCCCAGAGCGTGATCGACCGGATGAACGCCCCGAGCGCTTCGCCGAACGACGGCGTCAAGAGCGGGAGCGGAGTGTGGGCACCACCCCACGCACTGCAAGGACTACAAGGCCCCAGTCAGCACTGAGACCTGGAAGCGCTCGCCTGTCCACGGATATGGCACGCAGCCAGTCGCGCCTCTCCCCGCGAAGACCAGCCAGCACCAGCCTGGTGGGATTGAACAGTTCCAAGAGCGCTTCGATGTTAAGAACTCCGCCTTCGGCCACTCCAGGCGCGATCAGATAGAATTGCATGCCACATGACCAGACAGCCAAAGCCAACCGCACACGCCAACAGCGGGTCCTCTCAAGCTGCTTGTGGGTGCATCAAAGCCACCGCAAGGGCAACGTAGGGTCAGCTCATCATGATTCTTGAAACTCACAGTGTCAGAGCTCGGGAGAGTTGGCATCATTCGCCCAGGATCGCCGCTCTCCCCTGTTGCTGATTTGCCCTCCGTGGAGGATTGAGGGCAGAGAGCCAACTGCCGGCAGACTGATGTTGAGCCAGCCAACAGCCCTGACCTTTTCCCTCCAGCAAAGACGTCTCCGAAATGTTGAGAAACATCCCCTGACGTGGTTGAAGCTGTTTCAATTCGGGCAAGCATGAAATCAGGGCTGCAAAAACACGCCATGTCTTGACGACTTCCGTTGGCTCTGGCTTGCCAGGAGCTGAAGCGCATGATCGAAGAGACCAAGAAAGAGGCATTGCGCGATATTGCGCGGTTTCACACTCTCACGACATGCTGCACTGGGCCTACATGTTGTTCATGGCATCAAAATACAAGGCCCAAATCGCCAGCGAGTTTCCTTCACTGTTGGAATGCCATTGTACCCTCAAACAAGCGGGGAATGCTCGATTTGTACTTCGCGGATGCAGCTCAGCGGTGCGCAAGGTCCGCGAGATCAGAGCGGTGCGGCTCCAAGCGTGACGTGTTCGGCGCGAGCCGAAGCATTTGACGGCAACTGTCGAGCGAACTTGAACCAAAGAATCCCACGTTTCAGGTGGAAATGTCCTTTTAGGGGAGCTCTGATGTAATTACAACTCTGCACTGGGGTTCATTCGAAACTAGAGACTGTTGCTTTTGTGAGTCCGTTCATGGTCCTCAGTATGTTTGTCACAACTCATGGTCTTTTTGGAGGACGTCAAAGTGATATTCCCAGAGTCACAGTATGCTTAACGTTGACTCAGGTTGAATCAAAGACGCGATGGCAGATGTCGCGAGAGGACGATGAATCGCAAGTTGCGGTCACCGCATGAATTGGGTATGGGTCGAAATTAAACAACCAGGATATGGACCGCAGGTTGAAACGTCCTTGTTTTCGATTGACCAGGTTTCCATGTACCAAAATTATTGACGTACACCTGGATGGCCGGATGATAGCGCAGGAGCGAAGAGACAAGCTGGCGGAAACGATCGCCTCCCAGAGCGAGTTGCGCGAGTGGCGCTGGAAGCAGGCGAGCGATAAGTCCATAAGTCCATAGGGTTCTTTTTGGTTTGCTAGACAAATAGATGGCGATTCCCTGGTTTACCTGGTGGTTTCATCATCTACCAGGGAAACCCATCTCTTTCCCCTAAAAGGACATGGATAAGTCCCATGGCCGGCGATGGTCAATGAGGCAAGCACGATTGCTGAACGTGCTGATTCCGATGCGCCCTCAGACTTTTTTCCCGATGGCAAGGCAAGTCCAGTTGGGTGACCCAGTTGGGTGCTATGAAAACAAGAATGAACGGCTTGTCATAGCAACTCAAAGACGCTCTGAAACAACCTTGCAGGCATGTATTTGTTGTGTGGCGCCGGTGTGATGCTTTGCAGCACCCTTCAATTGCACCTTTTGCAACCGTGCAGACTCGCAAAAGCCACCTAAGAATCTCGGTCAAAGCTTCCAGCACTCGAGAGCTTCTGGCGATGAAAGCCTTCGCAATTCTCAGTCACATTGTCAGAAAACACCCTCAGCACTCTGCAGCACTCTGCATCCCAACTTTGCGCAACTCGCGGCCGAACTCTCCCGGAGAGCATTTTGCGAAGATTCTTGATCACACGCACCCTCTGAAAAGACCCAACGCAACTCTCCTCTGAAAAAGACCCAACGCAACGCTCTGCTTGAAGGTGGAAGCCCTTTATCTTTCAGCATCTTTTCGGAGCAAAGATGTTTTTTGGCGCCCTTTCAGAGAGCTTTTCCCAGGACCCCCCAAAGACACCGTCAAGATGGTCGACTTTCGGCTTTAGTCAAGGGGGTGTGTTTGGGGAGGGGGAGTTTGGGGATTCAGTCCCCTTCAAGGTGCAATTGCCAAAAACCGCTATATTGGGGGTTGATCAAAAGGTCCTTTACATGGGCTGACCGTTGGGGGGAACCACGAAATAGATAATTTGTCCCACTAAATGGGGAAAGTTACCCAGGGGGCAAGGAATATTGACCAAGCCCTTTTATTTCATTGACCCGATTGCCGTGAAGTCGGTCAGGCTGAAGGCATGAAATCCGTGGCTGTGCAGAAAGCCCAAGAGGCCAAAGCAGTGGAGTTGAAGGAGAGATGCGCCCTGCCGCGCCGTGCTTACGGCTCTCCCCTTTCTCAGCTGCTTTCTTAATGTTGGACCCCCCCTAAAAAGAATTCAAACTGGCCACCAGAAAAGGTACCGAGCCTCAAGGAAAGACAGACCCAGTTGCATTCTGGTTGTCATAGCTTGCTTACTTCTAGCCGGAAAATCGGCCAACAGCACCCGGCCGATCAACCAACGTTGACACCGAAAGAGGATCATGGGCCGGCATCATTCCCTTTAGTTTCCCGTGCAGGAGTCGAAGGAGTTCGTTGAGTTCAAGCGGGAGATCAAGTCGAGGACTGGGAAATGCACGCCGCTTTAATGTCTAGGTCCCCCAGTAGTGCAAGCTTTACCCTTTTTTGGGGGAGGGTTCCCCGACTAAATAGACTACAGAAACTAGAGGACGATTGGCCCGAAAATATTTTTCCACAGGTGCTCATCCAGCCGCGGAGACACCTTTTTACATCGCTGCGCCCAGCGTGTCTGCGCGCGGCGATGCTCAGTGTGTATGGTCACATGAGAGCTCCATCTCATCATCCTACTTTCCTCTCGAACTGCGCCGCGCGATTTCTCACGAAAGTGGTCTGCGCAAGCTGCATTGTTCCAGGCTGCTGCGCGCAAGTTGCTCTCTGCAAGCTGCTGCGCGCAAGTGCTCTGTGCAAGTTGCTCTGCGCAAGTGCTCTGAGCAAGTTGCTCTGCGCAAGTGCTCTGCGCCAGTTGCTCCGCGCAAGCGCTTTGCGCATGTGCTCTGCGCAAGTTGGTCTGTGCAAGTTGCTCTGCGCCTGCTCTGTGCAAGTTGCTCTGCGCAAGTGCTCTGAGCAAGTTGCTCTGCGCAAGGGCTCTGCGCCAGTTGCTCCGTGCAAGCGCTTTGCGCATGTGCTCTGTGCAAGTTGGTCTGTGCAAGTTGCTCTGCGAAAGTGCTTTGTGCAATTGCTCTGTGCAAGTTGCTCTGCGCAAATTGCTCTGCGCAAGTGACTCTGCGCAAGTTGCTCTGCGCAAGTGCTGCCGGAGCTGCGGGGGTGTGCTCCGCGTACTACGTTTGTACTTAAAAGCTGCGATTCTCCAGCCGGAGCTGCGGAGGTGTGCTCCGCGTACTACGTTTGTACTTAAAAGTTGCGATTTTCCAGCCTGAGCTGCGGGAGCACGCTCCGCATACTACGTCTGTACTTAAAAATTGTGAGTTTCCACCCGGAGCTGCAGGAGCACGCTCCGCGTACTACGTTTGTACTTGAAAGTTGCGATTTTCAAGCCGGAGCTGCGGGGGTGTGCTCCGCGTACTACGTTTGTACTTAAAAGTTGCGATTTTCCAGCCTGAGCTGCGGGAGCACGCTCCGCACATTACGTCTGTACTTAAAAGTTACGATTTTCCAGCCGGAGCTGCAGGAGCACGCTCCGCGTACTACGTTTGTACTTCAAAGCTCTGATTTTCAAGCCGGAGCTGCCGCGGACCAGGGGGGAATCGAACCCGCGACCGCGGGATTGCGAAAGCAGGCACGCAAACCACGAGACAACTTCCAAAGGCCGTTTCGCGAGCAAGAATATTGCACGGCGCCACAGCGAGAGCGCTTCGACACGCACAATCTCCGCAGAGGGTTCGCCGAGACTAAGACAAATTCGCACGGCGCCACAGCGAGAGCACGATCTCCGCAGAGGGTCGCGCGCGGCCAGCAGAAATCGTAAAAAAGTCCACAGTTTTTGAACCTCGACCACGCGAATCTCCGCAGAGGGTCGCGCGCGCATGCTAAAAATCGTAAAAAGTCCGCAGTTTTTGAACCTCGACCACGCGAATCTCCTCAGAGGGTCGCGCGCGCATGCTAGAAATCGTAAAAAGTCCACAGTTTTTGAGCCTCGACCACGCGAATCTCCGCAGAGGGTCGCGCGCGGCCAGCAGAAATCGTAAAAAGTCCACAGTTTTTGAACCTCGACCACGCGAATCTCCGCAGAGGGTCGCGCGCGCATGCTAAAAATCGTAAAAAGTCCGCAGTTTTTGAACCTCGACCACGCGAATCTCCGCAGAGGGTCGCAATCCCGAGCGACGATCAAACTCCCGCCCCGGCGCCTTAGAAACCTAAACTAACTTACATAGCTGCTAATCGCCGAAGCTCTAAGCTCTACCTAACCTTGGCTCTATGTAACTTGGCTCTATGTAACTTGGCTCTATGTAACTTGGCTCTATGTAACTTGGCTCTATGTAACTTGGCTCTATGTAACTTGTCCAAGGGCTCCGCACGGAAGAACCCTTCGCGATGCTTTCGGGAATAGCAACCGGCTCCTGCCCGAGTCAGACACAATGCTATGGCGTCTTCGTGCTCCAGCAATGAAGCGTATGTTTCTGCAAAGCAGGCTCGTGTAACTTAGCTCTGCGCAAGATGGCTCTGCGCAACTTGGCGCGCTGCTACCTGGCGCGCGCAAGCTACTCTACGCGAGTGGCTCTGCGCAACTTGGCTCTATAAAGCGTGGCTCTGCGCGAGTCTGCTCAGCGCAATGCGCTTTGCTCAAGTTGCGCTGCATGATTTCTCACGAAAGTGGTCTGCGCAAGCTGCATTGTTCCAGGCTGCTTTCGGGCAAGTTGCTCTCTGCACGCTGCTGCACGCAAGTGCTCTGTGCAGGTTGCTCTGCGCAAGTGCTCTGAGCAAGTTGGTCCGCGCAAGTGCTCTGCGCCAGTTGCTCCACGCGAGCGCTTTGCGCATGTGCTCTGTGCAAGTTGGTCTGTGCAAGTTGCTCTGCGCAAGTGCTGTGTGCAAGTGCTCTGTGCAATTCGCAGAGCGCAAGTTGCTCTGTGCAAGTGACTCTGCGCAAGTTGCTCTGTGCAAGTGCTGCCGGAGCTGTGGGAATGTACTTCGCGTACTATTTTTGTACTTAAAAGTTGCAGCCGGAGCTGCGGGAATGTGCTCCGCGTACTACGTTGTACTGAAAAATTGCGATTTTCCAACCGGAGCTGCAGGAGCACGCTCCGCGTACTACGTTTGTACTTAAAAGTTGCGATTTTCAAGCCGGAGCTGCGGGGGTGTGCTCCGCGTACTACGTTTGCACTTAAAAGTTGCGATTTTCCAGCCTGAGCCACGGGAGCATGCTCCGCGCACTACGTCTGTACTTAAAAGTTACGATTTTCAAGCCGGAGCTGCCGCGGACCAGGGGGGAATCGAACCCGCGACCGCGGGATTGCGAAAGCAGGCGCGCAAACCACGAGACAACTTCCAAAGGCCGTTTCGCGAGCAAGAATATTGCACGGCGCCACAGCGAGAGCGCTTCGACACGCACAATCTCCGCAGAGGGTTCGCCGAGACTAAGACAAATTCGCACGGCGCCACAGCGAGAGCGCTTCGACGCGCACGATCTCCGCAGAGGGTCGCGCGCGGCCAGCAGAAATCGTAAAAAGTCCTCAGTTTTTGAACCTCGACCACGCGAATCTCCGCAGAGGGTCGCGCGCGCATGCTAAAAATCGTAAAAAGTCCGCAGTTTTTGAACCTCGACCACGCGAATCTCCGCAGAGGGTCGCGCGCGCACCGCAGAAATCGTAAAAAGTCCACAGTTTTTGAACCTCGACCACGCGAATCTCCGCAGAGGGCCGCGCGCGGCCAGCAGAAATCGTAAAAAGTCCACAGTTTTTGAACCTCGACCACGCGAATCTCCGCAGAGGGTCGCGCGCGCACCGCAGAAATCATAAAAAAGCCCACAGTTTTTGAACCTCGACCACGCGAATCTCCGCGGAGGGTCGCGCGCGCATGCTAAAAATCGTAAAAAGTCCGCAGTTCTTGCACCTCGACCACGCGAATCTCCGCAGAGGGTCGCAATCCCGAGCGACGATCAAACTCCCGCCCCGGCGCCTTAGAAACCTATATGTAACTTGGCTCTATGTAACTTGGCTCTATGTAACTTGGCTCTATGTAACTTGGCTCTATGTAACTTGGCTCTATGTAACTTGGCTCTATGTAACTTGGCTCTATGTAACTTGGCTCTATGTAACTTGGCTCTATGTAACTTGGCCCTATGTAACTTGTCCAAGGGCTCCGCACGGAAGAACCCTTCGCGATGCTTTCGGGAAAAAGGGTGCCCTTATTCTAACCTCTCAAATCTGGAGGACCTGGATGTGGAGTGCCATTCCCGCAGAAGTTGTTTTCACATGGTCTAATGTTCTTGCTGGTTCGATGAACAGGGAATGGGTTGGAATGGCCCCGATCTAAACCATCCGCCATGGTTTTCTTCTCAAGGAATCCCCAGGTTCATTCGAAACACCCTGGCGGAGTCCTTCCCTACTGAGCACGCAAGTGTTTCTTTCACTTCACCAGAGTTACGGCAATCACGCGTGAGCGCAGATTCGCAAATCACAACATCACCTTCAGCGGCTACCTGACTTCAATGAAGCCAACCTTTTCAAGATACTACAGGCCGAACTGTAGTTGCCTCCACCCAAGCATTCTTTTCTGAGGAGCAAAGAAGAGGATTTGAATTACCATCAAGAGGCCGGGAAAACCTCGCACAGACGTCGCAAGATGCTGTCTATCTCGACTGCCGCACACTGCAAGGCTGAAGAATTTTCTGGAGTTGTCACAATGCTTATTTCATTGCCGGACTTGGCTTACGTTTCTCAAGTTTTTACTTTTTTGAGTTTCCTTCATTTTCCTTTCAACCAGCAAAAGGTGTCATTTTCTGGAGGGAGTCTAAGTCTGGTCAAGATGTCATTTGATCGAGGCTGTATGGATCGAAAGCCCCACATACCTTTGGGCTTGGCAATTTGGAATGGGGTGAACATCTCCTTGGGCTTCTGCTTCCGGAGGTTCAAACTCGCGGTCCAGCGCAGATCCGTGTTGCATCCGTTGCGTTCCGAACCGTCCAATTCTGTCCGCAAGTTGCAGTCAGCCGCTCGGCCCCAGACTCAAGTGTATACTCAGGCAGCTGTTTGGAAGTCGCCTTGTCCTGCAAAAATCAAAGGGCAAAGCCCGGTTTGGAGTGCTTCAACCGATTCCTTGGGTTGCAAGTCCCAAGGGTGGCTAGGGCAACCTGCACCCCATTCGATGCCAGGTCTATGAGGACCACAAGAAGGAGTCTTCCTGGAATGTGGAGAAGGCTCAAGAGATCTTCAAGCAGGAGCAGGCCCGGAGACTGCGTTGGGAAAGACCTGGTTATCCAAAAAAAAATGGTGGCCGCTTCATTGGAACCCACCATTGGATTGCCACCTTTGAAGGGCAAATCCCCAAGAGAATACACCAGAGATGAAGGAATCCGTCCATCCGGATTTGTCCCAAGCGCCTGGGACGCGCGTGAACCAAAGAAATGAAACTTCCGCGGTTTCCGCCGAGCCGAGTCTCGCCTTATCCGCCAGGCCTTGGTGCGCGAGAAGGTGGAGAACGTCGTGCACCTCCGGGAGGCCGCCCGGCTCGGCGTCCCGCGCCAAAATTTCGCGCGGGTCTCGGGCAGGAGAAGCGCCAGCAGGTGGAGCAGCAGAAGGCAGAAGGTACGCAGGACCTCAGGGGGCGCTGGCAGATCTCCGCGGTTTTTTGGCGACAATAAGAACATATGGCTGTGGGTCAAAAATAGGTTCCACAAATTTTGGGAACCTGTTTTTGACCCACAGCCATATGTTCATTTTAGATGGAACCCTGGTAAATGGAAACATGGACATTTCAACCTGCAGTCCGATTCCTGGTGGTTTCATTTTGACCCACAACCATATGGGGTATGCCTGGTTTGGAGGCTACTGCAGGTTTGGTGGTTGTAAGGGAAATGAGGGGTCACCTAAAAGCAGACACACCCATATCCAGCAGGTGCCTCGTGCTTCGTGTGTGCTACTCAAAAATGGTCCCATAAACCTATACATATATATATAGCACGTTGTGTGGGTCCGGCAACCCGGTAGCTACCCAAGACGCAACATGACTCAGCGAATCGAAGTCGTTACAGCTTCGTGTGCGTTTGCTTCCCCGATTTGCTCAGCCGCAAATGCTGCCGGACTTTTGGCTGTGTCGAAAGCCATGATTTTTGTCCGACACCCCCAGAGCCGGGGTCATGATGTTGACCATTTCTTGGGTTAAAGATGGTTAAAGTCAGCAACAGGTGGGTGGTTTCCCTTTCACCTGCTTGGGGGCTTGACTTTTGGTGTCCAAGTCCCAGAGAGACTGGGCAAATCGTCCAGAATCTTGAAGCGGGCAACAGCTTCCTCCCCAGAAAACCAGTCAACCCCAGCAGCAAGAATTCTCCCTAGAAAGTAAGGGTTTTCCCTGTAAAACCTACTGGGTTTTCCCTGTAACCTATGTGGGCGACTTTTGGTGGCACAAATTGGGCCAGTAGCGTGAAACCGGTCAAATGTCTCTCAGAATCTCGAACCAGATCAATGTCCTCTCCAGGAAACCAGTCAAACCCAGAAAAAGAAGAAACAACTAAGTAAAGTGACCGGATCAGTTTCCTCCCCAGCAAACCAGTCAAACCCCCCAAAAAAAAAACATCCCCCGAAGTAAAGTGGCCGGCTTTTGTTGCTCCCCAGGAACCAGTCAAACCCCGAAAGAAAAATACAAGAAAAAACAAAGTAAACATTTCCTCCGTCAAACCCAGAAAAAAATATTCAAAAAAGAATCCCCGTATAAGCAACGCGGCCGTTTTTTTTTTTTTTTTCTCCGCTCCAGGAGAGGGAGCTACAAGAGCATCTGGAGGTGGCGCATTTGGCGAAGCAGCTGGCCGCCGAGAAGGACCGGCGATCGGCGGCCTGTTTTTTTCGGAATCAGGTCCAGGGTCCAGGGTGGGATCACTCGGGGCATTTGGCCCCGACCACTTCTGTGATTTACAAAAATAATCCTGTCTATGAAGAAATCCGTCTTAAGCACTTTCCGTTGTATCACAGAAGTGGATTCCCCAGACTTCCGGTCCAAATCGGCAAATGGCTGTGGCTCAGCAAATGGAATCCCCAAAATGGCACCTTGGCAAATGGAGAAGACGAAAACCTGCGGCTTGCCCTAGCGCTTTGATTTTGAGCCACACCAAGATCTGTGGGGGTGACCAATGACTCAGCACAAGAATTGAAGTGCGCAGACCTGTTTCGAAGCCTACGCCTCCCTCTAAGTCAATTTGGTTTACACATATTGTTTGAGCTACAAAGCATGTTGGAACCAAGTTGTAGTCCCCGATTCGCAGATGTTGCTGGGCGGTATGCGGTTGGGACATGAGCAACAAGCGCAATCTGTTTGGCTGTCCTCTCGAACTATGGGGTGTCAGACGCTCTAGACTGCACATTGTGTGGTACTTGTAGCCGCAAGCCTAGGGGTTCAACGCTTCTGGACCCGAGGGAAACGTGTGGCGCCTCTGGGACGTTGGAACAAGTGCAAAACCAACAGAGAGAGACACAGGCTGGCTGCCCTGACGGCCTTGCTCGGAAACATCAGTCAGCAACAGGAATGCAAGGGTTCGTACAATGTATCTTACTTGAGTTGGTCTACCCGCGGCATTTTCGCGAGGGATGTTCCCCTTTGTTCAGAGAGTGGATGTGCCCCAGTCTCTATCCACAAAGTGCTGCATACCGCTATTTGATTCGATTTTGGTGAACTTGGCACACCAGCCCATATTCGCTGCAGCTTGAAGCCGGCCAGTACATGTGTTTGGGCAAAATGATGACGTAAGGGTGGCGCCAAATTTCACCATGTGTTTTGAAGCTTCCATTTGATGCAGAGAAGATGTAAGTAGCTTGTATGAATGCTGCATCGACCTTTTCGAGCGGTAGGCGAAATCTTCGCAGGAGCGGCTTCTGGCGAACTTGCAGTTCAGCCGCGCCTGTCTGCAGGCGCCCTTGAGGTGGGCCCCTCAGACGAGTTCGCTCGCTCGACCGCTTTGCTTCGCCTTGGCGCGAGCGCTTGCCCTCGAGCCGAGCTCAGGAGGAGGTAGTCCACTGCGCGTGGAGTCCGTCAATGTTTACAGGCGAGAACACCCCATCCGCGCGGACAGGGTTCGCTCGAAGACGGCGAAGCCTCATGCCAGTGCGGCTTCATGGCCGTTCATGCACAGCTGACTGGACTTGCATTGAATGCCGAAGTATACAAAGTGTCAAGTTTGGATATGAGTTTGCATCCTTTGGCTCACATTCAGATTTGTATGGTATGTCCTTTGAAACCATTTCACAGGGCTTTAGAGGGCTGCAAGTGCTTCAGACTCACTCCTTTGGGTTTGGGCGGAGTTGCCAGGCTCAGCCTTGCACGTGCCGCGCGCCTTGACCTGGGCCGGAGCATGTGGACGCCAAAGCGTGTGAAAAAAAGAAGACGAATCGATCAGGGACTGGTCTCACCCATCTTGGTTCCAAAGGCTCTCTTCCTTTTGGGGCAACCCCCTGAATACCCCTGAAAGAAAGAAAGAAAGAAAGAAAGAAAGAAAGAGAGAGACAGGGAGACAGGGAGAGAGAAAGAGAGAGTGTGAGAGAGAGAGAACCCCAGGCCGGAAAGGACTCTTGGCTCGAAGGTGTTGCTCATGAGCAAAAGGGAGGGACACTCAGCATGAGCCGATCCAAGCAATCCACTTGGTCCGGAAGCCAAGGCCCTGCAACAGCAAACATGTCCACATCCGCATTGCGTCCGGCCATGGCCTATTGCTAGGTCGGCACGAGAGTGAGGTCTAGGAGTTAAACAAGTAATGGGTTGAACAAGAAGGGATGGCCATCAAACACCTGGAAAAGAACCAAAGTGCGTGAAGCTCACTTCCAGCAAATCCAAAGGCTTTGGAGGTCATCGTTTTGTGCGCCATGTCCGACGTTTGTCGGCACTTCCTCGAGGGCAAGTGCAACTACGGCAAGCAACCCAGATGGCAAGCACCTAGCCCAGGTCCACCTTTCCCGGGGAAAGGGACTTTTGTCACCGTTCGTATCTCTTGAATTCATGTCCTGTGACGTCTTGGTAAACACACCCTTTGTTTTGTAGACACGCTTATGTGAGCGAAGGATTTGCCTTCTGGGATTTCCCCTACAGATTCAACCAGTCCGACGTTGAATGCTTCTCCGTTTGATCTCTTCATACCTCCGCAAGGTGACGCCTGCAACTTCAAGCATCCAGTGGCAGACGACAGGCCAAATGGTCATGGCATGACTGGCAAAGCGTTTCGGCCAAGATGTGACAAAAGCGAGTTACTGCTAAAAAAAGCAAACACATCTCGGAAGAAGAAGACTTCAGGCCGGTGTGCCGCCATTTCCTGGAGGGCAGGTGTACCTATGGCGACCTGTGCCGGTTTCAGCACGCAGGCGGGCGCAGCGCGGGGCTGAGATTGGAAGTTGGCGCGGCTGAGATGTGCTGAGGGCCCGCGGAGCCGCGGCCACTGTTGGCGCAGAGGCAAGGACGAGATGCGTTTGGCTTGTCCGAGGAGAAGTTTTCGCCGGCAGGGGGTGTCTGGTGTCGAAGATGGTGGAGAACATGCAATGCAAATCTCAAAAGACGCAGTGCCCAATCAGCTCCCCAAGAATCCATCCCCCAGAACCCCTGGCCCTATGCCCAGTCAAGCAACCTGTGTTGTGTGGAGAACTTGATCACATCCCTTTTGGTGCCAAGCTTTCTTTCGGAGGCCTTCTATGAGCAGCTCATGCCCAGGCCGGTGGGGGAAATAGGTCCCTGCCTGATTGCATCCCCTTTCTTGTCACCCACTCGAAAACAGAAGTGGGCGTGTCTTTTTTAGGGGGCCTCCCCCCAAACCAAAATATGGTTTTCCTTGGGTTTCTCCTTAAGACCGCAAAAACTGGTACTGTGCCCTCATCGACACCCAAATGGTGACCCTTCTTTCCCTGGGATGATACCGGACGCGTCTCTTTCCAGGGCCATCGAGAAGTGCTACCGAGGATAGACGCGGGAGATCCCAGAGAACCGAGAGAACTTAGCACGAGCTTCATGCTCACTCCACCGATTTGTCCATTTGTGCAAAAAGCTGGGTGTGGCTCAAAATTAAAGGGCCAGGATTAGGCAAGTGTTAGCCTTTGTTTACCAAGGTGCCATTTTGGTACATCTTTTTGAGCAGCCAGGTGTCCTGGAAAACTGGAGATTGGAACCTACGGCTCCTTTCTGGAGAAATCTCGGAGATATTGGGATTCTTTGGCCCGGTTCCGTGTCGCGGCTACGTGGAGAGGCCAGTTTGCCGGCACTTCCTCGAGTGAAGATGTACCTACGGGGACAGCTGCGGATTGAAGCACACCGGAGGCTATGGGCGTACACATGCAGAGTTCTCTACATGTTTCTCTTGATGGCTTTAAGCATCGCCTTGGCCACAATCAAAACCGCGTTGAAGGTTAGGGACAGTCCCAGCCGCCTTGTATTTTGTTTCATGGGCCTTTTACATGGATTTGGGTAGACCTGAAGACCGGATTTGATTGTGACTCACTTTGACCAGTGAAAAGAAAGTGAGTTCTGGACACGCGGAGGTCAGATCCGAGCGGCGCTCATGTCCTTGGCAGCTGCACAGCCCGCGATGATGGACAGGCCGGGAGTTTCACCCATCGGGTCGCTTCATTCGGGCCTCGGAGTTGCGAAAAATCGGTTGGCGCAGCACTTCATGCGCTGTGCGTGGGCACTTCTGGCCGGCGATCTTCAGAGACAGCTGAAAGAAGAGTTGCACAGAATTTGAGCACGGGGGTAGCAAGGTGCTGTGCATGTCTTACAGGGTTGAGTGAACTATTTGGTCTCGGCTCGCATGTGCGCAGTCCAATCTGCCGGCACTTCCTAGAGGGCAAGTGCACTTACGGCGATGCCTGTCGCTTTCCTCACGCGAGCCTCCCTGGCTCGCTTGCTTTGGCGCGCGTGTTTTCGCCATGTTGTTTGCCGATAATGTGAGCAAGCAAGCTGAGCTTGACGGTATTGTGAGAAGTTTGCGCTAGCCTCGATGTATGTTGTCTAATTTTCAGCAATTTTAGTGTGGGAGCTTTGCCTAATTACGCACAGTTCTCTCGGAGCTGACACTTTGGGGTTGCACCAGCCAAGGTTTCCGTTCCACAGAAGGCAAGAGCAATGCGTTTTGTCATACCCTGACCGGCGATGCGTTATCAAATGCAGCCAGACGGTCTGGAAAGATCAACAGCATCGCCAGCTCGTGCCGTGCAGCCCGCGATGGACAACAGGCCGGCTGTGCTAAAGTGGTGTTTGTTGTTTCTAAGGCCAAATGGGTTGCTTGGCTTCAGCACTAAATGGCTCTAGCCTGCAAAATTGGCTGCGCATGGTTTTATTGTGGTCGGCAATCTTGAGAAGCGGCTGGAAAAGAGGTTGAGGATTTTTTGAGCACGAGGGTACCAAGGTCATGTCTCACAGAGTGGAGTGAGCTATTTAGTCACAGCTTGCATGTGCACAGTCCAATCTGCCGGCACTTCCTAGAGGGCAAGTGCACTTACGGCGATGCCTGTCGCTTTCCTCACGCGGGCCTCCCTGGCTCGCTTGCTTTGGCGCGCGTGTTTTTGCCATGTTGTTTGCCAATAATGTGAGCAAGCAAGCTGAGCTTGATGGTATTGTGAGAAGTTTGCGCTAGCCTCGATGTATGTTGTCTAATTTTCAGCAATTTTAGTGCGGGAGCTTTGCCTAATTACGCACAGTTCTCTCGGAGCTGACACTTTGGGGTTGCACCAGCCAAGGTTTCCGTTCCACAGAAGGCAAGAGCAATGCGTTTTGTCATACCCTGACCGGCGATGCGTTATCAAATGCAGCCAGACGGTCTGGAAAGATCGACAGCATCGCCAGCTCGTGCCGTGCAGCCCGCGATGGACAACAGGCCGGCTGTGCTAAAGTGGTGTTTGTTGTTTCTAAGGCCAAATGGGTTGCTTGGCTTCAGCACTAAATGGCTCTAGCCTGCAAAATTGGCTGCGCATGGTTTTTTTGTGGTCGGCAATGTTGAGAGACTGTTGGAAAAGACGCGGAGGCATTTTTGTTTATGGTGCACTGCGTGTCTCACAGGGTTGAGTGAGCTATTTGGTCTCGGCTCGCATGTGCACAGTCCAATCTGCCGGCACTTCCTAGAGGGCAAGTGCACTTACGGCGATGCCTGTCGCTTTCCTCACGCGGGTCTCCCTGGCTCGCTTGCTTTGGCGTGCGTGTGTTTGCCATGTTGTTTGCCAATGTGAGCAAGCAAGCTGAGCTTGACGGTATTGTGACCAGCTTGCGCTAGCCTCGATGTATTTGCTTTATTTTTAGTCTGGGAGCTCTGGGTACGCACAGTTCTCCTTTCCACAGAAAGCAACGGCCATGTGCTTTGTCATACCCAGACCGGCGTTGTAGAGATGCATCAGGCGCGACAACATTGCCAGCTCCTGCCGTGCAGCCCGCGATGGACAACAGGCCGGCTGCGCTAAAGTTGTTGCTTTTTTTGTCCAACGATTTACTGGGTTGCTGGGCTTCAGCAGTAAATGGCTCTCACCTCAAGTTGGCTGCGCATGGGTACTTGTGGTTGGCAATCTTGAGAGACGGCTGGGAAAGGAAAGAGGTGGAGGCATTTTTGTGCACGGTGCTGACAAGGTGCAGTGCATGTCCCACAGGGTTGAGGGAACTTTCTGGTCTCGGCTCGCATGTGCACAGTCCAATCTGCCGGCACTTCCTAGAGGGCAAGTGCACTTACGGCGATGCCTGTCGCTTTCCTCACGCGAGCCTTCCTGGCTCGCTTGCTTTGGCGTGCGTGTTGTTGCCACGTTGTTTGCCAATGTGAGCAAGCAAGCTGAGCTTGACTTGTGAGAAGCTTGCGCTAGCCGCGATGTATGTTCTTTGATGTTCAGCGATTCTAGTCCGGGAGCTTTAGGTGCGCACAGTTCTCCCGGAGTTGGCACTTCAGCATTGCGCTGGCTAAGGTTTCCTTTCGACAGAAGCAAGGGCCATGCATTTGGTCATACCCAAAACGGTGACAGTGATATGTTATCAAATGCAACCAGACGGTCTGTCAAGATGCATCATGCGCTTAACTCGACAGCATTGCCAGCTCCTGCCGCACAGCCCGCGATGGACAACAGGCTGGCTGCGCTAAGGTGGTTTCTTTCTAACTGGGTTGCTTGGCCTGCAAAATTGGCTGCGTATGGGCACTTCTGGCCGGCAATCTTCTGACAAGGCTGCAAAAGAGATGGAGAGAGGTTGAGCGCGGGGGGGTACCAAGTTGCAGTGCAAGTCTCACAGACTTGAGTGAGCTATTTGGTCATGGCTCGCATGTGCACAGTCCAATCTGCCGGCACTTCCTAGAGGGCAAGTGCACTTACGGCGATGCCTGTCGCTTTCCTCACGCGGGTCTCCCTGGCTCGCTTGCTTTGGCGTGCGTGTTTTTGCCATGTTGTTTGCCAGTGTGAGCAAGCAAGCTGAGCTCGAATGTATTGTGACCAGATTGCGCTAGCCTCGATGTATGTTGGTTGATTTTTGTTTTTACTTTGGGAGCTTCGGGTACGCACAGCTCTACTGGAGCTGAAAAGGTGTCCTTTCCACAGAAAGCACGGGCCATGTGTTTTGTCATACACAAACCGGCGATGTGTTATCAAATGCAGCCAGCTGGTTGTAGAGATGCATCAGGCGCGACAACATTGCCAGCTCCTGCCGTGCAGCCCGTGATGGAGAACAGGCTGGCTGCGCTAAAGTGATTTCTTTCTAACTGGGTTGCTTGGGATGGGCACTTCTGGCCGGCGATCTTGAGAAGCGGCTGGAAAAGAGGTTGAGGATCTTTTGAGCACGAGGGTACCAAGGTCATGTCTCACAGAGTGGAGTGAGCTATTTAGTCACGGCTTGCATGTGCACAGTCCAATCTGCCGGCACTTCCTAGAGGGCAAGTGCACTTACGGCGCTGCCTGTCGCTTTCCTCACCCGGGCCTCCCTGGCTCGCTTGCTTTGGCGTGCGTGTTTTTGCCATGTTGTTTGCCAGTGTGAGCAAGCAAGCTGAGCTCGAAAGGTATGCTGAGAAGCTTGCTCTAGCCTCCATGCATGTTCTTTGATGTTCAGCGGTTTTAGTTTGGCAGCTTTAGTCTACGCACGGTTCTCCCGCACCAGCCAAAGTTTCTCTTGCCACAGAAGGCAAGAGCCGTGCGTACCCAGACCGGCGATGTGTTATCAAATGCAGATGCAGCCAGCTGGTCGTAGAGATACATCATGCGCTCAACTCGACAGCATTGCCAGCTTCTGCCGTGCAGCCCGCGATGGACAACAGGCCGGCTGCGATAAAGTTGTTGGATTGTTTCCAAAGATCAACTGGGTTGCTTGGCTTCAGCAGTAAATGGCTCTAACCTCAAGTTGGCTGCGCATGGGTACTTGTGGTCGGCAATTTTGAGAGACGGCTGGGAAAGAGGTGGAGGCATTTTTGGGCACGGGGCTGACAAGGTGCAGTGCATGTCCCACAGGGTTGAGTGAACTATTTGGTCTCGGCTCACATGTGCACAGTCCAATCTGCCGGCACTTCCTAGAGGGCAAGTGCACGTACGGCGATGCCTGTCGCTTTCCTCACGCGGGTCTCCCTGGCTCGCTTGCTCGGGCATTCTTTCTGGAACGGTAGCGCTCTTGCAAGGCACACACCGATTATGATCTGAGAGCCCGATCTCTTTTCTGACACAACGCTTTCATCGTTTGCCACGAATTTGAGAGGAGCGCATCTTTGAGAAGAGTCCTAGTCCGCGCGAAGCGCGCGAGCCGCGCGCATGTCCGTATAACCGCTTCCAGCATCTCAGCCGGATGCGAAGCACACGTAGCTGCAGAGTTTACTCTGGCAAAGCTTCAGAACCATTGGGCCCCATTCTTCAGTCAAATGAGGGTATGTGTGGTCTCACTGCGTGCTACCTTGGCGCTTCAACCCCATGGTTTTGGGAGCTGCAAAGTGAAATTAGGTGAAGGATTGAAGGACTGAAGGATTGAAGAATGCTTTGCCGAGACATTGTTTGTTAGGATCCAGGCAAGCATGAGATTGGCTTTGCTCTGATTCGCGCCTTCGTTACTCGTTTTTTTGTGCAACATTTCAAAAGACGTTGTTTGGGCCTCGGACTCTTAGCAGAAAGCAAGAGCATGCGCATCTTCGCGCAACAGGTCTCGGAATGGAATTCCCTGTCCTCTTCTAGAAGCTAAAGATAAAGATGAAGCTGTAATCTAAGAGCAAAGATCTCGGGCAGGCCGCAAATCGATCGACTCGGGGTCTTATTTGCGTGCGCATGGTTTCCTTGCTTCCATTTTTTGTGAAAAACACGGGCGACTGGCTGAGCGGTAGACTTGGCAATTTGTGCTCACTGGACTTCATTCCCTTTGACACCGCCATGTTTTCTTTCCACCTTACCGAGCTTCCTCGAGTGATGCCGAGAGTATGAAGCAACACCAAGGGCCGCGCTCCTGGCCATGGCAATAGTCCACATAGCGCCGCAACTGGGACTACACCCAGCGGCCACACAGCGTAACACGCTACCGCTAGCTAAATGCAAAGGAGGAACGGCCAGCAGCAGAACCGAAACAACTCCGAATTCGTATAACAACCCCGCGCTATTGCATTTCAACCGGATTCCATGTAGAACAATAAGGAGTGAAAACCCCAGCAACTTTCAAGGCAAGCTGGCTAAGCAATACCATGCGACAAGTGGCGCAACAAAACGGATAGTAAAGACAATAACTTTGGATCCGGCGACCTGGATTCGTGGACTACTCGTGCTGAAACGTGATGCTCGAACTGGATTTGTCAAAGCGTGTTTTGCATAGTTTACTTGTACTGAACAGTTGCGGCAGTTGTGGCGTTCCAACTTGAGCTACCAAAGTGTACTTGAAATGCCGAAAAGGCACGATGTTTGAGCTCGAGCTGCCAAAGTTTACGGTACTTCACAAAGTGACAAATTGCAAATTTCTGAGCTGCTAAAGTATTATTTGAGCAGTACGTAGTACTCAATTGTTTCCAGTTTCCTGTTTGAGCTTCAAAAAAGTGCTTCAAGAACTAATTACGCGTGTATTGATGTTCGAGTTGTAAAAGCGTTTCTCGCATACTAAGCGCGCACTGCGAAGTTGCAACGCTCGAGCTTGAGCTGGCAAAATGTAGTTTGGATTCTGCGCGAACCTAGCTTGCGAAGCACTGCAAAGCGACAAGCAGTTAAACACATCAAACGCCCCAAGGAAGAATGGCGGGATTATCATACAGCCGGTTGAACCCAACACCTATGGTACAAACAAAAACACGCTGGTTAATGTAAATTGGACTTTCAACAGCTCAGAATGCTTGCTGCAAACACGCCAACCCGAACAGTTCAACTCTCACAACAAACTGCAAGCTAGCCAGCAGGTTAACATAAGTTCCGAAACCCATGGCGTGCCAACTCTGCATCGGAGTCTTCTTTCGCTAAGGGCTGGTTATGGAAAGGACAAGGAACCATTTGAGTGCCCGAACTTACTTGAGAATTTCCAGCGCTTGTGGCGGTCTTTTTGATGTGGCCATTTGTGTTGTGGCGGAAGGGTCACGCTTTCTGTGCTAGGCGCGGTGGCCGGAATCCCAGCGCTCTTTTGCGCGCAGAGCACAAATTTCGGCATTCTGTAAGGATGCACTTTCTGAGTATCTTGCGATATGGGCGTCGTTTTTGTGGGCCCCCCTGTTTGGTTGGTTTTAAATGAAATCAAAGGAAAACCACTTTTGTTTTTAGGGGTGCAACTTTTAAGACACCCATCCTCTCAGTAAAGCTGAATGATCTGGAAGATCACGCCGGGTCGTAAGGCGAGCTACGGGCCGGTGAGGCGCGCTCTGAGACTCTGGGTGTGCGCTAGAGACCATGGCGAGCGCCAGGATGCAGCGAATTCCGCGCAGCTCTCCGATGGTCCGCCCGAGCTTTGTTTGGAGATGGGAATGGCCCGTCAAGTAAAAGAGCCGACATTTTGCGTGTTTCCTTTGCAGAAATCCTGACCAGGCGAAAAAAGAACCGGAATTATTTTGTTTGGTTTGAATGAACGTTCACGCACAGCCTGCATTTGGCAAGTTTGTGGAATGTGAGTGCTGCAAGTCAAGTTTGGGTGGTCAATGGTAGTCGGCAGGTTTGACAAATGTGCCACTTAATGTTTATTTCCGCCAGGACAACGGAAGGTCAGGAGCTATGAGGGTCAGAGAGACTTCATTGAGTCGTGTAATGTTCCAAACGTGCGCGTGCCTTTGCCAAGTTTCTGCTTTGTTGCTGCTCCTTGCCCTCCTCCTGATTGAGTATAGTGTGTGTGTGTGTGTGTGTGTGTGTGCTTGCGTGCGTGCGTGCGTGGGTGGGTGAGTGGGCGTGCGCCTGCGCCGGCGATACCGACCGTGCACCTGCGCCTGTGGCGCGTGCACCGGCGCGCGCAGTCAGCGTGTCCGCGTATGCGCGTGCGCAAGTGCGCTTGCATGCGCTCGGTTCTGCGTCGGTTGGTTTGTTTGCGTGCGTGCGTTTGCGGGTGCGTGTGCGTGACGTTTGTGTTTGTGTGTCTGTGTGTCTGTGTGTCTTTGTGTGTGTGTGTGTTTGTGTTTGGTTTTGATTGTGTTTGTGTTTGTGTTTGTGTGTGTGTGTTTGTGTGTATGCGTGTATTTGTTGTTTGTGTTTTCTTGTTTGTTTGTGTTTTCTCGGACCGAAGGGCCAGTTACTGAGTTTGTGTGCCGTTCTTCAACAGGTTTGGGCACGACGGTTCTGAGTTTTTAGGATTTTTTAGGTTTATTTTGGGTTTTTTGACGAGGAGGGTGCGGCACCTAACTCAAGTAAGCCAAGGATCCGACACGAACCTCTCCTCATCAAGGAGACTGCAAGCACATGCGCCACACATGAACGAAAAAACTGCTCAACGGCAAAAGGGCAGCCATATTGTGAATCATGGACACTCCGGCCCTGCGAATAAGGGAAGAATCACCATGGGCCGTAAGTCATACAGTCAAGTCGTTCTCGATCATGGCGCATACGTTGAGGAGCAGCCAGGGCGAGGCCGGTCAGACGGAACGGGGTGATTTCGCGAGCTGGTGCTTCAAAGCCTTGGGTGGAAGAAGAGGCAGTCCGCACCATAAATAGGCGTGTCTGTTGAGTCTGTTGTTGTGCGTCTTCACATGGTTGTCGGACTGCCTCATGTTGTTCAGATTAATGCGTGTTGAGCGCAAGACGCCGCTGCCCACTACTGCACCCGTGAGGTAGTGGGCTTTCCTCAGTTCTGTGAATTGCCATGATCTGCCTCTGGCAGATGCAAGTGCAAGCTGCTGTGATTTGTGCACGTTCGCAAGGTGACGGAGACTTCATCGCGAGGCGCGGTCTTAGCGAGAGCACAAGGTGCCCTGTTCAGAGTTGCAATGGTGGCCGTTGAGGACGCTGCCAGCAGACCGGCGCTGAGATACCAGATGTGGGATGTGCAGCATTGAGAACGCTCAGATGTGAAATTCTCAGTTGTGTGAGGACACTCCAGAAAAGGTTTGCCGTCACTTCCTGGTTGGCAAGTGCTGGCCCCGGTCGCTTTCAAGTCAGAGCATGGGCTTGCATAGTGCTCACCACGTCCAGGCAAATGTCCTGATCGAACTTGGTTTTTTTGTTGAGGGTGCCCATTCTTGCGGGGTGTCCAACATCACTCTGTGGGGTTCTTACTTTTGACACGTGTCTTCCGTCACGAAAAGCCAGGAAAAGCATGCTAGTCTGGGGAGGAGGAGTCCTGTTTTTGTTTGACGCAGACCCATTTGATTCTACCACAAGGTTAAGTTCACAAGGTTTGGCTTTGTTTCCCAACAACTATGAGTTGGGCGTGACAGCCAACAACAAGTGCCTGAGAGAACTCAGTTTCGAATGCCGCAAGGTGCACCTACGGTGACCTCTGCTCCTTCAGCCATGTCTTTCAGGCGCGAAACGAACAATATACGCTGGCATGCCCATCTTAAAAAGTCGCGGGGCAAAGGAAAGGCGCCATGGATAGTTCTCCCGTCCCCCGTCAAGTCAAGGCGTCAAGTCAAGACGTGATCAAACTTCAGGGTTGCGAGATTTGGGGGACCGAAACATGAGAACCGCCCGGGCTGGTGAGCCTTTTTCGACTGCAACATGCCCATTGCCCGTGGCCAGGAGACGTCCATGGAGGATCTCATGCCAGGCCGGAGCTATTAGTGGTCCAGAGCAAGGTCTCGCCACGTAATGCGATGCAAACAATAAGGCAAGCTAAATTCAGATGGGGAACCAGTGGGATGGAAGGTTTGACCTTGCCAACTACCAATAAAATCTGAGGCTGGCCAAAACGCTTTCCGCAGTGCAGAGAAAGAAAGATGGAGAGCCAGTTGAATCGCCTGCCAGATACGCTTCATGGGGACAGGCTGGCAAGCTAGACCAGGCCCAGCCTTTTGGATTTGTGTGAGCCGAGGCCTGTGTGCCGACACTTCTTGCTGGGCAAGTGCACCTACGGCGAAATTTGCAGATTTGAGCATCCGATGAACACCTGAGCATCAGTAGCGTGAGCGTTTCCCGCAAAGGGAAACGGTGAAAAAGCGCCAAGCGCGTTTTTTTTCTGCAACTTTGACACGGGTTGCGCTTGCCTAACTCAATGTATGCGCCAAGACAGAAAATATTAAAATCATTATATTGATATTATTAGGATTAAAAACAAAAATATATTCTTAATATATTGCCAAATTAAATATTTAATGCGTTTTAGATAATTTTAATTATTTATTTATTTATATTATTGTGATATTTAAGAAAATAAATATATTGAATACATTATATATTTTATTTTGTTTAAGATTAATATATGTGGTTTTTATTTAAAAAAGCCGGTTTAGGAATTATATATAGTATGTGTATAATTTTGTTGTATTTTGTTTTGTTTTTTCGAAATGAAATAGGTTTTTATTTAAATTATATAAATTCATTTGATAATGTTACTTCGGTATTAGATTGGAAAGATTAATTGATATGATATATGGTATAATTTGTGTTGTTTATTTTATTCGTAAAATTTTACAAATTAGACGAACCATTATGTGATTTGATTTTGTAATATATTATTTTTTGAAAAATGCGAAATTATGGGTAATTTTAGTAGGTAATTGCTAAATTGAATATTGGGGTGTGTGTTTTGTTTGTGAAGTTGTTGGCTTGGATAATTTATTCGATAGTAATTAAGAAAAGGTTCGTATTAATATGTTTATTAATTATATTTTTTAGTTAAATATATTATGTTGCCCGAATGATATGGGCCTCTATTAAATGATGATTTATGTTACAAAATTGGAACTTAAGATTGTGATAATTGTCTATTTATATATTTGAAAAAAAAAAAAATATAAATTATATATTGTTAAAAAAAATAATATAAAAACAATATAAATAGGATAATTAACATAATTTTATAAATAACATTACATTTTTTTATTACACAAAAATTAAGGATTTAAAAAACAAATATAATTTAATTTGGATTTAAATTTAAATTAATTAGAAATATAGATTTTAAAAATATATATTGAATATTAATATAAACAAAAAATATAATCCAAATAACATTTTAATTAATATTAATTATAATTTAATAAAGATATAGAAAAACAATAACGAATAATAATACATATTTTGAAAATATATATAATAATATATAAAGACATATACAAACATATAAAAGAATTATATATTTCGCTTTTGGATTAATCCGGCATCTTAGAATACAATTGACAATTTTCATATCGAAATGTTCGAAGACACCAATAACAAAATAGAATCGGGAGATAAAATCTCGCCCATCCATAACCCAACGCTATTTTAGGCACAAAGATTGCATTATCCCGCTTCAAAAATGAGGCCCAAATCAAACACAAAACAAAGGCCAACAATCTCGATCTAAAACATATAAATTCTTTATAGCTCAAAGAATGAAAATTCTACCAACAACAACCTAAGTAAACAATCGATGGGAGCCGTAAATCCTTCAATCTTCTAGGCGTTTTTTTCCGCGGTTGGCCCTGGACATAGCGGTTGTGGTTCCTTTCTAATCTTATATTTTGGAAGCGACGATATAGGAATCATTTGCACCTAGAATTAATTAATGTCCTTGGGACAATGGATCTTTTTTGCTCGAGAAGGGACATTATTTGCATCCATTATCTTCGAATACTTTGATCAGGGCAAATTAACACCTTAGACATACCATAGACAAACCATAGATATACCATACACATACCATAAACATACCATAGACATACTACAGGCAAACCAGTCGGAAAGCCATAGGCAAGCAAAATAATTGATATTTTGCTTAGGTGTAAATTAGGGATACTTAATTCTATAGAAGGGGAGATAGGATATTCACATTAGGTTGAATCGTAAAACCGAAATTTGTTGAGCTCGTTGCTTACAACCGAGAGGGATCGTAGACAAACCGTAGATAACCCGTAGAAAGTACATTTTCTGCCGATTCTAGATTAATAGATGTATGATAAGCTAATACATGCATATACATCAAACAAAGAATTTGCGAGAATTGCCCCGTGGCTGACGTTGGCAAATTTCGGCAGAAGGTAACCTTACGAAGCGCACGAAGCACTCTTAAGCTCGCCAAAATAGGATTATGTAGTCCTTTCCAGCTACTTTTAAGTAGATTTTTCATGAAAATTATAATCCGACTTAATTTAGGCAACAAATAGCCTTTTCTTAGAACATGTATTTTATTACCTCGGCCATTTATTTAATGTCTTTTGGAAATTTAGGGTGTAGTAATATGTTAGTATACCGAACATAAACATATTCATAATGATTTACGGAATCGATATGGCTCAAAATATTGAGTACGAGCCTCTGGTTTGGGAAAATACGAATGGATTGGATGCCGAGGGAAAACGGCTCCTTCGATCCTTTGCTCGCATGATGGATGCAAAACATATTCTATGTCTTAGGATTACATAGGCCTAATTTAATATCCGCGTTTATTTTTTTAATTATAGAGAAATCATTATTTGGCATGTGAAAGGTATTGGGAGCCGGCATTTGGCCGCATATATAGATGATTTTAGAGATGTATTCTAAGGAAGATGGATTAAATATCTTGTTTTATTTATTCTTATTATCGATAATTGTTTCGATCGTTTTGATATATGGCGGTGATCTTATTCGGGGATTAAAGGGTAAAAGAGTCACAGTCTCCAACGAAGGTCGTGTGCCAGTCTGCAAGGCTAAAGAAAATACGACGTTCTTAAAAATGGTGTGCGTGGCCTGTTTATGCCTATATCCTATGCAATGGAAAATCATAATGTCCGAAAATATACAAAAACTGGTGGCAAGCAGAATCAACATCATCCTATTTAAAATATAGAACTCCTAGCCATATAGAAACAATATCTCGAAATGCAGCGTTGGTGAAGAATAAATCCTGAGCTAGATGGGGGTGTGCCCTAAATCAACCATCTACTCCTAAGATAACAAAAGTGTATAACCATGTTTCTCTTATTATATCCGCTTATTCCATCAAGCAGCCAACAAGGTCACTTATTATATCTCCATTCTCGAATCCTAAAGATCAGGAATATCACGAGGCAAAAAATACATAACATATTGTAAGGCCTAGACTTCATATCTAATATTAATTTAGATGGGAAAAATGGAATTAACATCTAAAATGGTTTGCAAGCGATTACATTTTCACGCCACGTAGGTTAGGTAAAAATCCGCCAGATAAACATTCTCTATGCCAATTTCGCCTCGCGGACTAAAAAGTCCTAATCTCCCATACTTAGTAGGCAACTTGGTTTACGACTATTAGGCTCGAATCAAACAATTCCAAAATATAATTCCAAATATCTTTTCATCCAATCATGGAAACAAACCTAGATATGGTTTAATTAAAGGTCGAAGAGTAATACGGCACAAATATTGTATTTTGTTTTAAAAAAAACAATATTGATCTGTATAAGATGGAAAACAACATGCTTATGCGACAAGCTTTCTATCACAGAAAAAAAAATATAAATTTCCTGATTCTTCTATTCAAAAATATAATTAAAATACTCATGAAGCCTGCATTCCTAAGCCAAACATATCTATTGTTGAAAAGTAATCAAAGTATCTTTAACCTCCCCTCCCATAAACCTATCATCTGCAAAAGCCGGCATAAATGCCGGTGGGGACCTGTCGCTAGCGACAAACACGGCGGCTTACACTCGACAACGAATAAAATAAACTAAAAAATTCATAACAAAATAATTTTATTATCCTCACGAATATTATTCCAATTATCCTTAGTAAACTAAATAAAATAAGATTCAAACAACAAATCAAGCCGAGGAAAGAATATGATCGTGGTCCGCCCTCCGCAGCAAAAAGATAATCCCCAGCATCAGCTCGGTTTTGTAAAATATAGCATCCCCCAATTTGTCGTACTCATAACCCGAGCGACAACCAAAAATCCACAAACACAACAATAAACAACCCATTGGGTTTAAAACCGCCCCAGCAATTCCCCCATATTAAAGCTATGCAAGTCGCAAATCGAGCTTAGAACGATTTTTTTTTCCAAATATAATTTATATAATATAAACATAGATTAAACAAAATAGCTAGGGTCAAATATAAAATCGAATAAACCATTCCCCAACACATCAAAACACCAAACACCATTACAAAAAAAAATAAAAATCCCCAAAACATATATATCAAATAATTTTAATAAACCATATATCAAAAATAATCCAATCATAACCTAATATATGAAATACAAAAACAATTCCAACCCATAATTGCTACAACATATCCACCAACAAAAAAATAAACAAATTTCCATAATGCCTAAACAATATACATAAAAATCTTAATTCCCCAAACCGTATCATAACCACCCATTCCAAAATTTCCCACCGCCTAAACAACACAAAAACACAAATAAACTAAATAAAATAAAAAACAACAAATACAAATACCTCAAAACATATTCCTTTTCCTATCAACAAACCTTAACATATTTAAAAAAATATCCATCACAATTATCTACATATACACACCATATCAACAACCACAAATAAAATAACTCCCAATATCCTCAATTCATATCTACAAAAACATCAATAAATTCAATACCAATCAAACCATATCATACCGCGGGAGCCATAACTCCAAAATCGATATTTTTTACCAATATAAAATTACATAAAAACAAATCAATCAAACAACAATAAAACTTTAAATACAAAAAATAAATAATATTTATAATAATCATGTTCCAATATTATATTACATAATTGTAAAAACATACATCATTCAAATATTCTATATTCTTTATACAATCTGTTTCTTGATGCTGCCATTTGATGATGTGTATGCTGCAAATGCACAACTTAAATGAAATGATTTTAAATGTGTGTGCATTGCAGGCACAGAAGTCAGCCCAGCCGCTGGGGCGGACCTTCACTGCTTAAAAAGTAGCTGGGCAATTGTCTATTGATGAAGGCTTGCCCAGCGTTCACTTCGTTCCTTCCGTCTCTCTGTTCCCTTTGTATTAGCGCTATATCTCAGAGATGAACCGCTATTGCTGAAAGGACATGACGAAGGAATGGACTACTCTTCACTCCTCCCTTCCGATCGAGACTGGCCAAAGAACAGTTTTGTCTATATTTACCGCGAACATGGGTCTTCCCAAGAAGTTTCTGAAGTCCAGGAACTCAGGAAGCGAGTCACTCTTCTGCTGGGGTATTGTTCATGACTCGTAAAGCGCTCTCTGGGTTGATACGGTCAGGCACAATCACAGTGGCATTCTTCCCTTGGGTCGCAATGATGCGAAGAGTTTCAAACCTCAGCGTGGTGTAGGATTGATCAAGACATCAAGGCACCCATGCCAATGCCCACGTCTGAGCTGCAAGAATTGACTTCCCGAGATATCCCGCATTGTTTGTGAGACTGTTTGATGTTGCTCCCAACATCTTTACTAACCAAGTCCCCCCAGGCCACCCATTCACCCATCCACCACTACCAAACCATTCGTTCATCCAATCACGCCTTGCCAATCCGAATCCAAACCCCATACCAAATGGAAGCTTGGAATTTGCTCACCAGTGGATCCATCAGCATCATGCGGGTCCGGGATTGGATGGAATGATACATGGATGATGCTGATGATGATGATGATGATGATGATGATGATGATGATGATGATGATGATGATGATTATGAGGATGATCATGGTGATGATGATGACGAGACGAGGAGGATGAGGATGATCATGACGTTGGCACAACATCTTGCACTAAAGTCGGCCGCAGCTTGGTGACAGCACTGAGATTCCCACCATTGAAGCTGAAGTGCAGCAGGATCTTGCCCCATAGCCTGTGAGGCTGTCTGTCTATATCCCTCTATTTGCTTCAGTCCCTCCAGGAAAAGAGACACATATTTCCAGTAGTGATAGATTCCCTTTAAAACCAACCGTGGAATTGCATATTCTTCAGCAAATGGAAGTACCTGAAGTATGTGTTGTTCAAAACACCGACTCAAAGTGGCCTAAAAAATACGCATTCTCGTTCCTACCTGTGGGGGATGGTGCATGACAAGGCAGTTTCAAAGCTGCCAGCCTGTGCGGAGTTCCAGCTGTGCTCTAGCTTGACCATTCAAGCAGGCTGAAGACTTGCATGCAAATGAAGCATCCTCTCGAGTGTCCGCCAAAATCCCCGCAGCCACTTCCTGTTCATCTTGCTGCTTCTCCTATGGTTTCCTTGGAATTCCCAAACGGTTCATTTCCAACACACCGGCTCGTCATACCCCGATGGCACCAGCAAGTTGTTTTCTGACCCCATATTAGTCAAGCCCCAACTAAACCCAAAGATACCCCTATGTAGGGAGAAAATCAACCCACTAAATTTGCGTTTAGCTGGGGTTGATTTCCACTATATAAATTAATCAATCCCCCTATATCAACCCAAAGATACCCCCCTATTAATATTGAATGGATACCTCCCTATGAATAAACTGGGGTTCATCAAAATTCGGTCAACCCCCATGCTTTTTCTCCGGGCCTGTGAGGCCTCCGCCAAAATCCCCGCGGATTCGCGCTGGGCCCGGGCTTGGATCAACTTGGCCTCGGCCTCCTGTTGGGCCTGCGGATCAGGTCGCGCAAAAACGGACTTGACGTTAGCGGAGCAAACAAAAAATGCTTTTTAGCAGTGAAGTGGTTGGATTTCCCACTAAACCACAATAAGCAAAAATGTAAAAGACGTTGGAAGGGGAGAAAAAACAAAAAAGGTTACCCAACGTCAAGCAGTTAACTGGTTGATGTTGGAAGCGGATTTCCCACTAAACCACAATAAGCAAAAATGTAAAAGACGTTGGAAGGGGAGAAAAAAAAAAACAAAGGTTACCCAACGTCAAGCAGTTAACTGGTTGATGTTGGAAGCGGATTTCCCACTAAACCACAATAAGCAAAAATGTAAAAGACGTTGGAAGGGGAGAAAAAAAAAAACAAAGGTTACCCAACGTCAAGCAGTTAACTGGTTGATGTTGGAAGCGGATTTCCCACTAAACCACAATAAGCAAAAATGTAAAAGACGTTGGAAGGGGAGAAAAAAAAAGGCTACCCAACGTCAAGCAGTTAACTGGTTGATGTTGGAAGCGGATTTCGCACTAAACCACAATAAGCAAAAATGTAAAACTTTTCCCAACAACAAGCATGTCTCCGAAAGGGACCTCCTCCTCTCTTCTCACAGAGAGGGGTTGATCAAAAGGTCAACCAGATTGGAACACAAGTAAAACAAGATGATATGGCCCACATGGGACAAGTTACCAATGATCAACGGTTGGGGGCCGGGGTTGGGGGTTAGGGTTTCGGTGGACATCGCTCGGAGATCAAAAGGAAGGAACCGACCTACCGCTGCGGGTCACAACGACCGCTCCACATGCAGCAAAAAGATCTCAACACCAAAAAGGGCCATTCATCAATCACTTTGAGACTTTGAGATCTGTTTGCTGCCATTCATAACACAACCATTCCTCAAGAATCAGACTTTGTGACACGTCCCCAAACTTCGGCTGATAAGTTGTCTAGCAACACTCTGCTCACCTCTCTGCTACTGCACAGCAGTTTCTAGCAGCTGCAACGGTGCCAAGCGTGGCGAAAACACCGTTGCAAGCACCTCAGCAAAACCACGACTCAAACGGGAGAGTTGGCGACACGGCTTCGGTCGTCCCGTTCGCCTCTGCGACAGCAGCAAGCGCCCGCTGCATGGACTGCTGAATCTGCACTTCCTTCAGCTCAACCTGAGCGCTTGGCGGTTGATCAATGCCGCGGCCCGTTTTGCCCATGGCTCACTTTTCCCATTGGACAGCCCAGCGGCGCCGAAGCTCTGCCGCTTGAACTGGCACCAATTTCTGGCCGTCGCGGCCAAAAACAACGCCTGGTGTCCCCAAAAACGCCGTTGGAGCAACTCGTGAATATTCAAGAACTTCCGTGCACGGACAAAAACGCCGTTTAATTGCCAAAAAAAACGCCGTTTGATTGGCGAAAAACCGTTGGTAAAATTCAGTCGACCAGCTTCACCTTGCAAAAGGTCATTTTCCAACAAAATGCCTAGAGGCAGAAATTCATGTTCCCAGACTAACAAACACCGTTTTAGTTCAAAAGGCGGAAATTTTACATAACCTTGGGATTTCCAGGTATCATCTTTTTTACTGGTTTTCGCCAAGGACCTTTTGATCGACCCCTATCTGTGTATTCCTTTCCAACCGGCCAAAAGGGAGGGGTCCCGATCCCTGCAAACAAGTGTTCAGGGTAGGTCCCGCAGCATGTCTATTCCCCTTTTACCTTCCCTCAAAAAGTATTAAGTCCAGGAATGCCGCGCTGTGGTCTTTCACAGCTATTCCCTCTCATCTTTCTCCCATGCCTGTGTTGAATGATGTTGAACGCGTATAACTTCTCTGGAGCAAACAGCGGGAACTTCCAAATGCGCCGTAGTCAAGATCTGACAGGTCCCCTTCACAACACTTGCAAACACTCTACATTTGTCAATAGCAATCACATCAATTGACTTCAGGAAGACGTATGCCTCTTCAGCTTCACATCTGAAAAGCCTATTTATATATTATATATATATATGGGCTGTCCTCAGATCCCCTGCGAAAAGTGATTCTAACTTCCAGTGGGTTAAATACGGAACCCCAAGCACTGAACCCACAAACTCAAAGCCGCAGGACCGGGATGGCTTGACTCAACCGGAGTTGCCGCCTACCTGACGCATTGCCATGGATCTCTTGAGCTCCAAAAGGAACCAAAAGGATGGCCCACAGAGATTGCCCCAAAACAATGGGGAGCAAATCCGAGACTCTAAATTCCTGACAGTGTGGAGACTGCAACCACTGCTATCCCCTTCATGCTGAAGAGGGTCGCTGCCGGCCTTGAGGCTATCTTGGGGCCCCTAAAATGCATTGGGATTCAAAGCCCAAAAGAAGGAGGCCACATTGGGATTCACCCTCAATGGGTCTCAAAAAGTCGGCGAGGTACAAGTTTCATACAGCTCCAACTTTTGCATCTCTTGGTGGCTGTCGACCCCTCTCCAAAGTGAATAAACTCGCGTGCGTGTAATTGAACCTCAAGATCCGTGTCTAAGTTTAACTTGTGGGTCAAATGTAAACCCAACCACCAAACCAACTCAAAACAACTAAACACCTAAGGAACCAAAATGGAAACTACCCCATGCCTGGTTCCAAGATCCAACCCAATAGCCATAAAGAAAAATGGTTGGTGTGCTTTTTGGTCCACTTTGAGAACCCCCCCAATAGCACCTGCAAAGGATCCAACCCAATACTTCCATTTGCTTAAGTCCCCTGAAAAAAGAACAACAACATATCGCCAGTAGTGATAGATTCCCTTCAAATCCAACAGGGGGAAACAACTCTCCGCAGGTCCCGCAGGTCCCCCGCCGGTCCCCCGCCTGGCTGACTTGGATGCCCCAGGGCCCCGTGGCCACCTCGATGAGCTCCGTGATGCGCGCGTTCAGCCGGGGCCGCTGGGCGAAGATCTCCCCGAGGGAGTTCTCCCCCACCACGGTGCCTCAGCGGCGAGCGAGAGCCGGCTTTCAAGCCGGGGAAAGTCGGGGAAAGGGGGGGGGAGGGGGGGGAGGGGTGGGGAGGGGTGGGGAGGGGAGGGGGGGAGGGAAAAGTATGACTTGAAGTTGTCAATGTTTGGAAGCCGCAAAGTGAGAAACTGCCAGAAACGCTTGGCCCTATGCAACTGAGGCACGCATTGTGACCTGCACCAGGTTGCTTAATGCTTTCTGATAGTTTGCCACTTCAAAGAGGACCTGGCGCAATTGGCGCTTTCAGCAATGCGCTGCATTGCACTCCACAGCGCAAGCTCTTTACTCTGCTTCATGAGGGCATTCGCCCTGTCTGCACTGCTTTCTCTCTCAACAAATTTGTTCTCTGCCCGACTCCAAGTCAGGCAAGTAGCTTTGGTGGCATCGAGGACACGATAGAAACAGACAGCGTCAATGGTGACGGTCAGATTGTCCTTTGTCATCACCATTTGCGGCTTCACATCCAGACACGAGATCTTCCTGAACATTCAGCAGTCCATAAGTCCCATTGGAAAAGAATCCTATTGAAAGGCAAACCCAAGAACTTGCTTTCCGGCGTCTAGCTCGCGTCTGCCAAACAGCACACCATTCGGGGGGCGAACCCCGTTTGGCGAAAGGACTCTTAGCTGTTCCACCAGTATCTCTAGCTTCTATTGGGAAGAAGCAGGGGAGTACTTGCCTGAATCTGAAGAAAGGGATTTCGACACCTGTTGATACAAATGGAGACGAGCTGGGTTTTGGAAATAATTGGTGTCTTAAGATAAACAACACCCCAAGATGGGTGCTATTTTTTTCGGTTTCTTTCATCCTCAAACGGCCAAAGCCGGACCTTTCTGTTTAGAAGCCCAAGAATGGTACCCTCAAAAGCCGGTCTAAACCGGAAAAGCGAGCGCTTTAAGGGGGGGATCAGGGAATCAACAACAAGCACCCATTCAATTGTGACCTGCGTTTAAGAAAATTGTCAATTGTCATTTCAACCCTGTTATCTGAAACCGGCCTCTCGAATGACATGAGCCGTGACTTTTCCCTTTGAATTTGAATTTGAAGCGAAGTATCAAACCCTTCGGCGAAACCTTCCGCGGTGTGAATGGTGCCTTCCGCGCGCATGTTTGTATATCAGTGCTTCCGCGGGCCTTCCGCGGACAAGTTGTTTCTGGAAATTGTGGAAGGTAGCTTCCGCGAGGGAATGCGAGTGCGCGATTTGCTGGTAAATGCACTGTGCTTGGCAACAAGCGCCCCAGACTAAATCAAGCCACTATGCGCTGCTGCGGCTCTACAATTCTGGCTCAAGTGCGGCTCAACAAGTGCACGTGCTTGCTGGGCGACTGTTCCCAAGTTTGCGGTCGCTCTCAAAGGCGAACCTTCCGCGAAAACCTCGTATATTTTCGGAGAATCTGTAGCTGCTTTGTCAAACCCAAACAGCATGTACTTGCACTAATCCGGACGACATGGCACCCAAAGGCGGGTCGCTAGTGGTTCTAACGGGAGTTCACAACACCTTCTGTGTCGAACCTCGCACAACTCTATTTGCCTTTTCATGCCCGTCATCAAAGCCAGCACAACCAAACTCTTGAAAAAGCAATTCAACCACATCCCTTCCACCGGCTTCCGCGGAATAAAGACCTTCTGCAACCCTTCCGCGACTGCGGTGTGGTGCTACCTTTATGGTTGATACGTCCACCTCTATGCATTCTTCTTTGAACGGGAAAAACATCACTCATATGGATCCGAACACCTCTAATATATAGAGATTCCAGGCACACCGAATTTTAGGATGTTGGATTTCATTTGTATCTTTGAACGGTGCCTATTTGGCAGGTGTTGGTCGGGAAACCATGTGTTGGCTTTTCATGTGGGAAACACCAACTCAGACTTGCCAAGCCTTTCCGAGCATCAAAGGCACTACAACCACCTTCTCCACGAAGACGTTAAACTGGTGCCGCCCGGGCTGCAGCATCCGGTCAAACTTCCCAAAGCGCAAGACCGCACCCACGGAGCCCTGCTCGACCCGGACGAAATTTCCGGCGCCGCCCAAGGGCAGGGTGAGGAGAGCGTAGATCTGCCCAAAGAAGATGCGGATCTTGTTGCTGAAGGGCTCCTTGCCTTTGGCTTCCTTTTCTGACGCGGCGGCAGGGCGAGCCCTTCGGAGCCTGCCAAAGGTGATGGCAAAGGCGGAAAGGCCCCAAACTGAGGAAGATGCGGACGGGCGGTATGGAGCGGATCTGAAAGCATGCGTACGCACTGGCACGCCAAGAGTCACTTGAGTGACCGGCAGTGAGCACCCAATCGCCGGCGACATGGTAGGATCAAGCTGTGGGAACTCTGCATAGATTGACCGCCATGGAGTCTGCAATGCTTTTTCCGTGACTGCCTTCATGCTTCATGTTTTCTCAAGGAAGCTGAGCAGCAAACATCGCCAGCAAGCGTAAACCAACTCATGAACTGGCACCTGCCTGCCTGCCTGCCTGCCTGTGTACTCGTACGCGCGTGCGTGTGTGCGTGTGCATGCACTCGCAACTCCCTGGGAAAGACCTCCCAACCTTTCGGAATGCCTCCGCTGTGCACTGCCGGCTTGGCCGCCTCTTGGCGATCATCCTTGTACAAGCGAACAAAAAAGATCATGACCAAAAGTTCTCAATGGAAAAGATCAAAGGGAGATATGATTAGGGATCAAAGGAATCCCTTTGGTGATCATTATGGAAGGTGATCAAAGGGAGACCAAAATGAAACCACCTCCAAATCGGGCGTCCAATCTGTGGTCCAGAAGGCGAAGCACTCGCCAAAAGGGCAGCATCTCTTGCTCATGGCCTTTTCTTGGGGTATGTTTCAAACTTAAAGGCTCCTTTGGCTGAGGGTTTTCACATGACACCAAAAGTAAACAAACCAGTTGGTTCCGTAGGTTTGAAGCCCGAGCCATGCTCAACATGTGCTGATACTTGTGGCGGACATGAGAAAGTCAGTCACCCCCCTTCCTGTCTTCCTGTCAAGTTGACCATGGAAGGGACAATAATGACCCGCAGCACCGAAAACACGCAGAGGCAATCTGCCGCTCGCCTTTTCCTCAGTCCCATCAAGGGGCCGAACTTGCCATGCAAAGTCCTCCAAGCTCAGCCGAAAGATTCTCAGCGCAACGCTGCGGATGGGGTGCCGCAAGATGGCATCCAACCAACTCCAAAAAATCCTGAAACAAACGAACAGAACTCCAAAAGACGCAAAGCCCTCGGTGAAAAACACTATACTATACAAGGGAAGTCGTCCGCAGAATTGCACATCGCTGTCTCCCAGTGCTGGCTCTGTGAAATGACAGGCTTGGCCAGGGAAAGCTCAAATTTCCCGGCATGCGCGCGTGGTGTCCAGGCGTCTGTACGCAAAAGATCTTCTGAGCCGACTTCAAGTTCAACGCTGGCACTCGAAGCAGCGGGCGGTCCAAACCCAAAAAAACGCACAGCTTGAAGTGCCCCTTTCCTTCCATTTGGGTAAGACCCCTGGAAAAATAAAAAATATGTCCAGCAGTGATAGATTCCCTTTAAAACCAACAGGGGAAAATAAAAGATACTCTTAAGCAAATGGAAGTTTCTGACATCTGCGGAGAAAGGGAAGTTTGGACCACCCTGGCGCACCCTTCCGGAGCTGCACCTTAGTTCGTCGCAGACTTGCAATTCAGAAGGTGCTTAGTGATTTTCAGGGTTCTAAGGGTGGAAGTACGTACCCCTTGTTCATACCACTTGGCTTCCGTGGTTTCCAACCCAGTTTATAAGGGGTATATACCCCTTTTGGTGGAGAGGGGTATGAACATCAGCAGGCCATTTGGGTTCATTTGCCCAAGGGGTATGTAAACGGGGTATGTACAAGCACCCCTGGCAGGGTGAGAAAAAGCTCCGGCTTCTTCTCGTTGGCTTGGGGAAGTTGCCCTTCTCCGGGTGCTTGCTTTTGGTGCCGCTGAAAGTGTTTCTTAAATCGGGTGTGTCCCCGAAATGGCTGGTTTTCTTTGGGCTCCCCTCCTTCTCCAGGAAAAGGGTGCCATGGTTTCCTTTGGATTCCGATTCATTCCCAAAACCCTGGTCATTCCTTACTTATCCTACCAGCAAGTTGAGATACGCGAAAACAACAATCAGTTGTCGAGGCTCGGGGGGCCCTTTTGTCAAAGGGAAACCACAGGAAAACCAACATCTATAATCAACAAGTCAGATCTCCCCACGAAACCCAGCTAAAAGGGATACCCTCAACAAAAGAACAAGCCCAAAAACTCAAGGTTCCTTCTTTCTTTCAAGCCCCAAAGCTGGTTCGTTCCCACAACCTGGACTCGGTCATTCCCTGAGCAGCAGGTCACATCAGAGGCGCAAATCAGAAGAGGTCCATGATGAAATCCCCGGCGTCCTCTGCCGCCCCGGCGATCCACTCCCCCGCATCCTCCGCGGCTCCGGCCACTGCCTCACCCACGTCCTCCGCGGCACCTGGAACGGCCGGGGGCGTGTTTTTGTCGGGAGAAAATGACTTGAGGGTAACCAAGCAAGCAACCAACCAACCAACCAACCAAGCAACATTTGGGAGGGGGCTCCAGCCATTAGAACTCATGGCCATGGCCGTATGGTTCTGCATCTTCTTCGTGTTGCAAGGGATGCGACTCACCTCTCACCTGTTTGGCAGACCTAAATCAGCTTGACCTTCGTCAGAATGGGAGGCTGGTCGCTACCAAAATGGATCCCGTGGCCGCACAAAGGGTTGACATTTTGTGACCCCACCCGCATCTCCAAAAAGAATCGGGCTCTTCTATGTCGAAAAGGCCTTGTGGTGTCCTTCGGGCAAGGGAAGAAGGTCTCAACGTGTTCACACTGCCGCAGTTCAAGTTAGAGGCCTTCCACTTGGTGCCAGAAGTCTGAGCACTTTCTCCTAGCCCTCGCCTTATCTTCAGGCCCCAGTAGATGACGGAGCCCCACCGTACCCCAGCCAGCACCAACTGGGCAACCACCCAAACTCCGATGACGCTTGGTTCTAGCGGGATGGCCATAAAGGATTGTACACCCACACTGTGATCTCCCTAAAGTTTGGAAGTAGAACCACCTACCAAATAAGCAAAAAGAGATTCTTGAGGGCGCTGCTGAACTGAGTGTTGGTCAACTGGCCCCAACTGAGGCAAGCCCAGTTGCTCACGCCTACACTCTGCTACATCCCTTCTTGAGCATCCGAGGGGAACAGGTCGTGTCAGAACGGGTTGCCCTGTAGGTCCCCCTTCAACATCACTCAAGGGAACGCACTTTTTGAATGGTCCCAGCAGCATCAGAACTGCGAGAAACGTCCTCCCAACTTCTAGTCTCAGGGTTGGGCAAGGTTGTTCAAACACGCTTAAACAAAAACTTGGCACATTCCCCATGCCAGATGTCCCTTCCTGTGAGGCAAAGGGGGTATCGGTCAACCAAAATGGTGGAAGCTCTGGCATCTGTTGAATCTACTTTCAGCCCGGCAAACCAACCCCAAACCCCCCCCATCCCCAACCCCCCCCCCCACCCTCTTCCCCCACCCCACCACCCACCCTCTTCCCCCACCCTCCTCCACCCTCCTCCCCCACCCTCCACCCCACCCTCCTCCGCCACCCTCCCCCACCCCACCCCACCACCCCACCAACCCCGCCATCCCACAGCCCCGCCTGCGATGGCCTCCCCGGCGTCCCCGGCCACATCGCCCAGCTCAGCCATGGTGGCATCCCAACCCTCCTCCGAGTCCGAAAGGATCAGCTGATGTGTGTCTTCTTTTTGATTTTTTCTGAGACGATCCTGGGGGGAAAAACCCCCCCCCCCGCCCAAAAAAAACCAAACCACCGTCTTGTTGTCGTCTTTTGTTCTGCTACGAACCTGGGGAACAAAACAACGAAAAACGCCCCCCCCAAAAAGAAAGAAGAATGCCTTCTTTTTGTCTTCTCGTTTTCTCTGCTTCGAACCTGGGGAAAAAGTCAACAACCCCCCCCCAAAAAAAAAGAAGAAGAAAAACAGAATAGGAAAACAGATTCTGATCTCTGCTACCAAAGTGGAACAAATGGCAAAAACAAGTCCCACTTGATTCGTCTTCTTGGCTTTGACTTGGAACGCACGTCACTCTAGACACATCACTATGAACTCGGAGCAATGTGTTGAAGGCTTCACATGGCGGATTCCCTCGGTGTCACGGAAACTGGCAACCTGAAACCACGACATCTGAATGCGTCAAAAATAGCTACCATAATCTTGTTGGTGCTCAGCAGGGAATGCGAGAATGAACCCCAAGGAAACCACCAGTTGGATGGTTTATGAGGAGGTCATTCCACTTCTCCTTCCCTGCCTATCGCACCAGCAAGCCATACCATCCCATCTCCCATACTCATACTATCAAACCCATACCCAACTATGTGCTGCTCATTCTGTCAAACTGATGTGGTCGATTCCCCATGTCTTGCTTCATCACTTAATGATCCAAAGGGGGTTCCCAGATCACAGAAAATTCCCCATTGCTTGCTTAATCACTTAATGATCCAAAGGGGCTTCCCTGATCTTCCTGAAACCGGGAGCCTAACACCAACCACATCTAGGTCCTCCAGTAGAGAGGTTAGAATAAGAGTACCCGCTTTTTTCTGTTTGTCTTTTTGTTGGGGAACCCTCCCAACCAAAACAGGGGTGACTTGGTTGCTGTTGACCCCCTGCAAAAAGTTGACAACTTTTTGGGGGTTTGCTGGGAAACGCCTCGATTTCAACCAAGAGTTAAAGTCTAAAGATTCAACCCAATAGCAGTCAAGGTGAGTCACAATCAAAACCCGGTATTAAACTGGTCTACCCAGAGCCATGTAAAGAATTTAGAAGGCGGCCGCAACGAATTCTTTCTGGGACTTTGCCTCAGGTGAGAAAGGGCACCTAGCTGGGGGACCTAGACATCGTCCCAGCGCTCCTCCGCAATGTGCTCTCCGAGCACCGCCCCGGCCACCGCCAGGCCGCCCACCGCCACCACCGCGCCGGTGCCCGCCGCCACCTTGGCGCCCGTGCTCCAGCCTCCCTTCTTCTTCTCCTCCTGAGCCACTGGGAAACCGTGGAAAAAATAGGACTGATGATATGAATCTTCTTCCACACGGCTGGGATCAATCCGCGCCACATGCTGTTCAAACTTGGGAAGCCATGGGAAACACTTTGGGGAAATCTGGAAAACCGGAGGAGGAACACATGGCAAACACATGGGGGGAACATTTGGAAGCCATGGGGAAAGAATTTGAAACCATGGGGACACTTTGTCTTGGGAAGCCCCCTAGTCAAAATGGTCAGACCAAACACAAAAAACTACACACATGCCAAAAACAGTCAAGTTAATTTCAATTAAGATCCACATGGGGACTGATGCTCACCACGTTCTGTTGAAACACCTCGGCTTCCTTGACTTCTCTGCCTCCCTTTGCAAACCATGCTTGCAGGGAGCCAACCATATTGTCAAACTGCAACGATCTCCGTTTGTGACTTTGCAACGCGCAGGAGTCAAATCACCCAGGAGTTTTCAAGGGGAAACCCCAAGTCTGTGAGCCCCAATTCCATGCCACAAAAAAAGGAGCCATGTTGCATGCCATGTTGCTGAACTGTCCAAAGGACCGAAACGAGGCCCAAGGGAAAACCAGGGATCAGGTCGATTCGCTGGCGTTGAGTGAAGCACAGGATCCCAGATGTCGTTACCCAACATTTCCCGGGCTTTTCAAGGGTGGCAAGCCCGGGAAATGGAATCACTGGGCGAGGATTAACTAACCATTCTCCTGGATTTTGAAGGGTGGCAAGCCCTTGGATACCTACAGAGGTACATGGAATGAGGATTCCCCAACCATTTTCCTGTTTTTTTGTGTTTTTTTTTTTTAGTGGGGTGGCAAGCCCTTGGTTTCCTACACACATAGGTGGAATCACTCGGGGGAAGAGGATCAACCAACAATTTTCCGGCTGTTTAAAGGATACAGAGGTACATGGCATCACGCGAAAAGGATCCCCCAACCATTTTAATGGTTTCTAAAGAGCGGCAAGCTCTTGGATACCTACACAAAGACGTGGAATTATTGGGCGAAGAGGATTCACCAACAAGTTTCTTGATTTGATAAAAAAAAGAAAGATTACCTACAGAGGTACATGGCATGAACTTTCCCCCACAATTTGTTGCTTGTTTTTAGAGGGTGGCAAGCCCTTGGTTTGTCCCGCCTCCACCTTCTTCTTCTCCTCCTCTGAGGCGCCCACGGCGGGCGTGGGCGGCGCCGGGGTGGGCCCGGCGGGCGTGGGCGCGTCCGGCACCGGGGTGGGCAAATCGGAGTCCTCCCATGGCGCGGAGTAAGGAACTCCTCAAGGGATCCTTACATACACCTGAACTTTGCCTTGTTTTCTGGAGGTTTCCCTTTACTCAAAGGTGGAAAAAGCTAATATGTCAAATGGGCAATATGTGTCTTTGAAGGAGGCTTGTCACAACTGCCTGGTGGACATAAATCCAAAGACTCAAAGGGTGAACTTACCAGAACATCTACAGGACATGGCCCCAAAACACCCTAATTTAGATGTTTTCCTCTAGAATGTCCTTTAACCTAACCCTTTGAAAAACACCAGTCTTCTTCAACCTTCCACCACTAACCAATACTAAATGTGGAATTGGCAATACTAAATCAAGCAGTGTACTTTGAATGCAAAAGTAAGTCTTGGCAATACCAACTTTAGATCTGAAATACTAGATTAAGCATTGGGAATCTGAGTGCAGTGTAGGCTTGGCAGTTCTCGATTAAGATAATACGAAACCAAGGGTTGGGATTCTGAGAGAAACTCTCTCGGCAATACTAAATGTAGAATTGGCAATACTAAGTTCAGCACTGGGAAACTAAAAGTCTTTGCAACCCTAAATTAACTACTAGGATTCTGAGAGTAAGTTTTAGCAATATTCAATTTACCTGGCACTGCTCAATTTTAAATTGGCACTGCTAAATGAAGTCTTTTGAATGCAAGAGTAAGTCTTGGCAATGCCAAATTTAGACCTGGCAATGCTAGATTAAGCGCTGGGAATCTGAGTACAGTGTAAGGCTTGGCAATTCTGGATGAAGATAATAATAGATTAAGTACCGGGATTCTGAAAGTGTAAGTCTCGGCAATACTATCGTCTTAGTATTGGCAATTCCAAATTGAAAAATGCCAAGCCTTACTTTCAGACTCCCAGTACTGAATTTTGTGTATATTGACAATTCGAGATTCAGTATTGCCAATTCTAAATGTAGCATGACCAATTGCAAAATGAACATTGCCAGGCCTTTCTTTCAGATTCCCTGTGATGAATTTAGTACATATTGAAAATTTTAGATTTTAGCATTGCCAAGATTTCTTCTCAGATTCCCAGTGCTTGATTTAAGATGTTGCCAATTTTAAATTGAGTATTGCCAAGACTTACTCTCAGAATCCCAGTAGTTAATTTAGTATTGCGAAGACTTACTTTTAGTTTTCCAATGCTAAGCTTAGTATTGTCAATTCTAAATTTAGTATTGCGGAGACTTACCCTCAGAATCCCGGTGCTTGATTTAGTATTATCTTAATCGAGAATCGCCAAGCCATACACTGCACTCAGATTCCCAGTGCTTCATCTAGTATTGCCAGATCTAAATTTGGTATTGCCTTCTGCATTCAAAGTAGGGGATTAGCAGTGAGAGATTAAGCCTCAAAAACATACAAGTGCACTACCACAGTCCCCCGGTCTCAAAAAAAGGCGCCCAAACCCCCCACCCCACACAAACAAAAAAACAACAACGGCGAAGCGCCCAACAAAACCACCCGCTTCTTGTGCTTCTCTTGCGGGGCACCGAACCAACCCAGCGCTCCTTTGCGAGCGATTTCCACAACCCCCCGTCTCCCGTCTGGCGAACGCCTCAGCCGCGGATCCCCGCGAATCCGCCCGACCGGTCGGCCGACGACTGGTCGGGCCTTAGGGATGGGCACCAGCATGGCGGCGCCCACCTTGGCCTTGGCGGGCACGTTCACCGCGATGAACTGGCCCTTCTTCGCCGGGTGGGGCACGTGGATGCAGGTGCCCGGGGACCCAGGCGGCACCTCGAGAGCTCGAGAGAGAGCGCGATGCGCGAGTCACTCGAGCGTGTTCTCGGGCCTTGGGCCTGCTTCTGTTTTGAGCCGGTTCCTTGGGGCTTGGTGTCGGCTTGGTCTTAGGGTCGGTTTAGGGGTGCTTGCCTCTCACGTGAACCCAACAAGTCATGAGATGGACAAAACACCATCGAACAGCAAAGGCCGCAACCCAAACACCCACTTTGGGACCGGAACCTCCTGAATGCTCATCTATCGCTTTTTCCGAAGGCACCTGTTGGCGGTGTTGAAAACACCATCTGGGGACCTCGCCTCCCACGGCTGACAAGGCAAAAGTGGGGGGCAAATTGACGCATGATTCTGAAATCGGCTGCCCCCAGGTTCTGCTATCGACACATTATCGGGTCACTGAAAACGCAACCACAACTCTGCCTATCTATGTTTGCCATCGTTTCTGCCATGCGTCAGTGTGTCTATACCCCCAGAAAGATTGCCCTCAAACGAGTCCCCTCCCAAAATGACCGATCCCCAATCTGAAATATCCAGACACCCCCGACTTCTTCCAGCGCACATGGACAAAATCACTTCTGCCCCGAGGACATGGAACAAATTGGTTGTCCGCTTGGTACTTGCGGGTTAATCTGCGTGGGCCCCTTTTCGTCCTCCCCAAACCAGCCGTAGACTAGACGTTCGTCTGCTCGCGTCCAGTCGGCGCCTTGATGCAGAAAGTGGGCCCAGCGTCCACGATTGGCTTCTCCGGCTGCTTCCACTTGTAAGGTGCCCGGATCTCCCGCTGCTTGCCGGAGCGCATGTTCTTCTGGCTCATGGACCTCCCGAATCGACTCAACTCAAGCCCCCCGGCGAGGAAACTCTTGATGGCCTTTTCAAGGTTCAAGTCCAGGGCTCGTTTCTGAGTGAGCTAAAGGGATTGCTAAGGAAACTCCAAAGCAAACAGGGGCAAAAAAGAAAAAGAACTGCGGATCCAAATGAATATATATATATATGGAAGTTCAACGAAAACAAGGCTCTAACATTCTGGATTTGACTTCAAATCTGGTCGCCAAGCACCTCAACCAAACTCAAAAATAACATGGCCTCAACGCTATCTTGAAACCGATGAAGATTTAGAGACCCCTGACCGACGCGAAGCGAAATGCACTTTGAAATGGAACGAGACCACGAGGGCGGCCGAGTGTAGGGCGGTAAGGAGGATTTTGCAGGGGCGGGTGTTCGAGGTGGTTGCCTCTAGTTGCCTGTAGCGTAGTTGCCCCTGACGCTGGTTATCCAAAGCTGGTTCAACGTTGAACAAGCAAGTAGGCAAGCAACGAAGCAACCAACAAAAAACAAGCAAGCAGCCCCGTGCACACGATGGGACAGTCTTTGAACCCTCAAAACCTCTTATGGGCCCTGATATCCAAGAAGTTTACTGATCCAACATTCCCGACCTGAGGGCAAGAGAATTCAGCTCGCTGGGGCCTTGCCCCCAATTGGTGACTGGAATAAGTTGTGCGGGTCACAAAACCAATAGTGCTCCTTCAACCACCGGAAGATTGGCACCAAGTCAATGAATGACCTTACAACACCAAATCTCCCGCTAGTTGCCAAAAGTAGAAACACACCACAGCCCCAGGAAGCCAAAGACGCGCCCTTAGACTCTGCTGCCTCTTTCTTGCAGGGGATACTATAGGAATTACCACAACTTGCTCAGCAGAAAATGAGGGAATGACCAGTTTAAACCATCCCTTTAAGGGGACCCCTGGGTTCATTTCTACATTCCTTACTGAGCACCAGCAAGACGACCGTACGCGCAAAGATCCGTTTGCGGATGTCATTTTCCGGGGCAGCATCCATCTTCAGATGGCGGAGCTAGTACGAGGGCCATTCAACCCCTCGTTACGTGCTCAAACCTATTGTTGTACAGGATCAAAGCAGTGGCTACAAACCGTGTAGCTCTGCTTGAAAGAAACGTACTACTGGGGTTCCCCCAAGTTTTCCAAACCCATTTTTTGCCAAGGGTATCAATCATTTGGGATGTGGCTCACAAAACACCGTCAAAACCTACTGTTGACGGACGAAATCCTGCACCGCTTTTGTCATGGGGGAAAAACCCTCGCGCTCCCCATTCAACATTGGAATGTTAAGGGCCCTTGTTTGCAAACATGTTGGAATGACCGACATCCTGCACCACCTTTTGCGAATGCCAGCAACATTGAAAAGGGGGAGCGGGGTGCGCAGCCTGTTTAGTGGCAGAATGCAGTTGGCAGAGGCGGTGCAGGATTTCGTCCGTCAGAGAAAGACTCCTCGACCTCTCCAACGAGCCGGTCTCACACGCGCCCGCCTGAAGTCCACCTCATACTGCTGGCCCCGGAGCTTGTACTTGGCATGAGGGAAGCCGGCCAGGTAGGCCCGCTTCAGGATCTTATCCTCGTTGCCCGAGTAGTCCTGGCACAAAGCAGCTGAAAGACACTTGTTGACCTTGGAAGGGGAGCAAACAATTGAATTTTAGCAGTTAGGTGGGGATTTCCCATTAAACCACAATAAGCAAACATGTAAACTGTTTCCCAACAACAACCATGGACATTCACCAGTTGCCAGCTCTCCAGTTGAGAGCTAAACACTGTAGAAAAGTGGCAACAATTTGATGCCAGTGCCCCAGACATTGCCGACATTCAATGGTAAGTATGCAGAAATGCCGTACATGCCAGGGTCATGGATATGCTTTCCCTGGAACCCAGGAAAGGTCCTCCAACGGTTTTTCTTCTGACACCAAGCCCATCAGCAGGCGGGATGTCTATGAGCGGCCTGGTCATTGCCACGTGCAGCCGTTGAATTAAAATTTAAGCGCATTGCCAGAGCAACTACCCACCCTGTGGCAAAACACTGCCACTGTACAGTATTCCTGCCTAAAACCATGAATCTATAGTGAAGTCTACCATCACTGAACAGGAGGAGGTCCAATCGCCACAACCTGTCCTTGGGCAGGTGAAGCACCAATGACTTGTCCTTGAGCAGGAGGGGGTGGTGCAATCCACAAGTTCTTGACAAACATGCTACCCAGACCAGCAGCAACGAACAAGAAGAAGAAGCCAACTGGCACGCCCCCAACCAGGCCAAATAATGCCAGAGGGAAGCTTGAGCTTCCTGGATCCGCACATGACAAACCGTCGCCTGTCTCGAAGCAATCCACATCCTCGCCGACAGATGGCGGATCACCACCGAAGGACACCGCTGAAGCTCCCGTCACAAACTCTGAGCATTCGCGCGACAAGTTGGTCGTGCAGCCCGGGCAGCTGATTCCGTAAGTTTGGGAGCGTCGCCGGCAGGATGACTCTGCAGAGCCTGAGCAGGAAGCTGGTGACCCAGAGCAAGAAAAGCAGGATGAAACCCTGCAGGTGCGCTTCTCAGCCGCACTACTTGCCACACCTGACAAGGCGGAGCTCAGAATGAGGCAAATTATCCAGCCAAGCACAAAGGCCAGGATCAATATGAAGTGCACCCGTCGTTGGATTCTGCAACCGTGCCCAAAACACATGCCGGTGGATGTTTCCCACCATTCTCCTGTCAGGAAGCCCATGCTGCAAAGAAGGTGCAGACTGGGGACAGGTGCCAGCTGCACACTTGCAACAAATTACGGTTCAGCCAAAATGGCAACAGGCAAAATATCACTGCCGAAACAAAGCGGCACCGCAACCCTCCCGCAACCTGTCCGAAACCTTCTAGAATCTGCCCCAGGGTTTTACCACACCGATGATTGGCAAAGACCCCCTTCACGCTGTTGAGGAACAATATGAATGCAACAGGAATGAAGCAAATCTTGCAAGCACCCCTTGCCACATGCATCAACCGAGCGGAGTGGCAGTGACCCCAACAAATGCCTCCCAAATTCGGGGCGACGTTGTTCCATGTTGCTTTTCCTTTGGACCCAAACAGGGGCCAACCCCAACAAGGCACTCCCGCCGGAACCTCTTTCTTGACATCCCCGGGTTTCGGCTCAAACGCCTGGACCTCCCTTTGAGTTTTGCGTGAGGTTTGCTTCTCTAGGTCCTCCAGTAGAGGGGTTAGAATAAGAGCACCCTTCTTGCTGTAGTCTACTTTAGCAGGGGAACCCTCCCCTCCTTTCGGTGGATCATGCAACAAGCGCAGGGCCAATCACCTGAGAATGCAACTGGAAAATCCGGAGACCTCTCTGGATTCCAGAGTTTTTCACTGCCGTATAGTGACTACACATCGCCTCTAAGTACCCCGTGTCAAGGAAAAACACCGCTCCCCCCTCAGTAGCCCATATTCTTGGACCCGGTCCCATCGAGCTCTGATGCAAACCCCTCCTTCCAGCTTCCAGAAAGCTTCACCTGGAAATGGTCCGCTGGCATCTCTCTCCTACGCGGCCAAGGTCAATGCGAAAACACGAATTCGACACTCCCCGTACGCTTCCCAGGTCTGGGAAGCGATGTTGCGAAGGAAACCTAAAGGCAACCAATAATTTTTGGTGGTGGATGTGTCTCACCCTTGTTAAGGCGATCAACCCCGAAACACCGCCATT